CACTAGACTAATTATTATAATAATAAAGCAAAATATATATAAAAAAATATAATAATAAAATCCTAAAAAACCTAATACCTATATGCTTACTAATTATTAATGGTTATTTAATGTTAATATTTTTTTCTACTGAAAATTAAAAATTAATATATGTTTATCAACTATTTAATTTTTTGTTAGTCATTTTTTAAAAATTTTTCATCAAATATTAAAGAAAAACTTTCTAGATGTTATATCATTTATATATAATAATTAATTATTTAAAAAAAATTCATTTATAAAAAAAATATTAAACCTGAAAAAAAATTATATTAAATAATAAATGTTGGACTTAAAAAATGAATAAAATAAAAATTGTTTACCCTCCTATAGTTTGTCATTATCGACATTAGCTGAACAATGATATTCACTGACTTGTGAATTAATGGAAAATCTCTCACTAGTTGAACCACGATCTTCAATAAGTTGTGCAGTTTCATTTATTGAAACCTTAAGTGGTCCACGCTCGCTTTTTTTCTTATTCGAAGCCTCTGATCTTACCGTTGATGATTGAGATTTTTTTGACACGGAAGACTTTGATGATGGTGGTGTTAATGAGACCAATGTCCCCGATGAACTCGTCAATGAACTAGAATTTGATCTTGATCCACTGCCACCACTTATAAATGAATCAACACTACTTGGTCTTTGTCTTCTCTTCAATTTTATCTTCTTTGATTGAAATGCATCTCTCATTTCGTTCTTTGACTGTAATTGTAAATACTGAAAACTCTGCAAATTATGTTTCTCAGCTTCATTAGCCGAATTTATTAATAAAATAATTAATAAAAAATAAAATTAATATTTTTTCTTACAATTTCCTTAAAAAAAAAAAAAAAATACCTGAGAATGACGCTCGAAAAGAGTTGGAATTTGTGTCACTCGGCTCAGCATCATTTCCATTTGAATACGATGACGTTCAGCTTGCTCTCGAGCTTCATCCCGTCGAAGATGAAACCGGAAGTCCAAGTCCCTTGCGTGCTCGTGTCTTTATTCACAATAATTATCAACAATTTTTATTTCTCTAATAATTATCTATAATAAATGTAAATTGAAATTTTTTGTACCTGGCAGCTGATCTCAAGGCCTTCCAAGCTGGTTTTTGTCCAATGAGAGACTCTCTAATTTTTATAAATTCCTCCCTGCGTCTTTCTTCCAGTTTCTCTTGAATTTCCCTTTCCATTTTTTCACTGCAGTGAACAATAGTTAAATTTTTTTTTTTTTTAATCAATTTATAAATAAAAATAAAATACAAATGAATTTAATACCGTGATGCTTGACATCTTAAGACAGCTGCCAAATTATTTCCCCTGACTGGTAATGCCGCCAATGCTGATCTCGATCTTATTAATTGCAATGGACTATCATTGCAAATTCTCAAAGATTCACGTCCCTCACAATTTCTATCAATTGACGATTCTTTCGTAGTGCTACATTGTGAATGAAGTGATGTTGATCTTAGACGTTCTCTTCTTGCCATTGACGGTGGCAAAGTTGATGATTTCATCATTTCTGAGGCTCTCATTTTCTTCTGAATCGATCTAATGGAAAATTAATTTCTTCAAATTAGAATTCAAAATTTACAATTTAAAAACTATTAATTATTATCATTAAAATTTATTTAAATAAATTTTCAATCTAAATTAATAATAAATAAATTACATTTCTCATTATTTACCTATAGTATTCATCTTCCAACATACGATCATAAATTTCGGTATTAAATAAATTTTTTGGAACAGGTTTTGCTTTAAATCGTGAATTACAACGAATCTTCTTTCCACAAAGTTCGGGACTTGATCTTGATAATGTTTTCCATGCCCTTTTTTCACATTCCAATTTAAATGGTCTCACTTGTGAGAGTAAATTTAACATACTTTCCTCTCTCACCAATCGACTTCTGTAATTATAATTTTTTTTTTAGTGAATTTTAGTTAACTGTAACTATTATAAATTTGTAATAAATAATAAACCTTTCTTCTTTAGCGGCGACAAGTTTATCATAAAGAGGTATTTTTGATGTTAATGGAATTGGTCTAACACGTCGTTTTTTCTTTTTTGTATCACGATAAATTTGTGCCTCATTTTCCACTTCGGTTAAATTCATGTACTTCTCTGCTTCCTCTCTAAAAAAAAAAAAAAAATTTTATTTAAAATTTAATTTCACATTTCTTTTCGAAAAATTATCAAAATTTACCTCAATGTAAATGTAAATGGTTTTGGAACAGTTGGATGCCATCTTTCAGGACTATGTGGTGGCAAACTTTTTGTCTCTAAACTATTTTCATTATCACTTTCCACACTATCGGGACTTTTAGAATCACTCTCAATACTCCAGGATTTATTGCCCGAATGAATTTTCGAATTATGAATTGTTTTCGCCGCTTTTGTTTTATCTTTCCATCTGCAAAAAAAAAAAATAAATTACAAATTTAAATTTAAATTTTTTTTTTAAATAAAATATTTCTTACCGATAAGTAAGAAGATCTTGATCCTCGGCCAATCTATCAAATGTCCCAGAAGAATAAAGAATTGGACTATTTGTCCTTGATTCCTCAAAATTGCACTTTCGTCCCTTTAATTTTAAATCATTATTATTGTCATTACACCATTCTTTAGTTTTATTATTATTGCTTCTTTGATTTTGCGTTTCATTTGTTATTTCACGATTTAAAATATTTTCCGTTTCATTTTGATCTAAACAATTTTGTAAATTTTTCAACAACATTCTCTGCTTTCTCTTGAGATAATCCAATTTTTGTTTAAATTGTTCATTTGACAAATGATGCACATCATTATAATCCGGTATACTCTCCATAAAATCCATAAAATTCTCTAATGTATCACGTGGACTTGTGACATTCGAATTACTTGTATCGAAATTAATTTTTCGATTTTTTCCTGATGCATTGTATCTGTAATTTTATTATAAAAATGCAAAAAAAAAGAAAATTCCTAACCTCTCAATAATTTTCAAACTTGAAGAAAAAACTTTTCTTCTCAAAATATTTTCTAATTAAATTTGTAGTTTTAAAAATAGAAAACAAAATAATTTAATTAATATACCTTTTTTGCTTATTATTAACTCGAGGACGTTCATACAGTGGCGTTGGTTGTCTACTGTAAGGATCAACAGGAACTTTAACACACGAATGAACAAATGAACTTCCTCTGTGTTCATTCATTTTTTTTTATTTTAAATAAATAAAATTATTTCGATGTCAAGAAATTCTCGTTTTAAAGGAAAGTAGAAATTATGTCGAAAATCAATGTTCACTGATATTAAGCGTATCCATGGTGACCATACGTGACATTATGATAATCAAAACTTAAAACACACAGAAAAAAAAAATTCAATTCAAATAAATAAAATACCTTCAATATAGAACAATGTTAAATAAAAATTTTAATCAATTTTCACAAAATTTACAAGTACAACTTTAAAAATAGAAGATAACAGTAAGTTTAATTTCAAAATGATAAAAATATTAAATTTTCTAATAAATAATTAACTTTTATACTTACATTTATTAATTCTTGAAATTTAATTCTTATTAATTATTCTTCTTATTATTATCTTTTATTTGTAAAATTAGTTCCTTTATTTATAAACAATGTTTCATCTATAGATGTCTCAGCATTGCCTATCAACAGGCGTCCTGGCCCCTGTAAAATATCAACCATGTAAATACAACAAATTTTGAGGTTAATTTTTTATATTAATATTAATTTGTCATTGAAAAAAGAATAAATTAAAAAAAATCATTTACACTAATTTATAAAATAAGTTATTAATTTTTAATAACAATTAATGAAATATGTTATTAAAAAAAAATATTATTTCAGTGAGGGGATTTTTATTGACAACGTGACGAGGTGTCGTCTGCTATAAAAGCAAAATATATACAATAAATTAAAAATGGCGGTATTTACTGAAGCAATGTCATCTTCTCGATGTATTTTTGCAATTTTATCAAGAAATTATAAATTCACGGCACCACAATCATGTACAAGTGTTAGAAACATACATTCAACATTAAATGACAATAGTGAAAATTATGATATTATTGTTACTGGAGGTGGTCTTGTGGGAACAACGCTTGCCTGTGCTTTAGGTTAGTTTTTTTTAACATTTTTTTTTTTTTTTATATTTTTCACCAAAATATTTATTTTATATTCCACGTGGAAAACAAAAATATTTGTCGTATTTGTTAATTTTTGTTATTACTATATAAAGTCAAAGTTAATTTCAATAACAAAATGCAAAGTAGTAAAATTAATTTTTTGCGTCTAAATTTATGTTAATTTGGTTAATTTATCTATATTTAGAGAGAGAGTAATAATGTATTTAAAAATATTTAAATTATGTATATATTTCTTATTGTTTTATTTGTAAACAAGGTGTTTTGAAAAATAATAACAAATCATATTTAGAGGTTAAATTAAGGACAGATGTTTAAAAATTATATAAATAGATTACGTCAGTGTTTTTTATTATTTCAATTATTTGCAATTTTCTTTGTATTTCTCTTTTTTTTTATTTTAATAATTATTTTCTATTGTTATTTTCATTGTAGTGAATTGTTTTTTTATTTCATTATTATTATTATCATCACTAAAAATATCCTTTTAATTTACCAAAAAAAAAATATTTTCCGTTTTGTACAGCTAATAATAAAATTCTCAAATCAAAAAGCATTTTATTGCTAGAAGGTGGAAATAAACATGAATATAAACCAAGTGAACAATATTCAAATAGAGTTGTTGCATTAAATCAATTATCTCGAACATTATTATCAAGTATTGGAGCATGGAAACACGTGTCAGAAATTCGTTACGCACCTGTGAGAAAAATGCAGGTAATAATAATTTAAAAAAAAAATATATAATATTAGCAAATAAAAATTCATATTTTAGAATACTTGAAAATTGTATCAAATAGACAAGAATATTTTTTTTTATTATCATTATTAATATAATTAAATTTACTATAGGTGTGGGATAGTTGTTCCGATGCAATGATAACATTCAATGAAGATTATTTATCAGATGAAATAGCGTACATTGTGGAAAATGATTTACTTTTATACGCCGTGAATAAACAATTGGAGGAAAAAAATTCTGTTCGTGTTATTTATAATGCAAAAGTTGAGAATATTTCATTGCCCGAGACATCTGGAGAAAATGCAATTGTTATCTTACAAAATGGAGGAAATTTTGGCACTAAATTATTGGTAAGTTGAAAAAAAAATACAATTTCACATAAATAATTTTTAAAACTAATTAGTTATCGACAGATCAATTTCCCTGGCAATATATTCAACTTTATTTGTCAATGAATCCAATTGCGTGCTAATTGTTTGTGCACATCTTTTCAATTCATTGGCAATTTCACTTAATTGTCGATTACTGTCATTAACAGAATTACTACTGTAAAGACGATTTAATTTAACATCACTAATTCCAATATCATTTCCATTTCTCGTCATTTCTGGTTTTTTAAAAAATTTATTTTTCCTCTCACTAACAAGACGATAGACACTTTTTATTAAATCACGAGGTAAACGATTTTCACGTGGATCATTTGGACGTATATGAATTGCACAATGATGCGGTAAATGAAGTAACAATGCACCCGATCGGCAGGCTTTGACAATTTTCATTGGCGCAAAATCCAAAAGTTTGGAAAATAATAAATTTTCCAAATGTGCAACCAATTGTGCTCTTCTTATTAATCTATCTAAACCAGCGCATCTTCTTAATTCTTGAATATCAGAAACAGCAAGTCCCATCATAAGATTCGTGAGAATCACCGTCACAAGAATGACAAAAGCCAATAGCATAAGATGCGCTGTACCCGGATAAAGAACACGTGCTTTGTCATCGAAAAATACATCTTCAAATTCTAATTCACCTGACATCATGATAATTGTTTTTAACAAGCCAACAAGAGGATTTTTAAATGATTTATAATTATCATGAAGAACGCTAAAGCTTAATGAAAAGCCAATTATTAAACTCATGTAAGCGCCTAAAAATTTGAAAAAATTAATAGCAACCTGAGTGAACATTTGAACATAAATGCCAAACATTGGAAAACGACCGACAACCATCATTAATTCAACCCAAACAAGTAAAACTCCCAATGCAGCGATATGATGATGCCAAACATTAGACACTTTACATAATACAATTCCCGATGTAATAATAACACTCCATTGAAGAACATTTTCCCATCCTTTTGCATAACTACAAACGCCATGTGCCAATTGAAAAATTTCCTTACACGCAAGAATAATTGTAAATAAAATCACAGGCCAAAAAAAAATATCGCTCATATGAGCGAGTTTCCAAAAAAATGTAAATGCAATATAACTTGTGAACATTGCAACGAAAATTGAATGAAATATTAAACTAAAGAGAAAAAATTTTCTTATTCTCAACCATTTTAAATAAAGAAAACTCTCGCACAATGGATGTTTAAGAATATGACGTTGTCCAACTTCAACGAGACATAACATTAAATCAGTTTCACCACGTCCACCAGGAACGAGAGCGCGAAAATCCAAACGCAATTCACAATCAACATCACCTAATTCATGATCGTGAAGTGAAATTGCCTGATCTAAACGTGAAATAAATCGTGGAAGAATATCAGGTGTTCGTCGAATTATAAAACTTAATGCCGATATTCCACCTTTTGTTCTTGCAGTAACGTCAGCTGCTTTTGTCACCAATAGCATCACTGTTGATGAACTTTCGCTCAACGCTGCAATATGTAACGGTGTGTAGCCAAATTTGTCAGCTTTATTGATTTCCGCTCCAGCCTGAAAAAAAAAATAAATAATTTTCATCCGGAAAATAAATTATTTCGCCTTCAAAATAAAATATACTTGTATGAGCATTTTCACAAGTTCACATCCTCGAATTGATTTTGCAACAGCTGCATGAAGTGGCGTTCTACCATCATTGTCTTCTTCATTAACGTTCGCTCCTTTCGATATTAAAATTTCCATTGTCTCGGCAGATTGTGCCAATGCTGCCAAATGCAATGGGGTTTGTCCTTTTGAATTTTTAGCATCGCATGAGGCTTGATAATCAAGAAGTAATTTTGTACATTCAGCGCTACCTTCCTCAGCTGATAAATGTAATGGTGTTGATCTTGCCGTTCCCATTTGCACGCGAACATCGGCGCCAAAACATAAAAGAAGATTTACACATGTCGCTGATCCTAAACTTGCCGCCACGTGTAATGGAGTTTCCGTATAAACCTTGCGAGAAAAAGAAAAAGTCGAAAATAAAAAGGTAATCAGAATATTTTTCCAATTTTACAAACAATTTTTTTGATATTGAATTTTTTATTGTATAATTATTTATTTTTTTAATTTACCTGAGGATTATTGGGCGAAGCACCAGCTCTGAGGAGAGTTTCAACGCAATTTGAATTATTACTGAGTACGGCATAATGAAGAGGACTTCTTCCAGAAATTCCGGCATTAAAATCAGCGCCTGCTTCTAAAAGAATTTTCACTGTTTCAACATCACCTGAAGCTGCTGCACAATGTAGAGATGTGCAAATTTTGTGAAAATCCCATTCACTTGAATCGGCGCCATGTGACAATAATTCTTCAACTATTTTCACTGATCCATTACACGATGCAAGATGAAGTGACGTTCTAAAAAGAAAAATTTAAATTCAAAATTAGCTTCTTTTTTTTTTAGATGGGGACTTTACCTGCCGTCGTTGTCACGAAACGAAACTTCGGCACCTTTTTCCAAAAGTACTTTTACCAATTCTATTTGTCCCAACCATGACGATACCAATAGACAAGTATTTGGCCATTTTGATAATAATTCTTCTGGCGTTGCTGTGGCGGCTGTTTCATTTTCAGCTGCCAATGACGCTTTTCTTAATCCACTGCAAAAGAAAAGAAGAATTAGAAAAAAATCTCCTTTTTTTAAAAAAAATTTTGAAAAATATAAAAAAGGAAATAATTTTCCCCACTCTCACCCATTTGCAAATCGAGGAATAAGTAACATTTGATTTTTCATTTTTGTTTCAGAAAAATCGAGATTTTTTATTTCTTCAATAACTTTATCTAATTTCTCTCCATTTAATGTTGGTAAAAGAGAAAGAGCCGTTTCTCCAGCTGGTAAATTACTAATTGCACGAATTATATCCTCTTCACGCCAAAGTTGATTTTGATAAAACATTTGCCTGTGCTTTGGACGTGCACAAGATTCTGAACTTTCTTCTGATGAAATACTTCCCAAATCGTCCATCCAAATTTCTTCATCTTCCTCCTAATGCAAAAATTTTTATTAAATTAAAATATTCTCATATCGATAATAATTTATTAATAAAAATATTTATTATTTGAAAATTCGAAAAAAAAAGAAAATTTGTGAAATACAATTTTCGAGTGTATTTTGATAAATTATCAATCTCTTTGTAAATACTTACCATTCTTCGAACAAACAAAAAAATATATATATATATGTCAAAGATGTATTCGGTGTAGGTGTTATTTATGAGTAATAATTTGTAAACTGCAGTAATGTTTCATCTTCTTTTTGCTTAAAATGCTCTCTAAAATTAATCCTCGAGTTTTAGAATATTAGAGAGAGACCATCCAGCATGTGCTCACTGATGTTTATAAAACAGATTGAGATTATATATTTAGCTCATTCTTGACACATCATTCTATTATAATGATTCGATGAATTAAGAAAACGATTAATTCAGATTAAACTCGTGAAAAATTTGATTTTTTCCAAAAAAAAAATAAAAGACTTCATTTTTTTCTCAATTTTATTTTTTACTCGTAATTTTTCTATCAACTTTTCAGTTACTGATAGCAAATTATTCATTCAGGAAGTTCTCTTCTCATTTTTTTTATCTCTCACTCTAATAATTCGCTAGTTGTATTAATTTAATTATTTTTAGTAATTTTAAAATTTATTACAAATTTAAATTATTATAAAATTACATAATTATTATAAAAATTATATAATTAATATAAAAAATAATTTTATTGTAAAATTACTTGATTATTATAAAAATTATGTAATTATTATAAAATTACATAATTTAAAAATTACATAATTAGTAATCAAATACTTAAATAATTAAAATACAATTTTAATTGCAAAAAAATTGTCAAATTCAGTTTAGTTCGATTTTTTGAAATAATTGAAAAACAATTATGAAAATAATTTATTGGCTTAAAGTCAAGTAGGATAAATTTATGAGCAATCGTAAAATACTATAAATTTATTGCTATTTATTATTAAAACAAAAAATAAAAGAAGCGGATAAATACACGCAAAAATAATTTTAAATCAAAATATTTGCTATCATCAATCAAGTCACGTGGTTTTTTTTTTCAAATATTACTCACCGTATTTTAGAAAAACGTGTTTTGTTTTTTTTTTTTTAAATGTTCTTAGGTGAATTTGCAAAAGAAATGTGATTTTTTTGAAATAAATTTAAATTTCACACATTTGATGTAAATAATGTGGGAAGTGTGGATTTAAGATTTAAAAAAAGATCTCATATCTTCTCTCTTTCATCTATATCAAATAAGCTGTGAGACTATACTGGAATTATAAGCGCCGAACTCTGGAAGTATACTAAAGTTATTTCAAGACTTTGTAATGCAATCTCTTTTCTCAATTCTCTCAATACTCCCACCACTTTACAAATATCTTCCAATTTTATGATTGAATTCACGAAGGCAAAATCGCACCCTCCAACTTTACGTAAATCAAAAATGTTTATGGCCCACTTATGTAGCATAACAGCCCACAGATATTTATTCATCTGAAAATCATTTTATTTCATTAAAATACGAAAATCTTTGATACAATTTTTTTTTTTTTTTTCTTTATAAAAATTAGACTTTCGTAAAAATTATTATTCATTCAGTGATTAAATTATTATCATGATTTTTTTTATAAATTTTTTTTTTTAATTCAAAATTGTTGAAAAAAATTTTTTTTTTTTTTTTTACAGATTGGCGCTGATGGAATAAATTCGCGAGTTCGACAAGCAATGGGTGTTCAACACGTTAAATGGAGTTACAATCAAATGGGAATTGTTGGTACGGTGGAATTATCAGAGGTTTGTGTATTAAAAAAAAAAAAAAAAAAAATGGAAAAATACATTTATTTTTCATATTATTTAAATTTGATTTCTATTTCATTTTTTACAGCCCACTGAAAATATCGTTGCATGGCAACGATTTCTTCCCACTGGACCCATCGCTTTATTGCCCGTAAGTTTTCTATTTATAAATAATTTCAGAATTTTAAATAAACAATTATTTCAGTTAATTTTCAAACCCTAACATTATACATTATTATTCTTATTTTTATTACTATTATTATTATTTTTATTATATTATATTATTTTTATTATATTATATTATTTTTATTTATTATAAATTATAAAATAATTGTTCGTAATTGGAAAATTGTTTTCAGTTAACTGAAAGTTTGAGCTCATTAGTATGGTCAACATCAACGGATGAGGCAAAGAAACTTTTAAAATTATCCGATGAGGCATTTGTTGATAATTTAAATGAAGCACTTTGGAAAGTTTATCCAAAAGATGGAACTGTTGAAAGTGGAATGAAGGCGTTACAGCAAATTTTGAAAAATTTACAATTAGAAACCGGTGTATCTAGACAATTACAGCCATCAATTTCTGGTATTGTTGAAGAATCACGAGCAGCGTTTCCTTTAGGTTTTGCGCATTCTGTTTATTATGTGAAACCAGGAGTTGCCTTAGTAGGGTAAATATAATTATAATCAATTCAAAAATAGACGAATTTAAAATAAAAAGAAAGAAAAAAAAAACAAATCTCTAAAACGAGAGAATTTACTTTAAAGCAATATGCTTTTTTAAGTGTGATTCATGTTTTCTTAACTAAGTAGCCATTTTATAAAAAATTCTTTTCACTTTTTTTTTTCTTTTAATCGAAAAAAAATTTGAATATTTCAAAAATTTATTAATTAATAATTAAAATAAATATTTCAAAAATTTATTAATTAATAATTAAAATAAATAATTTAATATTTTTTAATTATTTAAAATTTATTCAAAAATTATTTCTATTTTATTATTAAAAAAATTGTGTGTGTTTTTTTTTTTTAATTTTTCAGAGATGCAGCGCACAGGGTTCATCCTTTAGGTGGTCAAGGATTAAATTTGGGTTTAGGGGATGTTATGGTGTTAGTTCAAATGTTGGCGGATGCTGCAAAAAATGGAGCCCTCCCTGGCGACATGACTTATTTAAAAAAATACGAAACTGCACGACAAAGGCACAATGTTCCAACTATGTTGGCAATGGATGCCCTTCATAGATTATATAAAGGAACCGCTGCTCCAATTGTTCTCGCACGAAGTTTAGGATTACAACTCACAAATGCAATTTCTCCATTAAAGGTAATAATACAATCAATATAATAAAATAATAATAATAATAATAATAATATATAGATTTTTTTTAATATTCAATCTCTAAAGTTCCAATTTGCATAAATATTCATTATTTTTCACCCCCAAATTTAGAAATAGCACTTCATGCAACACAATAAATTCAAGTCAATGAAGATAAATCTTAATTTATTCAAGAAGCAAAATATTTGATTTAAGAAGAATATAAGTGTAAGAAAATAAATTAAATAATAACTAATTTGTTTAAAAAAAACAAATCATTTGGTTTTAAAAATATTTTAAAAAAAACAAATTATTTGCTTCAAGAAGAAATTTATTTTGCAAAAAAAAAAAAGAATTTTAAGTACAATTTGGTTTTATAAAGAAAAATTAATTATTTTTTTTTCAATGAAACCAAATTATTTGGTTTTTGAATAAGAATTTATAAAATTAACTATTTCTACAAAAAAAAAAACATTATTTTCTCTATGATAAATTAATTATTTATTTCAGAGAGCAATTTTTCATCACGCGTCTGACGATGATAATAATTTGTGTCAATAAAAAAGAAAAAGGATCGAAGCAATAATTCCAAAATTGACATTAAAAAATTGTCAATTTTTTTTTCTTACGGTGCAAGAAAATATTAATATCAATTTAATATTTCTTAAAAAAAAAAACAAATTGATATTATTAATATTACATTTTTTAGATTATTTGTAAAACATCAACAAAAAGAAATATGTGATCTAAGTTAATTTATTGTATATAAATTTATTTATAAACTCCGTTATTTCAGAATATGAAAATGTATTCCGATTTACAAATAAAAAAAATCGTAACTTAATTTGGTTTATTTAATACCATTTTTGAAATTCCCATTTTCTTCTTTTCATTTCTTTCACAAAACAGAAGAACATGTTAAATCATAAAAAATGATAAACTATCATCGAATATAAAATTGAATTTCCTAATTCTAGATTAATTTTAAACTATTTTTCCCTTTTTAGACAATTGTAACTATAATTTACGATGAGAATTCAAATTTTCCCACTTAGAACAACCAATGAAAATTGTGTACGTCAGGTTAAGTAACCTGATAAAAAAATTTTATTGATTGGCAACACTGGCAATAAGGAGATGATTTCATCATTGTTGCCAACTGACATGTTCGATGATCTAACCTTAAAATCAGTGTGAAAGAATGTTTATCAATTTTTTACAAAGATATTAAATATCATATTCGTTTCTCAATAATTTAGAGAAATGAAGCGATAATTGTACAAATATATAAATTCATTAAATTAAAAAAAAAAAAAAATATGTTCGCTCCTAAATTATATTCGCGAGTGATTAATTCTACGTTTCGATATCAAGTGAGAGGAATTCAATCAAATGATTCGCTTTTAGATGAATGTACTGCAGTGAGAAATAAAAATCCAAGAAATTTAGAATTATTAACAATTGGTAATAAACCTAAGGGATATTGGCTAGAAAAAGATAAACGTACTTTTTGGCACAAGTAAGAGATTCTTTGAAATTATTCTTATTTGCCTATATGCAAATTGTATTTACAAAATTTTATTTATATTGTTTTTTTTTTCCCCAACACAGGCCAGTGTTTATAAAAAACAGTCGTTGTGTTACTTTAGAGCTTCATCATTTTGAAAATGGAAAAATTATTTCTGTTTCAACGAAAGATTGGTCATTAAAAAAACAATTACAAAAGTCTGTAATTATTTTCTATTTTATTTTCCTCTTATTTAAATTTACAATAAAAAAAAAAGAAAGAAACATTTTAAAAATAATTAAATTTTTCAGGCTCAGCAATACTGCAGCTTATGTAGCATTAGGTGAAGTTTTCGCACAACGTTGCCTTGAAAGTGGAATAACAACAATGATGGATTTACCAAATGAAAATGAAAATGAAAAAATAAAAATATTGAAAGAGAAATTAATTAGTTGTGGTATCATTCTTTCGGAAGCTGATCAAATTATAACACCATGTCCCTGGCATAAGACAAAATTAATTAAACCCTGGGAACTTGAGGTTTAATTCAATATTCTTTGCCTTAAAAAAACATTGTAACGAATATTGTAAAAGTTTATTAGAAACCCTTTTTTTTATGTACAAAAAACAATATATGTAAATTATTAAAAGAAGTATTGAAATAAATATTTTAAAAAAAGAAGAATTATTCTATTTCTCAATTATAGAATTAGTTTTTTTTTTTAATTTAAAGTTCAAAAATCAACCGCGAGGGTAAAAAAGAGTCGCGAACGAACACGTGCATAACCTATAAATTTTTCAAAATGTCAGAATCAGAGGAGCTGAGAGAAAATGAAAATATTGATAAAAAGCCATTATTTCGCGATTTTACTGCTGATGAATCTGAACCTGAATCAACGGTAATTGAAAGTTTATGTATGAACTGTGGAAAAAATGTAAGTACCTGTATATATAATTGATAAAAATAGAAAAATAACACACGTTTAACAAACGTTTCCTGGTCTATTTTAATTTTTAATTATAATAAATTATAAAACATTTTATATTCTACTAATTTTTTCAATTTTCTATATTTTTTCTAAATAATTTATTTTTAAAAATTGTTGCATTTATTTAAAAAAAAACAATCACATAACCTATATGAAATTTAAAAATTGTATATCTATACTTTTTTTTTTTTGTTAATAATATATAGTTTTTTTTGTCAAATAATGCGTTTAAATTTTCTTTTTTGGAAATTTTATTTTAGGGCGTTACAAAGCTACTGCTTACAAAAATTCCACATTATAAAGAAATTGTAATCTCGTCTTTTGCTTGTGAATCATGTAATTATCAGAATAATGAAATTCAAAATGCAGGAAAAATCGGAGAAAAAGGAATTAAAATAACTCTAATTGTTTCAAGTATTAGAGATTTAAATAGACAAGTGGTAAAATCTGATTATACTTCTGTGAGAATACCTCATTTAGATTTTGAAATTCCAGCACAATCACAAAAAGGCGGTAAGTGATAATTACATAATAAAAAAACTAAATTTTAATTATTTTTACAAATAAAAAAAAAATTTATATTTTTCCAGAGGTTACTACAGTAGAGGGAATAATTGAACGCAGTATTGCTGGTTTAGAGCAAGATCAAGCAAAAAGAAAAGAAGAAAATGCGGAAATAGCCGCACAAATTGAAATATTTATTGAAAAACTCAAATTTCTCAAGGAATGTCAAGAATCATTTAAAATAATATTTGAAGATATTTCCGGAGATTGTTTTGTGGAAAATCCTATTATGCCACTTAAGGATACAAATTGTGAAACAACATATTTTAAACGTACTTTAGAACAAAATCACAGTTTAGGAATTTTTCCTGAAAATGAAGATAAATTATTAAAACCAATTGAGGAAGGAGAATTTCCATTAGAAGAAATTGAAGGCGAAGTTTTAACTTTTCCAACAAATTGTCCAGAATGCAATAATCCTTGTGAAACAAACATGAAAGTGACCAGTATCCTTTTTAATAAAAATTATTATTTTTCACAATTTTTAATTCACTAATTGACTAATTTTTCCTTAATTTTTCACCTAAAGACATTCCACATTTCAAAGAAGTGGTAATAATGGCAACAACATGCGAAATTTGTGGACATCGTACAAACGAAGTGAAAAGTGGTTCGGGAATAGAACCAAAAGGTGCAAAAATCGAAGTAAAAATAACAGGTAAAAAAGATTTTAGTCGCGATATTTTAAAATCAGACACATGTCATATGGAAATACCGGAATTGGAATTAGAAGTTGGTCCCACAACACTTGGTGGTAGATTTACAACAGTCGAGGGAATTATTATATCAATAAAAGAACAACTCTCAAATTCAACGGCATTTATCGGCGATTCAAGTGATAAAGAAACTATTAATAGATTAGAGAAATTTATTTTTCAATTAAATGAAATTCTCGATGGTAAAAAAGAAGTAACATTAATTTTAGACGATCCTGCTGGTAATAGTTTTATTCAAAGTTTATCTGATAATGATGAACCAGATGATAGATTAAAAATCACAAAATATGAGAGGAGCTTTGAACAAAACGAAGAACTTGGAATTAATGATTTAAATGTAGATAATTATTAATTTTTGTACATTTTTAAAAAAAAATTAAATTAACATTTTAATTAATTTTTTATCATTAAATTAAAAATACAAAATGAAATATTAAAAGTAAGCCTTGTTTCTATTATAATTTTTTTATTTTCTTTTTCTAAGAATTAAAGGAAATTTTTATTTACAATTACATCATGATATATCGGAAAACAAGAATTATATCTTAATTTTATTTCTAAATTTTGAAAAAATACTATAAAATTATTTTACATCTAAAGTCTAATTAATTTCTTATCTATTTTCAGAAAAAAAAATAATCGCAACTATTCAATTTTCTAAATAGCTTTCTTTTTTACAAAAAAAAAAAAAAATTCGTATACTTCATAGTCTCTGAAATTTCTATTCTATTATTTATTTATTTTACTATTTAGCGTTTGTTTTATTTCCATTGCGAGTTTATAACCAAGCTCAGGTCGTCGATCGCGTCCATTAACCATTGCTTGAACTTGACTTGAATTAACAATAACGCCATTATTTGCAATCACAGTTGATTTGGTTTTTTCAATGTCCACCAAATCAACGCCACGACTACAATCATCAATTAAAATGGTACGATAACCACTTGCTAATGCATCAACGGCCGTTGCTCCAACACAAACATCATAGGCCAATCCACAAATATAAATATCAGTAGCGCCTTTTGCTTGTAATTGTGACGATAATGTTGTTTCAGTTAATTTTTTATTATCCCAAAACACTGAATATGAATCGACATCAGGATTTGTACCTTTATAAATTTTAATTGATTTCTCAACAATTTTTAAATCCTTATGCAATTCCGCACCCCATGAATCTTGAACGCAATGACGTGGCCATAATCTTTGTTTTAATTCAGGTGGACCGATAAATGTCACTGTATCATAGACGCGAATCTCTTCTTTTGAAATTCCACTCGATAAATCAATGTCCCTTTAAAATAATTATTAATATTAAAAAGAAGACAAAATTTTTTTTTATTCAAATTGTCAAATTATTTATACCTAAGATGAAGATTATCGATGAATGATACATGATCAACGGGATGCCAATCGAGAGAATAGAAAACAGCATCAAAAGGCACATTTTCCAATAGACGATTTATCGGATCAATAACTTCTGAGCCATCGTGTTGTGCAGCGCATTTTTGTATATTAAGAGAACCGCTTATAAAATCATTTTGTACATCAACAATCAGAAATGCGCTCTTTGGCCTTGTACACACTTTAATCCATCGATTCCAACAAATCTGAAAAATTACAAATTTATTCAAATAAAATAATTCACTTTCGTTAAATAACAAAAAAAATACTGCATTTAAAAATATAAATTTCAACGCTAAAATACATGTATATATATACCTCAAATTCTATCCTATCAAGCAAACAATCACCATTGATATCAAAAACAGCGAAAATCTCCTTCAATTGTTGTTCCTCAAGTTCATAAACTTTACCCCGATCATTACGAAACAATGCACGACAAATGAGCTCAAATTCCGCTAATGAAAGAAAACCATCACCATCTTTATCGAATGCAGTAAAACACGCGTCCATGATGCTGCATTACTTTTTCCGTATCCAAGAAGTTTGTGTAATCGATATCTTCATATCGTTTAATATTTCTCCCACAAATACATATGCAAAATAAACTTTCACCTTTTAATTTAATTTTTCCAATTTTAAATTCAACAAAAATCCTTTCAGATAAAACAAAAATTCCCCTTCAAATACAATAAAAAAAAAAAAATTCTCTTTAATTCTTTGTCTAAACTAAATTCTAATTTCTAAAATAAAATAATAATAAAAAAAAGTTATTGATTAAGCCTCTGGTGTGTCAAGAGAGCAATATCGACCATCACTTCAGGAAGTAATAATTCACTTATTTTATATTTCATTGATTCCTCATAGGCATAAGTCACGGATGTATCAGTTAAAAATAAATTACATTCCGACAATATAAGAATGCAATTACGTAAACGTGAACAAACATTTCTATCTTCTTGTGAGATACGTGATAAATCTTGTGTGAAACCACCTTCTGAACGATCTGTTTCCGTTGTATTTGCACCAATCCAAATATATCCATTATTACCCAAAATTAAAATTGCTCCATTCGCAAGATTATGATAATGTGTTTTTTGTCGTTTTATCAAACCAGGTGCAACTTTTAACATAATACCTTGCGATAATTTGCCATATTTAAGAACACGTGTATGTAACGATAGTGAACCATCAACAAATATACTTTGTACTTCGGCACAAATTAAATCACCCTCTTGTAAATAACGACGCATCATTTGTTCATCTTCAACTGATCTTCTTCGCTGTCAAAAAAAAAATTCTATAAAATTCCCTTCTTTTTCAATTTTATTTTTAATTACAAAACTTACCAATTCACCACCAGGTAAATTAACACTCGATAAAAGTAGCGCGGAATCTAATTTTGCATTTGTATCAACTTTCCATCGTTTTTGTTGTACTTCCGTTATTCGACCAACAACAACATCGCCAATTTCACCTTGATAACGTGTCTTAAAGGGCTTTATTGAAATTAATTTATTCACTTTTTCTAAAACGCCAGCCACCGATGAACGTAATGTTTTATGCTCGTCCACATAAGTGCCGTGACCTCTGACAATTAACAAATTTTCATGATTCATATAGACAAATAATTATTTTCCAAATGAAAAATATAGTTTTTTTTTTCAATATCTGAATAATAAAATTCAAATCCCTAAATATTATCCAAAAATACCTTAAAAAATCCCCCTGGGTAGAAACCTCTTCACCTGGTGTATAAAAGCCCATTTTAACTTCTTGGTGTTGAAAAAAATTCGTATCAACACGATCAACTGCCAATCGAGCAATTATCGGTGGTATATTCTCTTCAGTCATTGTAAAAACTTTTTTCCCCCTAATCTTCAATTAAAATCTTCCCTTTTCTTACATTAAAAAAAAAAAACCGCACTGAAAATAAACGAAACAGTTAATCTAACCTAAAAAAAACAGCACGTGTCCATATCACTTGAAGTTTGTCGCAAAAGAATTTTTTTTCGCGCCAAATTTAAAATTTCATTTTTCAAATAAATTTAAAATATAATTTATTTTTTTTCTATAAAATAAACACAAAATTTGTGTATATAACAAAAAATATCACAATTGTCAATCATAATAAAAATTGTCACTGCTTTTGTAAATCATTTGCTGAATAATTATCATACATTTTAATTAATGACACAGATGTTCTTGGTTTAACAACTGATAATGCAGTTCGAAAATGTTCTTTTGTTATTATTGTCGCTGATAAATCTAATTCCAATGCATTCATTGCCGCTTCATGACAAACTGCTTGTATTTCAGCACCCGAATAACCCTCAGTAATATCAACTAAATCCTGAATAATAATATCGTCAGCAATTGGCATTTTTTGTAATTTTATTGAAAATATTTCTCTACGAGTTTCAGCATCCGGAAGTGGAACATAAATTATTCTATCAAGCCTTCCTGGACGTAAAAGTGCCTAAAAAATTTTATTTTAATTAATTTTTTTTTTTTCAACAAAAATGTGAAGGAAAATAAATAAAAAAAAAAAACCTTATCGAGTCTATCAGGTCGATTTGTAGCTGCAACTAAAGTAACATTTCCTAAAGCTGTAACTCCATCTAATTCTGTTAAAAGTTGAGTTAAAACACGTTCTTGAACATTACTTCCACTGCTCTTTGAAGAAGATGCTCTCTCACCTCCAAGAGCATCGATTTCATCGATAAAAATAATTGACGGAGCAACTTGTCTTGCTTTGCGAAAAATATCCCTCACTGCCTTTTCGGAATCACCCACCCATTTTGAAAACAATTCAGGACCCTGTCAAAAAAAAATAGTTTAAGACAATTTGTGAAAAATTAAAAAATTAATTTAAAAAAAAATTCACCTACATTAATATTCAAAAAATTGAGATTACTCTCAGTTGCAAGTGCTTTGGCAATCATTGTTTTCGAACAACCAGGTGGACCAAACATTAAAACTCCTTTCGGTGGAACAATACCCATTCGTTTAAAAACTTCCGGATTTTTCAATGGCCATTCAACGGCTTGTTTTAATTTCATTTTCAATTCATTTTGTCCACCAATTTCCGACCATTTTACATTTGGTACTTCAACTAATGCCTCTTTCATTGCCGATGGATTAACATTTCTCAAAGCATATTCAACATCCTTGAATGTTATTTCAATATTAGAAAATTTTTCCGTTTTCGATAAACGTTCTTTTGCACATGAACGTGCTTCAGAACATAATCCTTCTAAATCAGCAGCTACAAAACCATGTGTCACCGATGAAATATTTTCCACATCTTCATTAAATAATTTATTTGGAAAATTTGATAAAATTTTTTCAATAATATCCTTTCGCATTAAACGATCGGGAACATTTATTTCAAATTCTTTTTGTAATCTACCCGCTCTACGTAGAGAATTATCGATAAATTCTAATTTCGATGTTGTTGCTAAAATTGCAATTTTTGCATTATTATAACGTAATTCATCGAAAAGATTAATTAAAGTTGCAAGTAATTTTCTCTCTTGATCTGTTGTTGTTGTACTTTTTTTTGGACAAATTGTATCAATATCTTCTAATAAAATTATACTCGGTGCTTTAATAATTGCATCTTGAAAATAATCTTTCAATACCATTTCCGTATCCTCGTGAGATTTGGGAATTAAATTTAAAACACTTATTGTTATTGAATTAACATTATACTCGGATATTAAAGTATTTGCTATTGTTGATTTGCCAATTCCCGGTGGTCCATAGAGTAAAATACCTTTTATTGCATTAAATTGACTAATTTCACCACATAATCCCAAAGCATCGTCCATTAAATTTTTTATTTTCGAAATAAGATTTCCATAGCCGCCAATATTTTTCAATTTCAATTTTTTTCTTTTTGTATTCTCCTCCATCACTTTTGTTTCAATAATCCATTTTGTATTATAATTTGCTTTATAAAGATGTAAATTATCTTCAGATATATTCAATGAAGCGAAACTTTTTGTTAAATCTTTCGTTACTTTTTCTTCTTCATCGTAATCAGTATCGAATTTTACTTTGACAATTTTAAATATTATTTTTCTACAGTAAAATGGAATGCAAATTTTATTGTTAATGGAAAAAATACTATTATCAGTGTGTGTTTTAATCATTAATTCAAATTCAGATGAAAAAGAAGGTAAAGATTGTTTTCCCAAATATTCGATAAAAATCTCCTTAGCGAGACGTGGAGTAATTTTTAATTTTTGAACTTTGATATGCGAACCAAGTTTATCTAATTCTATAGCTGTAAAAAGAATTTTTTTTTTTTAAATTCAAAGATTAAAAAAGAAACAATAATGTAAAAATAAAAAAACATACCATTTTTTGTTAGTGATACACTAACAACATTTGAATTATTAGAATGAAAAGCTGTTTTAACAACAATAGTGTCTCCAATAACAAGTACATCGTCTCCTAAAGAAATATTACAAAATTCCATAGCGGAAGTTGATAAAAATATCATTTTATTAGCTTCTGCTTCATTAATATTTTCCGTTATATCTATAAGAAATAATTAAGAATTTTATAAGAATAATTATTTCGATTATTTTCTAATTTAAAAATTAATATTTTCTGATAATTACCCTTTGTATTGTAAACTTCAACTAAACTATGTAAAACACCATTTCGTATAAATCTGTAATTCCAATTTTCCCTAGGAGGAGGACATTCTTCTAAATGATTTTCATTATCCTCTGTACTAATAAGACATTCACATTTATCACATTTTACCCACTTAAAAGCATTTGATCTTCTTTTCGATGACATACTTTCAATTTTTATTTTTTTATAATGTATTTATTATTTAAATTATATTTATTTTAAATATATTTTCAGAAATACTGACTAATATTTTCCTATCATTGTTTAAATAATAAGAAAATTTAGAATAATTTTAAATTTGTACCACGTGGGTTTTGTTTGTATATATAGTTTTAGATTTTTTATTTGTTTGATAAATAATCACTTCAATATATAAACAAATAATAATCAAAAAAATGCAAAGCAATAGAATTTTTAAAATAAAAACAAATTTAAAATTAAATACAAATAAATGTATTTTCTTATCTCTAAATTTGTTACATCTGTCAAAAATTTAGAACTGAAGTTAGGTTAGTTTCTTCGATATATCGAAATTAAAAGTCGATTTAAAAAACAGAAAAACAATCGACTATCGCGACGACAACAATGCGTTTTTCCGGCACGTTTGGAAAAATGAATAATTTTGAAGGTTAATTTTATTTTATCCTTAAAAAAAAGTATGAAAAATATTCAGTTTGTGTGGGAAAAAAGTGTCGCTTGAGGAAAAGTGTCAATTCAACAATTATTTAATAATACATTGATAAGTTTTTCATTTACATAAAAAGAAAAGAACTTTTTAACGGTTTTGTGATAATCTTCAAACATTTTTTTTTGCGCGACTCAACAAATTTTTCTAAAAATAGTTTTTAAAACTTTTTCTCAATTTTTTTCCCCTATTAATAAGTTAGTTTTTTTTCAATCTAATGTGTATTTAGTAAAATAGTGCGACGAAATAAAACGTTAATTTTTTCGTTAGCATCGAAGTGGAAAAGTTTTTTTTTTTTTCGTTATTTGTTTTCAAATTACAAACAAATAAAAATGAATCATCAGTGTCAATGTGGTGATATGCACAATGAAGGAGAATTAGGTGTTCAATACAATCTTTATCAAAAGATTGATTTATCAAATGTCGAATGTTTAAATGAAGCAGAAGAAGGAACTGGAGTAAAAGTTTTTAAATCGTGGGAAGAACGTTTAACTCAATCGGATGTGAGTATTTATTAATTAATAATAATTAATTATTATTAAAAATAAAAATGTTAAAAAAAAGGAAAAAATGAATTGTTTTTTTTTATTTCAGTATGTGGAGAGTGATGTCGATGATGAACTTCTTTTCAATATTCCGTAAGTGTGTAAAATTCTTTTAAATTTAGAAAAGTAAAAATAATTTTCAACTAAAAAATAATTTTCAGATTTACTGGAAATGTGAAATTGAAAGGATTAATTCTAATTGGAGGTCCTGATGACACATATCCATCTTCAGTTAAATTGTAAGTTAAAGAATTTTTTTTTTAAATAAAAAAAAATTAATTTATAGGCAATTTCAAATTTTTCAATTAAAAATAAATTTCAGATTTAAAAATCGTCCTGGCATGACTTTTGATGAAATTGGGACTGAAGTAGATCAAGAGATTGAATTAGTTAGAGACCAAAATGGAGTTCATGAATATCCAATCAAGTATGTATTTTTACTTTTCGTTTAATTTTTATTTTCTTCTCAGAGCTTTTAATTAAAAAACACTTCATTTTTATAAAAAGTATTAACAGATTTTTGAATTATTCATAAAATGACAAAAAAATCTGACGAATTTATATGAAAATTATTCTATAGAAGAAAAATTCAGAGACTCATTAAAAAAAAAAAAATGTTTCTTTAAAGAAAACAAATACAGGAAAACAATTTAAACGAGAGGAAATTATATTTAAAAACAAAAATTGTATAATTAACCCCAAAAAAAGAAAGAAGACTTCCTTTCAAGTTTTCCTGCAACAAATTTTTCCTTAAATTTTCTATACAAATTTATCTAAATCATTTTTATAAAACAAAGAAAATAGAAAATTCTTGACAAGAAAAAGATAAAAGGAAAATTATAATTATTAAATGAGAAATGTTTTAAAACAGAGTTGTGAAATTCTCATCAGTGAATCATCTAACTCTACATTTTACTGGTACTGCTGGCGCTGATAAAACTCGCATCCATTATATTGGATTAAAGGGCGAATGGACCGCAGCACCACGTCAGGGTGTTGTCATTGCCACTTATGAATTACGACCCCAGGCTAGTGATCATCCACAGGATTACGAAGATTTTACAAGAGAAATTCAATAAAAAAAAAAAATAATTTTTTTATATTATAAATACATAAAAAAAGTGATATTTTTCCATTTAACAAAAATTAAGTATTCAAATCATAAAATGAATTTGTATTTCCAATTATTGAATGTTATGAAAATAATTTTTTTTTTTTTGTAATTTCATGATTTATTCTAAATAAATCCAAATTTATATTAAATCAATATTAAAATATTAACGCCCCCCATAAACAATTAAAATTATTTGACTTTTAATTTATTTATAAAAAGCATTTATTGTTTTTAAATTGTGTATATGCATAAATAGAAATAATTTCACAATCAGAAACAGAAAGAGATAAATCTTGTTTCTGCGTTTTCTTATCACAATAGAGCTCATGATATAGAAACTTATCTTCCTACTTTGTAACAGAAAACTCTTTCAATATTAACAGTGAATATTTACTTGAGCATTTAGTAAAAACTAAAAAAGAAATTGCAATTTACTCAATCAAATTTTTCCCATTTGAAAATTATTTTTATAGTACAATATCCATAAAAGGATTTAGAGATTATATGAAAAAAAAATTAATAAACGTTTCTAAACTATTTGGATATCAAAAAAAAAATTTTTTGTCGTTTTCTATATTATTTATAAAATTGAAATTTTTTTTTATAGGAAATTTTTGTCCCATCTTTCCATAGAGAAATTCTAGTGCTGTTCATTCGTCTTTACGCGGGCGAACGTTCTCGCGCTTTTATTTTCAGAAGACCAAATTCTACTTGAGGAAAAGCTACCGCATCAGAGAGAGAAAAAGGGGCGGTCGACTGTCGTCATTCCGCATGCAACTGCATCGCGTGAGTTTCACTTAAAATTCACGGTTTATAAAAGGCCGCATAAAGTTACTCTTCATGTGATAAAGTTCAGCATTTGCGCCTAAGCGGTCTTGGCGAATAGACGGTATTTTTTTTTTTTTTCTATCACGATAACAAAATAAAAAAAAAATATATATATATATTCGAAGAAAAAAATTCTCTTCTAAATATAACGTTTTTTCTATAAATAATAATGCAAATAATAAAAAAAAAATATATATTTTTACAGAAAATTTCAAGTGACAATTTTGCGGATAAAGAAGAGAGTGTAAAAAAATTTTTCCCGGTGTGTAACGAAGAAAATAAAGAAGATAACGAAGGAAACAAAGGAAGATTCAAGGTAAATAAAAATATTTTCAAAAAAGAAAATAGCGACAAAGAATAAAAAGATAAGACAATGATTTTTTTAAATAAACTTTTTAAAGTTTTGTCTGTTATGGTTAAGTCACGTGATTTATAACCACAGAATAAATTCTACATTTTATATATAAAAAAAAGGCATAAAAAGATAATAGTGAAAAAGTGAAGGCGAGTAACCAGTTTTACTGATAATATATTATTGCCATGGCATTTTAATTATCAATATTAGAAATAAACTATCACTGATATTTAAATAGTTTTAAAGAAGTTAAATATACGTCAGGAAGAATGTTATTAAAAAAAAAATTTAACATTCTAACAATTGTCAAATTAAATATTTTAATCATTTTCCTCTTTCACGTGTAAAGAAAAACGTATGTTTATTTTAATCCACGTGCATAATTCTTTTCTTTATTTTAATTTTTTTCTATAATTTAAAATTTTTATTAATTAAATATAATTATTCCGATTAATTATAATCAATATTTTTCAATTAGTTTTTGAAATTCAAATATTTAAGATAAATCAAAAAAAAAATAATAATCTTTGTATATATATATATATAAAGAAACACGTGTTTATGTAAAATGTTTCAATATTTGATAAAATGAACAATTGCTAATTGTAGATAGATGAAAACAGTGTTTCTTTTTTTTTTTTTTTTTGTAAGATAAATCGCGTAGACTTTATACTAATGTTTCATATAATGCCTTACTGACACAGATTTTCCATCGAATTAAACTTTGTTTTATCATTTCAAGAACTTGATCTTTACTCTGACGAGAATTTACACGAATTGGAAAAATATCATTGATAAGATAATAATACAGAATTTATCAATTTTCTATATCAAAATATGATTGTGAGGTTAGACAAGAATTTGCAGTTAATTGTTAATTTTACTATATATAGTACATTTCTATAAGGTTAATGACATTTAATATTTTATTTACTCATAAATATGAACTTTAATTTTTAATATACAAAAAATATGTTTAATATTTAATTTCTAGTAAACTATTTTTTAATTAAATTAAAAGTTAAATATTTTTTTTAAAGGGGCGCATAAATTTCCAATAAAAATAATTCATTAGAATTTTTATTTAATTTTAATTTCTTTAATTACCCAAATTTATATGATTCGAATGACAGAAATTCCAATTCACCGAATTTTCATTTGTCCGAATAATTTAAAATTGAAATTCTAGTTTTTAAATTTTATTATTTTCTATGATAATTATTAAGACAAACGAAAAAATTATTATAAAAAAAAAAATGTCAATTTTTATTACACGTTTATTCTCGAGTGTAAATAATTAAAAATTTATGAATGGTCTATTCTGAATGTGTACAATGTAGGTACAGGTAAAAGGAACTTTAACAAATAGAGTATGAATAGAGAGATGTTTGTGAAACATGATATCACTTTAAAGAGACAGAAGAATAGTTATAGAGGAGAGACATAAAAAGAGGGATGAAGCAGAGCTTTTAACCCTTTTCTTGAGAAGAGCAAAGGTGAAAAGAAGAACAATAAGAGACACTTTTTCTCAGTTATGAATTTATACCCAAAAAAAAAAAATATAATAAAAATTCATTTCTTTATTTCATTAACAATATTATAACGATTAGAATTTATTTTCTCTTTTTATTAGTCATGTCTCAAAGAAAATAAATAAAATTTTCAAAAGGTTAATATAAATCAAAATTGTTAATTATTATAATTTAAAAATTATTATTTATTTATGAAATGAAACTCTAATTTTATAAAACTTGTTTTATTCAATAAATACCTTAATTTTAATCAGATAGTCGAATTAATCGCGACGTAATACCTTTTTATATATATATATGTTTTGATATTTATGTTTCTTTTTTTATTGCGCGACAACTTTCTTAACTATAAAAATATTTCCTAATTATGATTTATTCATTTTCATTATAAAAGACTGTCCAAAGTTAATTAAATAAAAATGAAAAATGTCAAAACCAACTGGTTTAATTAACTTGTTTGGATGCTATATTTTTTTCCCCTGTAATATAATCATTGTTTAATTTATTATTTCATCTCACAATAATTTGTGAATCAAACATTCAATCAAATTCAATTGGCCATAAGAAAAGAAAAAACAAATTAGACTTTAATATAAAAATATTGAATTGCGTACGAACAAAAAAAAAAAAAAAATTTTCATCATTCTGTTTTCTTACCATTAACCATCTCAAGAATCAATTTGAAAAAAAGAACAACAAAATATTTGATGAAAAAAATTTTTTTAAACTCATTTTTCAATTTTTGTATATATATGCTCTTTTTTTAATAATTAATTTAATAAATAATTTTTATTATTAATTTATTGCTGTAAATAATTTTGTATAAAATTTATATTCCGTTCATGACGAATAGTCTAGATATTTTCAGTACACAACATGAATAGACAAAATATAAAGAAAAAGAGGATTCCAGATTTTCTGGACGCACGCAGCTGCGGGAGCAAATATTTTCCAAATATTAAAATAATCACCAATTTATTTATTATCATTAATTATTATTATTAATTTAAAAATATAATTATAATTATGATAATAAATAATTGTTGATTATTAAAAAAATAATTATATGAATTAATATTATAATTAAGAGTAAATAAATTATTATAATAAAATTCCTGAAAGAATTTTATTGTTTGAAAAATATACAAAGATTATTTCATTGATTATCAAAAAAAAATTGATTCATAAAATGACACATTTCGTATATGCAATAAATTTTTTTTTTTTTTTTTTTTAATAAATAATCTCAGTGATCTTTTGATAACCCGGTATCAAAATTAGGAAACTATCTCTTAAAATTAATTGCAATAATACTTTTTATACCATAAAAAAGAATGTTTCGATACAAATTGCATTATTGCATTTTCTTTTTTTTTTTTTAAATCTGAAGGTCAAGGTTCAACGAGCGATCAGAGTCATTGTTAATGGAATAATAAAAATATTTTGTGTACATGAAAAAGTTTTTTTTAGAGGCGCCATGAAAGCTACACGAGTGCATAAAATTACATTTAGTGCAACACTGTATAAATATATATATATATGTGTGTAGAATTTTGTTTGGCGACGAGCCTCCATTCTAACTCTTTCTCTTTGTTTTCAAATGACGTTCTAAATAGCTTCATTGCATCCCAAGAGATAGGGGATATTATAAGAACATTAAACTTTCTTTATTCCAAAAAAAAATCCTCTTTATACTTATAATTAGAATTCTAAAAATAAAATAAAATTTTCTTAAATTTCAATGTTCTATGATATATATGGAAAATTAACCCTGGAATCAAGAGATTTCCGGTATTTCCAAGATTGATTGTAATTATAGATAAATGATCATTTTTTTTTTTTTTTTTACTTTAAACACAATAATAGACTGTATAATATACGTATTCCTAAAATAAACGATTTATTGAAGAAGTGATAACGTAAGATAATGTGGGATTTTGAAATTTTCTTTATAATCTTATCAATCATGTGGATAATAATTAAAATATGTTTTTACAGGTACCTAATATAAAAATTGATTTTTATTTTTTAATTCAATAAATATTAATTCGCAATTAAATCAATTTGTTAAAAAGAAATTGTTTATTATTTTTTCATATATTAATTAAAAATTGAATTATAAGAATTTCTCATTTTTTTTTACCAACAATAGAAAATTGAAAAAAAATTTATTTTTTAAAATAATTATTGTTTCAATTTTTTTTTTTTTGTCAGCTAAAATATGGAAAATTCCTCAGAAAAACCAGATTATATTTGACCTTTTCTTTTATATGCAATTTTTTTTTTCTAATCTTTTAATCTTTTTACAGGTATTCTAATAACTGTTGCTGAGAGAAAGAAAAAGAAAGAGAGGGGCATTGCAATTTGCTGCAAATATTGTCAGTGATCTATGGATGTATATAGACATTAGAAAAGAAAAATAATAATAATAATGAAGAAAGATAGCAATGTTTGCGATTAGCCTACTGACAAATGCGCCACCATCTGTATACAAGTTCTTTGCACAATCATTGAAAGAACACGTGCTGTACAAGATCGGCTATTCGGTGAAGGACCTTGTTACTATCATACAGTCACTTTATTTCTACCATCAGAATCAGACGTAGAGTTAGGCATTTATCGATGCCTTTCCCGCTTCAATCAACATTTTCCACAAAAAACATGAAGTTTTACAACAAGAATTATTCTTCATAATTCATTCTACAGCGACAACTATAAGACTTTTTTTTAGAAAAAAAAAAAATTTATTAATGTAAGTTTCAGTGAAAGAATTTTTTTTCTATTCAATATTTTTATGAAGCTGAAATTTGTAAAAAAAAAAACATAATTATAATATTAATTTTTTTCTCTTTAAAAAAAAAGAAAAGAAAAAGTAAATAAAATTGACAACTATTAATTAGTTTATTTTAATTAATCAGAAAAAAGCTATTTTATTGAAACTATTTTTAGTTTGAAATAAACTGGTAATATTTATATTTATGACATTAATTAACATAACTGACAATTTAATTCGTAATTGATTATTTTTTTTCTTATAACAAATTTCAGCTTCATTTATCAATTTTAGTTTTTTTCTTTTTTCAGCAGTTTTTTATAAAACTAGGTTGCGGTAACAATTGTTAAATTTTTGTATTTTGTTATCGCATAAAAAAAAGACCTACATATAAATAACGAGACTAATTTGTAGTAAAAAACAAAATTAAAAAAAAAAAGATCTTTACTTATTTAAAAAAAATAAATTCGAATAGAAAAAAAATAAACAGAGGGGAATTGAAATTCTTTTTCGGTTGACTAATTGGGAAAAAAGAGAGAAAAAAAAAATAATTAGTAATTACATTCCACACGCCTATCTCTTGTATTCTTTGTCTTTTTCATGTTTATTTTTTTTTCTCCCGCGACAGTTATTTATTAACGGCCATGGCTCATTCAATTCCGGGAGACAAGATAAAAAAAAGAGAAAATGGAAATATTGACAAAATTGACGAGGATACGGAAGATGATAATTTTATGCAAGAAATCACCGAAGATGATTCTCAACCCCCACCTCCAGACGGGGGGTGGGGGTGGTTCGTAGTTTTTGGATCATTCATGATACACATAGTCAGTGAGTATATTTAAAATTTTGAAAATATTTTTCCTTTTTTCTCAATTTTATAAATATTTATATTTTTTCAATTAATCAGAAAATATCGGATTTTATTTTCCTGAGTTTACAAACCCTTTTATGTAAATGAATCATACGAATGAATCAAGTTATACAAATATGTATTTGTATTATACATGCCGCGTGTTTTAATAGAAAAATTTATTTTCCAATATAATATAAAACTGTTTTTTTTTTTTTTTTTGAAAAGTAACTTTATACGCGGAATTTATCTGTTTCAATTTTTTTTTTCTTTTTTTGCTTTCATCATATAATTATAATCAAGTTGCACTGAATAAAGGTACTCGGAATAATTAGGAGTCCTGCAATGCGAAACAATCTACTTAAAATGCACATATGTTTGAACATCGAAGACACGTGTGTGCAATTCTATAGATATATTTCAAAATTCTTTTTAATTATAGATCAAAAGAAATAATTTTCAAATACACTAAAAATAATATTCGATTCAATTGTAATAATTATATATTGAATAATTCATGAATTAAAAAGGAATGTTTTTTTAAAAAATATTTTTTTCATTACAAAAAAAATTTGACCAATACTTTGGAAACAAATTTATTTTCTTCATTTGAAAAATTTGACGAATGAAAAAATTTCTTTAATTTGTGAAAGACAGAGAAATAATTAAAAATTTCCTGCAATTTAAGTAATAAAAAAAAAATAGCTAAACGAATAGAAGTTTTAATATTGTGTGAATTTATCCCAGAAAATGGCTAAAGAACACTTTAAAGTCACGCAAGTGACAATATACGCGATTATCTTTAAAGATATTATATTTTTCGAATTCAACAAACGTCAGCATTGAAATAGAGAATGTCTTTATAAAAAATTATCTTTTTTATACAAACAATGCTGATTATGTTGTTTCTAATCGTCGCACATTTTTTTCAATTCTTGTTTATTATAAAATTATTTCTATTATTTATACTAATTTCAAAAAAAAAAATATATATTTTGGTAAATTACCAAAAAATTCCAATTATCAAATGAAGGTTATTTATAATTGCCCCCCCTCCCCTTGAAAAAATTGCAAAATTTGCAATAAAATTGAATATATTAATTCTGCTTGCATGAAGCTTTTCGAATATAAATTGGGAATAAATTATATATTCCACCTAGTTTGAAAGGAGAACATTTTAAACGTGATATATGTGGCTTTGTCACGAACCTGATAGTTTGTATAATAATTATATAGGATCGAGAAAATCTTCCAAAAAAAAATTGAAAATTTTTATTTTCAACTTAAGAGGTAAATATAATTTTCTAAAGAGAAAAACATCCTAGAACGAGAATGTTTTTCAACGAAAAAGGAAAAAAAAAAAAAAATTACCTTAGATCGTTATTGTATACGTGAGGAAACAATGTTAAACGTGCACTAAAGTGAATGAAAAGAATTCGACACGAAACTCTATTATTGATCGGAGTCAAGGATAAAGTTTAAGAAAAAATTAATTATTGTAGATCAAATTTATAAAACTACGAAATTAATTAATTTTTCATTATTAAAACCTGAATAGTTTTTAATTTTTCTTTTTTTCTATTATAATTTATCTATTTTCAATTTTTTTTCTATTCTCAATAATTCTATTGTTTTCTCTTGGAGAAAATATTTTTAATATTTTTAATTTTACAATTTCAAAAATTTTTTTTTCAGCCGACGGTGTGACGTATTCATTTGGTGTATTATTCGAAAAACTTATAGAACATTTTAATGAAGGAACAGGACCAACTGCTTGGATAGTTTCTATTTTAGTTGGAGTTACATTATGTTCCGGTGCGTATATAATTATTGTTCTCCTCCCTCCCAAAAAAAAAAATGATTATATAATTAAAAAAATAAATTTTTAAATAAAAATATATTTTAATTTAAAAAAGAAATGATTTTAAAAAAATTGTTTTTTAAATTTATTATTTTTGTTGAAAATTATTATATTTAATAATTCCTTGCATTTTTTAAATTATAATGTTAATATTTTCTTTTAGCGATTGCATGTGTGTTAAGAATCTAAGAATTTTTTAGGTCCAATTGCAAGCGTTTTTGTTGATAAATATGGCTGTCGACCAGTAACGATCGCAGGTTCTATATTGGCTAGCTTATGTTTCTTAGTGAGCATGTGGGCTCAAAATATTATAACATTATGTTTATCAATAGGCCTTGGCACTGGTAAGAAATTTTTATGTCAATTATTAAATAATTAACTCATCTAAACACTGAAAAAAGTTTCTGATAACAAATATAATTTTTTTTTACTCAATTCTTTATTGTGAAATGTTTTTTTTTTTTAAATCATCGCGCAATAATTAATATTCATTTAAATCGTAATTAAAAATATTACTTTTTAAATTAGAAATAAATATTTTATTTCGAAATTAATTCGTTTATCAAAACGAATCTGAAAATTTAAACGATCAAATTATAAAAATAAGAAATTTAAAAAATCGGACTTATAAAATTTATAAATATAAATTTTTCCACTTTAAATAATTATAAAATTGATTTATTAATTTTATTTTTCTCAAAAATAAATATCAATATAAAATGTATTTTTTTTCTGAATTTATTATAATTTAAATATGAAAGGTTTACCCTTATGTTTATAAATTATTTATGAATTTTGTGGATAGTTTATATGCTTCATAAAACTTTATTCATCAGTGATGTATATTTTTCCTCACATCTGGCATAAAGTTTTAATGTTAGAATAAAATATCAATATTTATGTTTAAGGAACAAGAAACTTTTTTCAGACTGTAATAATAAAATAAAAAACGCAATTTAATTCAAAAAAAAAAAAATTAAATTTAAATTACCGTAAATAAATAATTCTTCGATGAAAAAAAATAAATTTTTTTTTTATTTAAAAAGCGAGCTGCGAAGGATTTATTTTGAGGTAAGCCATAAAAAATCTTCCTCAAAGTTTTGAAATTGAAATTTTTCAAAATTTTCTAGAAAACAAAATTGCTTTCTCAAAATTTCCCTTTTTTTTATTATTTAATATGAACGATTTCGACTTTATAGTTTTGCATCTCGCTTTGCTTTTTAATTTGTTTTTTTTTTTTTTAATTTTAAGATGATTATCCCATAAAAATCAGTAATTAGAATTTTCATTTTAAATTCGAATTAATAATTTTTATGGAAAATTCATGCGCTTCTTTAAGAATAATTTTTATGAGAATAAAAATTAAATGATTCAATTTTGTTTTAGGCTTTGGTTTTGGTTTAATTTACCTGCCAGCGATAGTAAGTGTCACGTGTTATTTTGAAAAATATCGATCACTTGCAACGGGAATTGCAGTGTGCGGCTCAGGTTTGGGAACATTAGTTTTTACACCATTGTTACAATATTTCGTAACTGAATATGGTTGGCGAGGAACAATGTTGATTATCTCGAGTATTGTTTTGAATTGTATAATATTTGGAATTTTATTCAGGCCATTAAAGCCTGTAAAGAAGAAAGAATCTATAGCCATGACAGTAAATATTTTCTTCTTTTTTAGAAAAAAAAAAAAATTGTCCAATTTTATAAAAAAAATTCTATTTTATTGTTTACAGGAAGTGCCAAAAGAAATTGAAAAAGAAATGAAATTAATTCCAGCAACAAATGGATTTCATCGACCACACAGTGTCAGTAATGTAAATTCAAAATATTTTGGTGACAATAATTATACTGCACATAATATTAGAATAGCTCTAAGTCAACCAATTTTAATAACAACAAAAAATCGTGAACACACAACAAAATCATTTGGTAGTGGATTTATGAATCGTCGTGATATTTTTTATCAAGGAAGTGTGGATAATTTACGCAAACGACCGTTAGTAATTAAAATAAATTTTAAATTATTATTTTATATTTGATTAATTAAGAAAAAATTTTTCTTCCAATTCAACAGAGAATCACTATTGAATAGTGTAGAAAATCTCAAATTTCATGAATCAATAAAAAGTTTACCAAATGGAACGAAACACAAGTCTGAAGAGATTTTAGCAAAGAAGAAAAAAACGAATATATTTTTGAAAATGTTGGATTTCTCATTATTAAAAGAGTCATTATATATTGTTTTTACATTATCGAATTTTTTTACTAGCATCGGATTTTATATACCATTTTATTTCGTATCGGTGAGAAAATTGTTTCTTTTTTTTTTTTTAATTAAGTGAATAAATAATTTAAAAAATAATTATAAATCAAATTTGAAAAAAAAATTTACAATTGTTTTTTTTTTTATCAGATTCTAGCTCAGGAAAAGAAGATAGATAAAGAAGATGGACAGTATTTGATTGAACTTATTGGAATAGCAAATTCTTGCGGTCGTATTATTCTTGGATATTTATCGGATAAACCCTGGATTAATAGGCTACTTGTCTACAATTTTTGTTTAACAGCTTGTGGCATTGGTAATAAAAGTTTGAAATATAATTTTTCTAATTTATGTTATTTTCATTAAAAAGAAAAAAGAAAATTACTTCCCGATTTTATTAATAGTTAAAGATTTCTTTTAGCAACAGTATTTGCAACATTCTGTGATGGTTTTGTAAAACTTGCAATTTATGCAATAGTATTTGGTATCACAGCTGGCGCTTATGTGGGACTTACATCTGTGATTTTAGTTGATCTTTTTGGTCTCGATCGTTTAACAAATGCATTTGGTTTACTTTTGCTTTTCCAAGGAATCGCATCATTTTTGGGACCACCTCTTGGAGGTATGTTGTAAATAAAATAAAAAATATTTAATAGTAATATAAATAAAAATAAATTAATTTTTCTAGGTTGGTTAAAAGACTTGACTGGATCAACATATCCAGCATTTTATCTAGCAGGAATAATGATAGCACTAAGTGGCCTTATGTTATTTGCTATTCCTCCTTTGCAAAGGAGGTTGCAATCACGAGAAGTACAGACTAAAGAAACACATTATAATTTAATTTAATTTAATTCAATTTTAATAAACGTATTTTATTAAAATTCTCAGATTTTCAATTTTTTTTGTACGGAAAAATTAATATTTAAATTTTTTCACATACTCATTTAATTTTTGGAGGATTTATTTTTAATTTCAATTTCCTAAAGGACGATTTTAATAATTATATTATATTTTATATTTATTATTAAATTATGAAATATATTATATAAAATATTATGTAATATATATTATAAATAATAATAAATAAGAAAATATTTGATCTTATTAAATACGATTTCTTCTTCACTGTCTAATTTTTCCAACTACAGTTTACTCAAAATATAAAAATAATAATTAATAATTTATTAAATAAATTATTTATTATTTAAATACTGAAAAATAGAGAAAAATAATCGATTATAAAAAATTCGATATTCTAATTAATTTTAATTATAAATAACGGAGTGGTTATTTAAATATTTAAAAAAAATTCATTATTTAAAATTTTAATTAAAATTATTTACAAATTTAAATTAAAAAAGACACTTTTTTCAACTATTAGATAATTTTGTTAAAAGTTTTTTTTTTTTTGGAATGAGATCGTAGTTTGATTTAATATTTCAATATCGTGTCTCAGAATATAGACTCACAAATTTTGTGATAAAAATTCCTTCCCAAATTTTAATTATTAATTCCACGGATTTCACCAATTGCTTGAGAAAGCAATGGTATTAGATTTTCCATTAGTACCGAATGTTTTTCACCATGAGTGATTAATAAAATAGAACGAGATATTTTTAAAGTCTCGTAAGCTTTTTTAATTTTTCCTAAATGCATTTGAATTTTTCCTAGTAAAAGATACAAAAGACCTGTCAAAGGATGTATTTTCTCGTAATAATGTCTGAAATCAAAATTTTATTAAATCACTATCTAAAAAAAAATGTTTTTATCAATTAATAAAAATTGTATTTGAAGAAATTACTTACAAATATCCGGGAATCAATTGCAGAGCATAATTCTCAGCGTCTTCCCAATATGTCAATGTAACCGTGGCATCAAATGCTGATTCCAATACTCGTACGTGTTGCAAATTAAGAGGATGAAAAACTCCTTTTTGTTTCTTTAAACACATTTTACTGATATCGATATCTATTTTTTAGCTAAGAATATAAAAGTCTCAATAACTTTAATAATTTTAAAAAAATAATAAAGATTTTCTTGTAAATTTTCGATAAAAGGATACAAGCCATACTCCTCATATTTTGCAAATGATTTTCCGTAAAATCCCTTGCCTCCTCAAATTTTTCAACTAATTCTTTAGATAATTCTCTTCCACAATGTGAGCAATTATTCTCATTAATGTCACAATATTTTGAACACGATATTTCTGGACAAATTGCTGATTCCGTCAGTGGTTCAGGTTCTTTGCATTTTTCACATTCACATAAAAAATAATATGTACTCATCAATTCCGCCTGTCTTGTGTCTCTCGAATTCATTAAATCGATGTACGAAATTTTTATCTGTAAAAAAAACATTTTTTTTTTTGTTTAGTAATTTCAAAAATAATTAATTTAAACAAAACAATTCTTTCGAAAATATATTACCTGCGACCATTCGAAACGAGGAACATCGACAATTGTTCGGATTATAATTTTTGTCCCTTCAAAAACTGCAACAGCATTTGGTTTACAGCTATGATCGAGAATTGAAGGTGACAAATAAATGCCAACTCCAATACTATTCATATCATTGTCCAATATATTAAACGAATTAACGCAAATTTTCCCATAAATTCCCATTAATTCCGCTGGATTAGGAAGTTCGGATTTTCCCATAAATTCAAATAAAACACCACAAAGTGAAGTGAAATGTTCCATTCGCCTTTTATCCTCTTTTACGTCCGAATAATCTGTGAAATTAATTTTTTTCAATTAATATTAAAACTATCAATTGCAGGGGACGCATTAAAATCGTCCATAAAAAACTTACGGGACATTAAATCTTTAAATTTTCTAAAACTGTGATCGGAATAATATCCTTTCTCCTCTCCTCCACCGCTGTTCAGTTTGACAATTATTCTCGCCATTAGACGAGCAGCATCCGGAATAACACGAGGAGCAATTCTTTTTAAATTTATACATTCTTGTTTATGAATATTCCAAGCATCCCTTTGACAATCACGATTGCAGTAATTCACATAATGACAACCAGAACATTTTAACAGTTTCCCACTGTAATTATTAAAAAAAAAAAAAGATAAATTATTAGTAACAAAATTTTTTTTTTTTCGAAAAACATGGAAACAAGGAAAATAATTTTAATTTACAATAATTTTTGTTAATAATATAAATTTATTTTCTATAGTAGAACAGCAAAATAAAAAAACAATGGAAAATTGTGAAATTATACAAAAAATTATTAAATGATTTTTGTTGACACAAGTGTTAAGGTAAAAACAAAAACAAAATTTAAACACACTTTTAAAACAAAAAATAGAAAAAAATACATGAAAAATAATATAAATAAAAAAATGTAACAACAAAAATAAAACAATGACAAATTTAAAACACTGGAAAAAATGATTAAATTAATAGTTAGTAAATGTAGAAAATTTAAAATTAACTAACAGAGAGAATTTAAAAAATGGAGCGTAAACAAAAAAAAAAAACAATAAAACATTGTATATACCTTTTGAGACAATTGTCACATCTATTTTTAATCTGCTTTGAACTCAAGACATAAGAAAAAGGTTTGGCTATTAAAATAGTTGTTCCTTTTTCAACAAATTGTCTATTTTCGTTCATTTTTTGCACGGTACACAACAAAAAATTTAACGAAATTAAAACAAATCAATGACAGTTGCAAATTGTAAACATTTGAACAATTTCACTTTAATATTGCGATTTACTTGGTATTAAAAGAATCTTTTTCAACAATATGGAGACGTAGCACAACATTCCTAATTAAACCATAAATTGTTTTTTTTTAATAATAAAATAAACAAAAAAAAAACAAAATAATCGGAGTGCATAAACGTCACCCGGCACTTTAAAGTACATAACCTTTAAATAACTTATTTTTACACGGAAGTTGATTGGTTGATATTTGGACAAATTTCAAAAATCAACTAATCAAATTCTGTAAAAAACAATCAAAATACAGACTGTGGTTGTACCTTTACAATTTACTTGTATTAAATATACATATATACCTATTATACATAATTAAAATCTAAAATAAATCGAAATGAATTTCAAGGGTAATTTCGACATAAATTCAAATCGGTGATTAATGATTGCGTATTGTATTGTTTAATACTCTAATAATAAACATTCAATTCAATGTTTTTCAACAAGTGGTAAAAAAATTGAAATTCAAAAATATATTTGACACATTTTTAAAAAGTTTTTAAAATACATATTCTTGAGAACAAATAGAAAAGTTGTTTAAGTCAAATACTATTTAAAAACTAGTATAAATATTTACATAACTGAAAAAAAAACTATTTATTATTATTAATTTTTGAGAGAGAAATTGAATACTCACGTATTGAAACAAAAATCACATCGCTCAGAATGTAAAATAGATTTCAAAACATAGGCAAAGGGTTGCGCTTTTAAAACAGTTGTTCCCTTACTCACGCTGTGCCAATATCCATTTTTTATTATCATGATTTAATGTTATTCAAAAAAAAAATTTTCCAATATTTCAAAAAGGCACTTTTCCCAATGTAACAATCCTTATATTATAACTTGTCTCTGACAGAATAATTCTATTTTCAGATAGCAAATTAATTTCGGACGTTAGCATCAGATTATTATTAGAAAGTTTAGAAGTGGGGTCACATTTTGAAACAAGATGATATTTCATTTTGAAAAAAAAGAAAGGATTCTCTATTATTAAGCATTTGGTCATTAATTTTCCCGTTATAATTATATTTACTTTCATTTTTTTTTTTTAAAAAAGAAATCATATGTTGCAAGATTAAAAGAAGTCATTGATTCAAAAGTTGAAATTGAACATTTTATTTACAGTCACTTCAACGATAATAATTAATCTAATTTGAAATTATCATTTAAAAAAGATTAAAAAAAAAAAAAAAAGTGACAGTTACACTTCGCAAATATGGAAGAATTTGATTGTTTCGCAAATTAAAAAACGACCCTTATTTATACAAAAGCATGGAACTAATGCTATAAACAAAATAAGAAGCTAAAAAGTTACAAGTAATTAAAAACACCGAGAAAAATATTTCTTTTTTTTTTTTTGTAATAAAAGTACTGCCATATATGTACAATGCGAATTATTTCATAATTATATAAATTAGTCTTCGTATGTCGCTTTGTAACTCTCTCTCTCTCTCTCTCTCGCTCTCTGTAAATACGTCTTAAAATGCTGTACTTAAGGCATTTATTTTTTGTATAAGTAGTATTTAATAAACACTACGTTTCAATATTTTTTTTTCTATCAATTTCTTTTTTTCCACTCGTTTTTTTTTTCATCCATTTCACTAAAAAATATAATATAATCTAAATTAACGTACTTATGCGCAACATTTTCATTTTTTCCATCCACAAAATTATCAATGCTGCCATAAGCATTATGGACGAGAATTTTTTTTTTGAAAAAAAAAATTAAAAGATGGAAGATGATTCAATGAATGATGATTTTGATTTTCCTTTTCATTGATTTAATATTTCTTTTTATGTTCGTCCATTGATACACCACCTGGTCCTAATGATACTATCATCAATAAACCTCCAACCACTGATAAAGTCTGTAAAAAATAAAAATGTATTATTTTCAAAGATACAAAATTATCGTTTAGTAATTCTAAAAAAACAAAAACAATTCTTTTTACCTGGAAGAAGTCATATTTAAGAAAATCTCTTAATGGTTTATAGTCAGGAATTGTCCACCATGCATTGTGATAGAAATTAAGACATGATAGAAGTAAAACGAGTAATAATGCACTCAGTTTCGTTTTATATCCAATACACACTAATAACATAAGTATACTGCCAACAATATCCAAGAATATTTGCATAAATGCAATTTCAAAACGTATTAATGTTATAAACATAAATGCCAAAAGAATTCTTCCAGCCAATTGTAAGAAATTTTTCGGTTTATTTTCACCAAGTGTTGGAACACCGGCAAATAATGAACGTCCTTCTTCACGTGATTCAGCTAAAACTAGTAGTAGTGCGCCAATTAATGCCAAATTTCTAAATAAGAAATGCATATCCCAAAGAATGCTGTAGGCAAATGTTTGTAGGACAACAATAAAGAATAGTACACCACAAGCGATGCTCACTTTAAAACGTCCAATAACCATAACACAACCTCCCAATTGGCCAATTAAATTAACAAGGACAAATATTGTTGCCAAAAATTTGCCACAACCCCACGACATGTCCATATATTCCCTTTGTTCGTTCCATTGAAACCACATTCGTAATCCATCCTCTAAAAATGTTGCTATTAGGCAAATTCTTGCCATTGTCGGCAAAATGTACTTCCCATTGCGAATTACCTAAAAAAAAGAATGAAGAAAAATAATTTTCATTTATAACATATTTATTGGAAAATTCAAAAATTTATTTTTGTTAGAATATTTGGAAACTTTTTTTAATTTTATAAAATTTCTTGACTTTTCCAGGTTTTTCCTGACTGAAAAAAAATTCCCTGACAATTCTAGGTTTTCCCTGATCGTAACAACCCTGTATTATTTAAAAAAAAAAATTGACAAAATTCGCGCTCGTTTATAAAAATAAAAAATATTCCATATGAAGAAATCAGGATACTTTCGAGGTTCCAAATACAATATTTCAAAAACTCACTCACATTCTTTTATCACAAAAGTAGGTTTGTGAAAGTGATCGAACAAGATTCTGAATTCAATCAACACACTTACGAAACGAACAATGAAGCAATTAATAAAAAAAAAACAAATTAAATCCAAATAAACTAAATTCATTTTCTAAGCAATATATATATATATATATATATAAAAAATTAGAATTTACTAAATGAAATTAATGTTACCAGGTCATTTCAAAAGTCGGCCACATAAAATTCAATATTGAAACAGATGTAACATATTCAAAATAGATATTTTTTTCCCTCAATTTCAAATTTCTCGATATTTTCCCATAATTAACTAATATATATGAAAATTTTAACAAATTTCTGTCATTATTTTGAAGGTTCATTGGCTTCCTTATTTTTGCATTGTTGGAACATTTTTACGCTTCATAACCTTATCTTAAAAATTCGTAAACATATATCAAAGTATTTCACATATTGTCGTTAAAGTCATTAAGCTTATACATATTAATTGTGTAATTTATTCAAGAAGAGGCAAAATATGTGCGCATAATATTAATTTCAGGTTAGAGTGACGTTGACAGAAAAATTATGATTTCTCATTACGTGGAATCTATTTATCAATTATCAATGCTTAGAAATTGAACACAACAAAAACTTTCAGAGATTTAAATATTTGTATTGTTTGTTTGTTTGTTTTTTTTGTTACCTGATCGGCAATATCCTCAGCTTTAGAAAGTACCTCCTGCTGCTGGATCATCGTGCTTTATATTTGAAAAACCAAAACTCCATGCACTCATATACACACACTCACGTGTCACTCCGGCTTCGCGCATACGAATACTCACAAAAAGATATTTTATCAGAAGATTTTTCGTTATATATTTAATGTGAAGATGTGGAGTTTACGCACTTCCGGTTACAGGGCTGTGTATTTGATCAAATGTTATGAAGGTACACTGCTCTTTAAATACATCTGATTTCTTGAATATGTAACAAAAATCAATATTTTAAAAAATATAAATCATTAAAACTATTAAAATTAGAAGAAAATAATGTTATTTTAATGTAAAACTGATTTAATTGATAGAAATATATGTTAATGGTACCGGAAATACTTACGCCACTCCTGAAGATATAAATTTAATTTATTTTCTAAAAATCTATGCTTATGACGTGGTCCACAAAATCGTAAACAAACTGAATTATGTTTTTTTCCTATAAAACACTTTTTGTTTTATATATAAAACCGATTGCATATATTTAGATACAAACTGAAAAAACAGTTTATATTAAAATAAACAGAAATGTATTTCTGATTTTGACTTTTTAAATTAATTTCGTGTTTAAATTTCGCGGGTTAGTTGGTCAATTGACTAGAGTTGGTAACATTGCACATGCGTGCGTTCACGATAACTTCCGATTAGTTTTGTTTGTGTTCACCGTCTTGAATAATAAAATAATAAATTTCTTCGTGTAGATTTTGTCTAAAACGTCTAAAAATGCCTAAAGTAAGACGAAGCAAAAAATCTCCACCAGAAGGTTGGGAATTAATTGAACCTACATTAGAAGAATTGGAGCAAAAAATGCGCGAAGGTAATTATTTCAGGTTATGTCTGTTTATTAAAACTGTTATTTTTTTGCCTTTTAACTTTAATTTGTTTATCAAATTTGAATTGTGTTTATACAAAATAACGTATTTATATTATAAATATTTAATAATTTAGATTCTATTATTTATTTTTGAAGTAAATTTTTTTCATAATTAATTTGCTATTTTTTAACCTATAAATGTCAATCACTTTACATTATTTTTCATCTTTATTAATTTTTCTACTTTTGTATCAAAAATTTTAAGGAAAGTTTAATTAAAAATTTGTTTATTATTTAGCTCAAACTGAACCTCATGAAGGAAAAAGAAAGCACGAATCGTTGTGGCCGATTTTTAAAGTGCATCATCAAAAATCACGATACATTTATGATTTATTTTATAGAAGAAAAGCTATAAGTCGAGGTAAATATTTTACTCCTTTGTTTAAAATTTTTTTAAAATATTTATTAGCTAATAATATTACCAATAATAATAATAATTTTTATTAGAACTCTATGAATATTGTCTAAATGAAAAGATAGCCGATCCAAATTTAATTGCAAAATGGAAAAAAGTTGGTTATGAAAATCTTTGTTGTTTGCGATGTATACAAACAAGGGACACGAGTTTTGGTACAAATTGCATTTGTCGAGTACCAAAAGGTAAATTAGAAGAAGGAAGAATTGTCGAATGTATTCATTGTGGTTGCAGAGGATGTTCCGGTTGATTATTTAAAGAAAAAAATTAATTAGCTTTTATAATATTAAAAATAAACTACATGTACATAAATATTTAACAGTAGTAGCATTGTAAGTTAATTGTAAAAAAAAAAATTGTATTTTTACAATCTCAAATTTAAAACGAAAAAAAAATCAACAAAATTGTTGACAATTTTCTACAAAATTTGTTATCAAAACAAATACTTGTTCGCTAATAAAAAGTCAAAATTATTATTGACACTTGTATCTATTTACGAAAATAAAAATAATATTGGAAATTAAAAATATTTTTTCATTAAAGTAACATTTTTTTTTTAATGAATTTAAAATAATAACTAGAAAAAAAATTAACAAACAACTATTATAAAAATTAAAATTATATCATGAATAATTAGTTTTTAATTTACTGGCAATTAAAACTTGTTATATTATAATTAATTATTTTTAAATATTATTGATTTTGACGCATGCGTACTAATATGAGGTGGGGGTGGAAAAATGACATTTGTTTTGTATTTCGTAAATATTTGGAAGTGTCCGCAAAACAATCACTTATTTTTGTTTATATATATATTCAAATGATTATTGACAAATATTTGAATAAATTTTTATATTTGACCAATAAATAGAAGATTAATCAGTTAATTAGAATATTTTTAAATCAGTGTTTACGTTATACTCGAAGGTAAAAGGAGAAATTAAAAAACGATAACAAAACAAAGTAAGTAAAAAAAAAAAAGTAATATTTTAAGATTATAAAACGTAAAAATATCTTCTTCAAATTATACTCTCCATTAATTAGCTATTTTTTCGATTCAAATATTAATAAATTTAAAATAATCAAACCTAACCTCAAAATATTTGAAAAGTAAAAAGAGCAGATAAACAACACAATAATAAACAAACAACGCAAAATTAATAGTTTTATAATTAAAAATTTTATGTTTCATTAATCAATATAATTAGTTGTATTAAAATTTGTATGATTTAAATTAAAATTTTTAATTTTGTTTTTAGAGGTTAGAAATCGTAACGTTTTGTTTTTTTTTTTATTTTTATTAATTTTAGTATTATATTTAAAAATATATTCGCTAATTTTTTTTAATTAATTAATTTAGTAATTAGTTTTAAAAAAATTAAAAATTGTTATTAAAAAAATGTTTAATTTCGCTAATTAAATAATGGAGTGTATAACTCAAAAATTAGAATGAAGAAAGTTATTATATTTTTCTTATAACAATTAAATTCATATTATAGATAAATAAAAGGAAAAAATGTTGGAAGTCACTTGTAACGATCGTTTGGGAAAGAAAGTTCGCGTTAAATGCAATGGTACGGACACAATAGGAGATTTAAAAAAATTAATTGCCGCACAAACTGGCACACGTTGGGACAAAATTGTACTCAAAAAATGGTACACTATATTCAAAGATCACATTCAACTTCAAGACTGTATCCTTTTTTTTAAAAAAAAACAATACTTTTTTCCATTTTAAACAATAAATAAAAATTAATATTAAAATAATAATGCTTGTAAAATATAACTTCTGATATTTTTAAAAGCTTTTTTTTGAAAAAAAACTGATAATTTTAATTAATTATCTAATTAACATATTAATCTCAAAAAAAAATTTTCTTAACATATTTTTTTAATAGATGAAATTCACGACGGAATGAATTTGGAACTGTACTATCAATAAATTGCTATATCTAAGAAATTAAATATATTTTATTCTTAATTATAATTTCTTTTGGTTTTTTTTCTATTTAATACACTGAACCTAGAATCTCTGGTATTTTTTTTTTTAAAGTTTTGGTGTTTATAAAAAATTTATCAGAGAGAAATTAATATGTGACTGGACAGATTTGATTTGAAAATTAATACAAATAAGCAGTCTATTTTAAAATCACACACAGCGCTGATTTTTCTAGACATTCCTTTTTTTTTATATTTATATTATAAACTATACACTTTTCACTCTAAATGCTTTCTTACTTTTTTGTGTGTGTATTTTTTTTTTAAAAAAAAAACGTTATCATTTGTATCACACATTATTCATAAAATATATATATTATATTAATTTTTTTTCATAAAATATATTATTCTTTTCATATAAATAATTTTCTATTCACAAACATACTTCAAACAATTATGGCAAAGCTCATTATTTACCTTTAAAATTTTATTTTCCATTATATTTTTAAATTTAAATAATTTAGTTATTTTATTTTGATAAATTGCAATTATTTAAATTTTAAATTTTGAAGAATAAAACTAAAGGAAATTGGCCTTACCAATATTAAAAAAAAAAAAAAAAAAATTGTCAGTACATTTATTATACTATGAAAATTCTATGACAATGACTCCCGTGTCTTCATTTTTTTAATCGTTAAAATAAAAAATAAATATCCTACATCTAAGGCATATAAATTTGTCATAAACTTTGTGAAATTCTGAAATTGAAAATTTTCAGACATTGCTTTTTAAGGACAAACTTTTCAAGTTGTTCTATAAAAAAACATTTAAATAAACACATAAACATTGAATAATCTCTGCCCTTGCCACAGAATTCACTTAAGTAATTAAAAATTGGCATTTTTAGAGTCCTTTTTGATTTGGCTCTTTTTTTTTTTTTTGTTTAGTTATTTAGAGATAAATGAGCATTTAAACAATACACCCAAAGAAAAAAATAAGAAACTGAGAAAAATTAACAAAAAAAGAAATAAACAAACTTGATAATGTTAGTGAGGCCTCTTGAAGGATTTTTCAGCATAAGCCAACGGGCTTTCTGGTTCTACAATTTCTCTGAATTCTCTGCTATTCCCTTTGTAAAGTATATCCTGTATATGTTGAACTATCAAGTCAATGGCAACTGAAACAAAAAGAAAAAAAATAACAATTTTCACGTAAACAAAAATTTTAAATTATCTAAATAAACTTTTTTTTAACATTATTCTTTATTTTGAACAAAAAAATGTTTGTTTTAAACAAATTTTAAATATTAATATTTTTTTTTTAGAAATTTCCATGTAACATTTTTTTATTTTATATTAATTAAAAAAATATTAAAATTATCTTCCCAAGTTTCATTTAAAGATTTAAAAAATATCTAATCAAAAAGAATGAGCGTAAATGATATTTTTATTTATCCATCTATTACAGATTTATTTCTCCAGTGTATATAATATATTATGCTGTCTTAATACTTCATTGTCGCTCTTGTTACAAAGTTTCATAAAAACTAAATTATTTCGTGTGTTGACAAAAACACATAATTATATTGAGGAAAAAATGTTTCTTAAAAAAATATTTTGACAGTACATGTGTTGGAATTAATAAAAAAAGGTGTGTGATATTTTTTTTTTTTTTTAATTAAAAAAAATTTGAGCATTTCTCTCGCAAAATATCCTGCCGACAATTGTTGTCAATTTATTTATATCATATAACAAATTCTATAATAGAATCATTTTTTTGTTTTGCAATAATTCATTTTTGCATTAAACCATCATTAAAAAATTAAGTAAAATTTATTTTTATTAATTTAATGATTATTTTTTATTTAGGAAGACATAAAAAATGTAAACAATATATATGTTTCATTCACAATCGGTTTATACATTCTTTGTATGAAAAAAAATAATAAAAAAAAAAATTAGATTTTATTTTAATAAAAAAATATTAAAGATTTATTTAATAACGATGATTGTGCAAAAATGTGATTTTTCTTCTAAATTGCATACAAAAAAAAAGAGAAAAAAAATTTCGAAATAATGTTAAAGAAACTAAATTATCGATTGTAAACACATAATTATTTAGTCAATATTCTAATGACATCACAATAAGAATATGTATAAAATAACATGGATAGTAAGTACTGAAGATTACTGGTAATAGTTGTCGATTGAAATAAATTGTAAATAATTTAAACTATATATAATTGCATTGACTGATAGACAAAAAAAATTCATTAGCTTATTTGTCCGACAGTTTGTTTAATAAATCGTTTTCGTGAAAAAAAAATTAATAATTAAAAATGCCCTATTATTTTTAAAAAATGCGACTTCAAAAGTTTTGTATTTTTTCTAATTTTTAACTTTCCGTCATTTTTAATAATAATTTTCTTTCATTTAAATTAATTTATTCAAAAGTTTTTTACACTTGAATCAGCATTGAAATCAAATTTCTCTTATTTATAGAGAAAATAATAAATCTAATCAATTATTTAATGTTTTAAATATTTTCTTCAATTAACATTAATTTAAAATACTTTGTCTACTTAATTAAGTTTTCCCAAAAAATTTCATTATTCTTACAAATTATTTTCATTTGTTCAAAATAATCAATTTTACCTTTAAATTAATTTATAAAAATGATTGTTCACGGAAATTATTTTATACAAAAATTATTAATTTTAGTAGAATCTAATTATGGAATGTAACACCAGAAAAAAATTCCAAATCTTAAAAAATCTGGATTTTTTTCAAAACACAAAAAACGGCATTTTAAATTGAAAAAAAGTCCGTAAAAAAAATTTAAAAAAAAAATAATTCACTTAAAATTAAATTGACGAACTAAATTTTATTCGCCATAAATTTTATATAATAACAAAAAAAAAAGGTAATCGACTTATATTATCAATATTTATATTAAAAAAAAATATTAAATAAAGTCACTCAGTGAATATCACGGAAGTCGAATTAATGAAGCAATTTTCTTTTTATCGAGAATCGAAAAATTTTGAAATATTTTCATTTCAAGAATTCATTGGATTATTAAAAAAAAAAAAACAATTCAATTTCTTTACAAAATATAACATAAAAAAAAGAAAATAAATTATTCTTTATATGTATAAAAAAAGTTTTTTTTTTTATCACCTCGTAAATTTTTTTAGCGAGTTGTCGGAATGCAAAAAAAAAATCGCAGATATAAAGTCGTCGGACAAATAGCTGCAGACTAATTAAAAAAAGAATAGAAGAAAAAACTGAAGAGAAAAGAATATAAATTGTCTTGTAAAAAGACAAAGTGTAAAAACATCCCTACAAATGAATCAGTCTGTGAATACAAATTGTAAAACTGTAGAGAAATACTTTCGACTAAAGTAGGCATTGCAACATCCAAAATCGCATCGCATTTTCGTCGAAGAATTTTTTTTGTTTCCCAAATTCTATTATAATTTTCATTCTCATTATTCTTATTTTCCTTACTATTATTATTATTATTATTATTATTATTATTCAACTATTATTTTCATTATTTTAATATTTTCATTATTATTGTTATAAAATGTTATATAAAATGCCGGCAGTTTTCGGGCAGTTTTTTTTGTGAAATCTCTCTCTCTCTTTCAAAATCTAAAAAGAAGAAAAAAAATCGGGTCGACGAAAATGCGATCGTTAAATTTAAGATTAATGCAAGGTCGACTTAAGCCTTGATTGGCTTAAGTTAGTCATCTGCTGAGGGTGTCAGATGATGTTGACGTACGCCTGTGCTGGTAGATGTATGGATGCTGCCCGGACGATGGATCAGCCTTTTTGAAACGCAAAATGTCCAAGATGTGATGAACTATTAGGTTTATCGCCACTGAAAACATACAACAACCAAACCATGTATGTTTTTTTTTTTTTTTTTAATTAATTTTTCTTTCTTTTTTTTTTGAGAGAGAGAAACGAAATTCATGGCTCACTTGTCACGTGTTAACTTGACAAAAAACTCAGTGCTCGTAGATTAAGAAGAAATTTTTAAACCTCAACCACCGGGCAGCACCCATTAATATAGGATCAGCTTTATTGTTAATAGATTTTTGTTTCTTTTGTCAAAGAAATAATTTTTCAAAAAAAAAAAATAAATAAATAAATAAAAATCACGATTTTTTTCAATAGAACATTCTGGATCGATTTTCAAATAAATAAAAAACGTAAAAGTAAATTTTACAAAATTTAAGGATTGCTGCTTTAATTTTAAAATTCCTGATCGAATTAAAAAAAATCCCAAATATTTTTTTTTATTTCATTTGAAAAATTAGTTCCAAGACAGAAGTTTTAATTAAAAAGTTAGTTCGTGAAAAATAATTATAGCCATGGGTAAATTATATTCAAAAGATACAGTAGTTACTCTTTTATATAATTTTAGATATTTACTTCATTATTTATGTAACTTTATTAAATGATATTAAGTATCTATACCATAATTTTTTAAAATATTAATTTAATAATACTTTCTTTTGTGATAAATTAACATTAATTTCACAAAAGATTATTATAAAAAAAAGTAACTAAGCCTATTGATTAATTATTTCCATGACAAGTATAATTTTTTTTTTTTTTTTTGTAGAAAATGATTCAGTGACGACAGGATATAGGAATTAAAGCTTTCTCTGTAAATGATTAAAAGAAATTTTACGCGAAAATTTTGATCATAAATATAATCGAGAGGTATTAAAAACTCTCAACAAGGTAATAATAATTGTTATACTAAAAACTTTGAAATTTTGTAAACAAAAAAAAATTGTTTCTATTATTTATTTTTATAATATTAATGGTATAAAAATATTTTTAAATATTCTATTTTTATAAAATATAAAAACCAGAATAAAAACAACTTTTCTTACATTTCCCGAAATTTTAATTCCCTTTGCCAATTTAAAAATTGCGTCGTTTTTTAATGACTTAATCTTTTGACGTCACGATGTTACATGCCTTTAAATTAAAAATAGTTATGAGATAATAAAAATAAAAATTCAAAACATTTCAAAAACTATTCTTTATCAAAATTTTTCCACTTGATTGTAAAAACAGTTATTGGAACAGAAAAAAAAAATTAGAGTTAAAAAAAGTTTAAAGCTAAAAAAGTATTTTTATAATTAATAATTACGATTACCAATTAATTTTAAACTAAATAAAAAAACTAATTAGATATAAAATAAATAAAAAGTATACTTGTCGAAAATCTTTCTACCTATTCTAAAATTTTTAAATTAAGCGTTTTAAACCAATTTTTCAGTTTGATTTCTCGAAATTCAAATATTACAAAAATAATAAATATTTCCTTTCAGAATTGTAATTTTTGAAGACAAAAATCGAAACAAAAAATTTTAGTCACATTAACTTTCAGGAATATTAAAGAATATAGAATAAAGAATAAATAATAAAATAAAAATTATATTTAAAAGTTTAAAACTTTAAAAATATTAAAATTTATAAAAGGAATAGCAATTGGAAAAAGTAATATTTAATTACCGGTATTGTCAGCTCCTCTGGGTATTATTACATCAGCGAATTTTTTTGTAGGCAAACAGAATTCTTCAAATGCTGGCTTCACATAATTCATGTACTGATTCAAAACAAATTCTAAGTCTCGTCCTCTTTCTTTAATATCTCTTGGCACTGAAGGAATTTTCAATAAATTATCATTAATAATTAATAAAATAATAAAAGAATAAAAATTAATTAATAAATAAATAAATAATAAAAATGTCAATTAAAAATATTCATATTAAACATAAATTATAAAATAATAAAAAGAAATTAATAATTACAATACCTCGTCTTGCTAATCTTGTGTCTGAATCTGTGTCAACAAACAATTTCATGTGAAACAAATCCCTTATTTTTTGATGATAAAATACGAGAATGCCTTCAAACAGAACAACGTCAGCAGGATATATTGTCGTTATCTGATCCTTAATTCTGTAAAGAAAAAATCAATCAATTTCAACAAAGAAGAAAAATAAAAAACATATTTTAAAAAATTTTTAAATATTTCTTTTCTTAAATTCTTATTATTCGAGACTTTATCTTTTTTTGTAAAAAGAACGCAATAAAAATCAAAAGGAAATAAAATATCAAATTTTCCAAAAACACAAACAAATACAATATTTTTCAAGGATAATCAAATGTGTTTCATCGTATTTTTTTGTTTATTATGACCGAGTTCAAATTTTTGTTTACGATAAAAGAATGGATTTCACAAGCATTGCCATATATATATAAATTTTCATTTTATTTCAATTCGTCAGTTAAACAAAATTTAAAGTCAAATTTTGTTGTTTTATATCAGAAATAATTTCTCTCAAGAACAGAAAATCAACAAAAATTTTTAAAAATATTAAAAAAAAGAAAATGAATAAAAAATTTGCTTGTTTAATATTTGTGATTATTTCAATTGTAATATTTGAAAAAAAATCGGAAGCTTGTGGAAAATGTGTATCACGTCGTCCCAATTATAAAAAAAAATTCTACTCTTTCTTTTCATTGGAAAATAAGAAAAATACAATAACATTGAAACCATTTTTTGAAAATTTAAAACAATTTCTTCAAGATTCAAACGGTAATTTTGTTTATCCCATTCCAGTGTTTATGCCAGTATTTATTTCTCAATCAGAGTTACCATCGCCAATTGAACATGAATGTCGGAAGAGAAAACGAAAAGTTAACTCATCATCAAAAGCAAAAAGAAAAATTAAACTATCATCACAAGTAAGTTTTTTAAAATTAGTTTTTAACAAATTTTTCTTAAATTATTTCCAATTTATTTTTCATACTTTTTATGAATAATTAATGTTATTTTGATAATTTTTATCAAAGAATTGGATTTTATTTCAAAATTTTTCTAAAATTAAAATATTTAAGTTTTTTCTTTTGAAGAGAAATAATTAAATAAAATATTTATTTTCAGATTCCTGTCTCTAATCAATATTATCGAAATCGTTAGATTCGTTCGTATTTTTATTTGAACTAAATAATGGAAATTATAAATAATTATGTTAATTATTGGAAATAAATTTATCGTTAATTTAAGAAATTACTTACAAACTGTTAGTTCTGTAATCGTAGGCAGGAATTTCACATTTAACACCAGCGCGAATGTCCTCTAATGTTTGAAGAATAAAATTATCATCAAAAGCATCAGGATGATCAAAATTAAATTGTCCTTTTTCGGCTTTCAATTTATCCTCAGGCGATAAATCTTTATAAAAACTGTCTTGTGATATACAAACAACTTGTCGTTGATCGTGATCCTTATCAACTTGGCCCAATTTTTCCATTATACGTTTACAGACAGTTGACTGTATCAAAACAAATAAATAATTAATTTTATCATAAATACCAAGAAGACATTAGTTTATAAAAGTATAATATTTCAAATAATCTTTTTATAAATATGAATCATACTTTGTAAACTCTCTCTCTTTTAAAAAAAAACCGCCGATAATTTTTGCAAAAAAATTATCAATTAATTAAAATTTAAAATTAACTAAAATCATTAGTTACATAACGTGGAATTATGGAAAATCGATTGTTGATAAAATTATAGAAAAATCAGGAAACGAAGATTGAGAAAATAGAAATTTTAGTAATTGAAAAAAAAAGAATAAATTTTAATTTTTGCGATTTTTCTTTTTTTTTTAAAATTATATATTAAACAAAGAAAAGTATCGGATGTCATTTTTATTTTTACGGATGCATAAAAATGTATATCAAAAAGAAAAGAAAATAGACTCACCTTGCCGCTAGCTGTACCTCCGGAAACTCCGATTAAAAACGGTGTTTTACTTTCGACACCACTCATTTTTCCATTATATGATCCATACGACATTCTTCGTGGATTACCCATATGCAGGGGTACATCTGCCATTATTAAAAATTCACTGCGATTTATTATATTTAAAGATGTGGTTAAAATGTACTGTTTCTCTTTGCAAAACAACGTAGCACTACTGTTGGCTCTTCTAGGAATTGATGACCAGAAATTAATAGCCACACGCGCGCGCACGTTGAGCTTTTTCACTACCACGTGCATGCAAACGATATTCTTTTTTTTTCCTGCGTACTGAAATAAACAATAATATAAATTATTAGTGCGAATAATGAAAAAAAAAAAAATAATAAAAATGTTGCCAGTAATTTAAAATAATTCTTTCTTATCAATTTAAACTCAAGGCACAATTTTAATTGTTATCTCATCACCAAACGAGAAGTTACCTTTTTTTTTTTTTATTATTTTATATAAAACAGTGAAGCAGACCGATTGGTACAGTATTTTTAAATGACAGCTCTCCTAACCTAAAAAAAATATCGTGATTAAAATACTGGACAACTTTCAGTAGTGTAATTAGATATTTCTTTTATCGACACACATGACACCCCGCGACAAAATAAAAATAAATAAATCTGCAAATAAGGCGGTGAAATTTATTTACAATAAATTATCTCAAAATATGTAAATAAATTAAATAATCCAAGTACTTACTTGAAATATTAATAAAACTCACAATAAAAAAAAATAAAACAGTTGCGATTAGATCGCAATGTTGAATAATATCCAACAAAAAAAATACCCGAAAAATTTGCAAAAAAATTTTTAAATTTGTAAAATTCAATTAAAAATTTTAAATATTCTCTAAATTCTCAAATAGTTAACATTTTCTATAATTTAAATATTAATTTATACTAAAAGTGTAAAAAACAATAAATAAAATTAATTAAAATGTTAATTAATTTGAATAGAGATAGTGTTAATTTAATTTTCTGTAAACAAAATTTTCATTTATAATTAACATCTATTAAATACATATATATAGATAAATATATTAATAGATTAAAAATATAATAAATTATACCCTGAAAAAATAAATGATTAACTCAATTAAAAAAAAATAGAATTTCTCACCACGTTGATTCATCTGAAAATATAATGATTAATTAACCAAAACATTCACAAAACACTTAAAAAACAAACACAAAACATTTATAAAACATATACAAAACATTAAAATATAAAAGACAACATAGTGACAATAGAAATAAAAGATAGAAATAAATTAAATTTTCACTGGTACTCCAGTTACTTATTCTTTTACTTACATTTTTTTTACCCGATTTCCCTACCTATTGCTATATTTAAAACGAACAAAAATGCCTATTTTTCCCGAATTTCCCTACCTATTTTTCTATTCTAAACGAAACTAATACCGCCCAGGTGCAAATGACCTACACTAGGGTTAACGTCCCGGGACGCAACCGTCACCTGAGCGATCTTCTCTGAAAAGAAAATATTTAATTAGTTAATTATTAAAAAATTATCAAAAATTTTTAATTTTCAATTCCACATGCATTAACTTTTGAGAATTAAATAGAAAATTTACTATACAAAATTGAAAAGTTTATAACAAGATTAATTAAATTATTTAAAGCTAATCAAATTTTATAAATCACTTTTTTTAATAGAAAAAAAAATTACTTTGACTGAATAAGTAAAATTACAAAATATTAAAAATATTGAACAAATAAATAAAGAACATACACATATATGTATATAAAGAATCAAAAAAACATTGACAAAAATATTAATTTACGTAGTATTAAGGAAGTAATCCACAAAACATGTAATACTTTAGAAAGTGGTGAGTGTTACAAATTTTAAGGGGCTAAATTTCCGAAAATATCACATGTTTTTTTTTTAGATTTTTACTCCTAAAAAATACCAGAAAATAATAAATTTTGTCAATGGTGTCACTATGTTGTCATAATTCCTTCCCTGTTTTTTTTTTAATTTTTAATATTTTATTTCGATCAATATATCTACTTTTTTAAAAACGTTTCTAAATACATTAAATTTTTTTTAAAAAGTCAAGAATATTTCAAAAATTAAGAATATTTAAAAAAAATTAATTTTCAATTTATAAATCTATTTTAATTGAATTTATTTTAAAAAAATAACTATTTTAAACAGGGAAGGGGTTGAATAAAAAACGACTCATCGATCGGCGAATCATCCCTCGTCGGGACAATAACGTCATTGACACTCTCGAGCGCTTCTAGACCAGCTCCCGAAGATCCCTCTTTCTTGCTCGCACTTCTGCGCGAGGCCGGGAGCTCAAAAAAAAAAATGTTATAAAAAAAATAAGAAAAAAGAAAAAAAAATTTTATAAAAAAAAATGTTGCAGGGGCCACTTTTCTTCTTCCACATCCTTCCTAGTCATCTTCAGGTATTTGGAAAATTGGAATGGAGCTGAAAAAAAAAATTATTAAAAATTAAATTATACAATTATTTTCTTAAAACACTATTTTTTAATCAATTAAATTAATTTTCAATTAATTTAATTAATTAAAAAATAATTAAACAGATTTAAAAATTTTTAAGACAAATATAATTTTTAAATTTGTATATAAAATTGAAAAACACTCACCTATATGAGGGGATTTCTGCATAATGTTAGAAATACGATGACACCATATCCTTTTTATAAAAGGACTTCCTTCTCTGGACCTGAAAAAAATATAATAATTCATGATGTTATAAAATAAAATATTAAAAATCCTCAATAAAATAAATTATTTTTAAATATCTATTGATATTTATAAATATTAACATTTTATATTCTATCATGTTATAAATATTACAATAAATTTTTATTTAACTTTTTATTCCATTTATTGATATTTCTAAAAAAATATTGGAAATAAAAACTCACCTATAAGGGGGAATTTTTGCGTCGTGTATAAAATACGATGACAGCATAGCTCAAATCTTTCTGCTACTGGACCAACTGCCTGAAAAAAAATAATTTATTATATTATATGTGCAAAATAAAATATTAAAAATCATGAATATTATCAATTATTACATTCTTTCAATAAAACAATTATAGGAAAAAATTTATAATCGACTATTACATTGAACTGCGACTCAGCAATGCAAGATCTCCTCCAGGAGCAGCTCCGCAACAAACACCCATCCTTCACGATTTGGACACCTGTAAATTGAAGAAAAAAAATTATTTTCCATAAAAACTTAAAATAAGATTTACAAAATAAAATAAAAAATAACTTTAATGTAATTTTCACAGAAAATTGTTTAAATTATACATTTTGTAAACTAATAATAATTAATAAGTAAAATAATAATCATTTTTATCAAAAGCAGAAAAAACTAATAAAACTACTATTAAAATGAAAAATAGAATTTTCAGAAAAAAAAAATGTTTATTATTTAAAAATAATGTAAAATCTTAGTTTTTATAAACAAATATTTACCTGAGTTGAGAAGAATTGGTACCCAAAGGATTAACATTGTTTTAGTATTCAAATCCTTTTTTTCCTGAGATGTCTTTATTCCATCTTTTAGCTCTGTAAATAAATAAATAAAAGTTAAATAAACATATAATATGAATTTTAATAATAATTCAATTTTGATTTTAAATTTTATCTCTAAAATACGGCGGACAAATATTCGAACAGTTGTAGGAGAGAAATATGAAATTGGTTAAGTAGTGATTTTTAGGTTAAATTTCAAAGTGTCATCAAATTTCACAAAATATTAAAAATTCTGATATTTATCAACCAAAAATTACTTGTACTCTAGAAAATTTATATCACACTGAACATAATTATTCAAATATATTTTTAATTTCTATTTAGATTTAAAGATGTTTTCTGTTATTCAAGAAATTTTCTGTCACTTTCAGCCGCTCTTTCAACAATATCTACTATAGTGAGCAATGATACCAACATGAACAAAAAAAAATTACCAACCAATTATACACTTCTACCAACATAATTGGAAATTTTTTAAACGACTTTTTTTTTAAATGTAGTAACCTTCTTTTATTATCATTTTTAATTTTATTAATAAATTTATTTTTAATTATTATTTTCTTCATTTATTTTATTTAATATTTAAAAAAAAATTCAAAAGCCGCGCTGAAAAGCGACAAGTCAAAACAAGTGCAATGCCAAAATTTTTAGGTTAGATTTCGTGTCATAAAAATTTTACCTAAATTTATTATTTTTCTTCACAGCTGCCACGAAACTTTTATGTATTTCCGATTATTCATAAAAAATAGTACTTAATTATCACAAAATATTTATAATAATCGTTTGGATTAAAACCATACTACAAGATTCAATTTTGTCCAATGAAATATGGGTCTTCTCTCTCTGACGACGCCATTTGCAATGAGCCACAAATGCCAACCCAAGATAACAAAAAACTAAATTTTTCATTACTACCAACATGAAAATAATTTCCTTTTGCAAAAATCAGAATTATTTTTTATTTATTTGTTTTTTCGCAATTTTTATATTTAATTAATGATAAAATAAAAAAATTGTATCCTTATGATTTAAATTATACATTTACCTGTATTTTTTTTTGTTTAATATTACGATTTTGGGTTGTTTCCGTGTCAGACAAATTTTACCAAAATATACAAGTTTTTCTTCTACTTGCCAATAAACTTATATTATTTATCGATAATTTAGACAAATCTGAGCTTAATTACAATAAAATTTATATATAATTAACGTTATGATTAAAAAAATACTATATTTTGTCGAACAAAGAATTGTTCTTCTACTTTCTGGCGACGCCATTTGCAATGAGCAGTAGTGCCAACCCAAGATTATAAAAAACTAAACTTTTCACTTCTACCAACATGACATGTTCAGTGAGGTGTGTAATTGCCTTTAATTTAATTCAAATTTAGAAAACATGGAAAATGGATATAAAGTAGAAAAAAATTTAAATTTTTTCTATAAATAAATACAATGTAAAAACAATAATCACTTCTCGAGATTAGATTGTTATTATTTATTTCTTTATTTTTGTTTGGGACTTTTTTTTGAGTTTTTTTGGGCCAGATTGACTACAGCACCTCGTACGGTGACGCCAGTAACTAAACAATAATAATCCCTGCCCTGTATAGGTATAGTATTGTTGCGCCTTTGATTACTCTTTTTTTTCTCGGAGAAGCGCACTCACACTTCCGTCCTTGTGTGTCCTTGTTTCGCAGCGTGTTGTGGCCTGTTAACACTCGTTGCAACGCGAAAACAATTGTTGTTTTCGCGCACAGAAACAAACCGGGCACAATTGCGCTCATTTGGATACGGGAACGGCATTAAAGTATTGATAACATTGCGGTGAAAAGAGTGAAAATTTTCATTGATAAAAAAAAGTTTCGGTAGAGAAGTTGGCGTTCTATGAAATTCTCTGTTGTGGTCAATACAGTCGTAGGAAAGACTCGTAAACATGAATGCTCATAAGACTTATTCATTTATAATAAACTTGTACAAACTTATTTGTGCGTTGTAAATAATACATTCAATGATTTGGAAATTCACTTTGCATAAAACATCGACTTGGGTGTTCATTGAAAATAATCTTTTGGCTTTTGTGAACGATCAAAGTGGCTCCCGTGGAGTTTGTCGATCGCAACAGCAAAATTGGCTCTAACACGGATCCCGCAATGGTCATACGGTAAGGAAATTAAGGATCAGTTTTTTATTTTATTTTTTTTGTCCCTTTAAATGGTTTACTGTTGAACGTAGATCGAAAATCGACCCATTACATTAACGCTATTTATGCGAAGGGGCTTCTAATTAAATCAGTCCTATCGATAATTGGATTTTTTTTTTTTTAATGCTCCTCTTTTCCAGAACACCTGTTCTCATAAGAAGTTTAGCCTAAAACTTGTGTTTAAAGTTTGAGAATTAATATGAAGAAAGTTAAAAATAGAATTTGGTAAAAATTGAAAAAGTTTCCTATCTTTATTTTTTAAAGTAAAACGCGTGTAAACATTGATTTTATTTACGATGGATAGTATAGGACGCCATACGAATAGAGGAAAATTTGTTCAGTGATGTTTACTAAGTTTTTGTTTTCTTCAAATCAGCTGATTACTTTGTTTTGATTGTTAATTCTTTTAAAAAATTGTTTTACATTCATTCATTGAAAATTATTAAGGTTTTGAATTGCATCAACATGTTAAAAGTAAATACGTAATTTTAAAATTGCGCTAACAATTTTATCTTATCGCAAAATTTACTGTTGTTTCTTGTCGAAAAAAAAAATCCAACGCAGTGTTAAAAAATTAAAAAAAAAATGTGAAATTTTGACTAAAAAGTCTTTTAAATTGTTTCAATTTAGAATATTGATTATCAGTGATGAGTATGTAATGTTATTTAAAGTATTTAAATATTTATGCATTTTTTTTTCCAACGTGATAATATTTTCATTTTAAAAAATTTATAATTATCAGTAATTTTCGATTGTGAAAATTCTTATTTTGCAATTTTCCAGTTATTAAATATTTTTTAAAAACTATTTTTTCTATCTTTTTTTTTTTTTTTGCTTATTGCAGATAAAAATTGCATTTTTATGGGTTTATAATTTCCCTGTAAAAACAAATAAATGTTACTTAAGATTTTTTTTTTCAATTATCACTGAAAAGAGTTTTTCATGTTCAGGAAAGCAGATTACATTAATGTCAAATAAAATTAAAAGAAATAAATTATTTTGCAAGTCAGATTCCTTAGGTTTTTGTTGCAGAATAATTTGATTTCAAAATTGTATGTTTTAGAAATTCGCATTTTTCTATTTAAATTTTTATCTAAAGAATAATTAAATATTTACCAACTTGAAGGCCTAAATAGCTTCTTAAAAAAATTTCACCTTCAACGTTACTAAATCCATTCATTTTTTTTTTTGTCAAACAAAAAATACTATTTTAGAATAAATGAGAAAGTGAATGTTTGTTTTTTTTTTAAAATAACAAAAGAAGATTACTTTTCCAACAATGATATAGAAAATTTCTTAAACCATGACGAAGACTATTTTTCTGACCGTGAAGAAAATAATTTGTCTAAAATGACAAAATAATTTCTTTACTTTTTGATATTATCGAATATTTTAATACTATAAACAAATAAATTTTATTAGCCATGACGAAAGAAAATTATTTTTTTTATTAATAATTAAATAATAATATTACAATAGAAAAATAAGTACTTTTTTATTTTGTTTTTAAATTTCCATATTATGTTGTATCTAATCTTTAAAAATTTATATTTTCCATTTACAACAGTTTCTCATTTGTAGTACAGGAAATAATTAACATATATATATGTATTATAAAATCATTAGATAACAATTCATTTTTAAATATAATAATAATTTTCTCGAACAACTTTAAGGAATTTTCCAAATCACATAAAATAGTGTAAAAATTCCTGAGTATATAATAATAATTATATGAATTAACTTAAGGTCGATTTCTAATGTATATTTAATGCAAAAATCTTTTTTTTTCTATTGATAATATATAATGATTAAATAATGAAATTACTTAATTAAAAAATAATGTTGATTCTTTTCTGAGATTTTTTTTTATGTAAAATAATAAACTTGATTGAAAAACGTGTTTTATTTTTAATCAAAATCGGTATATATTTATAAATCTATTTTATTTTATATAAAAATGAAAATTTTAATCTAATTAAATTAAATTTATAATTAAATTTTATTAAACAATTTTTTATAATTAATTATTAATATTAAATAATGTTATTTAGGATGGGGACATGAATTTATATTTGTTTTTAAAGTTTTTGTTTTTGTTTTTAGAGTTTTTCTTGATGGAATAGCGGTGTTTAATAGTGGAATCTGGGCCAGTTAGTCTGTAGGTTGCCAGTAGGTCGGTATTGATGACTGGGTCTAAGAACTCCTATAGATTAACTATACCTGATGCCTTTCCTAACATTTTTGTTTCGAGCTCATTAAAAATGCGTTGTTTTCTTGTTCATTCGTCAATTTTTTTGAAATAGATTTTTAGATAAAAATTCTATTCAATTTGAAACATAAGAAAAAAGATATTCTATTTTTCTATAGTAATTTGAAACTTTAGTAGTTTCGAAAAAAAATTTAAAAACTCATTTATTTTTTTTCACAAATAAAATATTTCTTTTATAAACGTAAAAATATTTAAATATTTAAATTTGTTTAAATAAATAAATATCAAAATAGCGTTTCTAATTTTTCCAAATTGATAGCATTGAGAAAAATCGATTGAAGGATATTAAATTATTTAAGAGCATGTAAAAAAGTAAATAAAGAGTAATTTTAGAATTGAGGGTAAGAGAAAAAGAATTACGATTTTATAGATTTTTGTTTTCCTATTGTTCAAGTTATAAAGCAAAAAAAAAAAAAAATTAGAATAGAAAAAATTGTGATCCTTGGTTTAAAAACTAATCTAAAGTCAATTTTACTTTTTGTGGACCAGCGATGAATGTTCACTTTTTTTTTTTTTAGTTCCTCGTAATTTCCTTTGTAATATGGCAAGGTTTCTCTCGCACACATAATTTTTTTTTCGCAAGGTTTTTCCCACATTTTGCCTTTTTTTTTTTTTTTTTTTTTTTTTTTTTTAATATTTACATTTATAATACTTTTAATCCTTTCGCCGACCATGAAAGACAAAGTAATAAATATGTGTACCTACTTCTCACGTACACATTCATTTTCAAACTCTTTGTTCATTTTATCATTTTGTAATTTTTCCGCCTTGTGCGACTATTCTTTCAATCCTTTCTCCTCAATTGGTGACTTCCACATCAATTTGGAAAATTATAATGAGAGATGCATTTTACCTCTAATAATGCAATGAATATTTTTCGATTTTGCAATATTCGGGAAAATTTTTTTTTTACTCCATTTTCGAGAAATTAATTTCAAAATAGTTTTTTTTTAATTTTATTGAATAAAAATTTTTCTGGAAACTTTTGTTTAGAATTTCTCTTCTAAAAAATAAATAAATTTTTTTTGGTAATTTACTGTGTAGACTAGGAATAAATTTTATGAAACTCATTTGCTGAAAGTTTTGTAAAAGTTGAGAGGAAGTTTTCGTTAAAAAAAAAAGAAGCTGGGGACTTAGAGGAAAGAGAGAAAGATGAATGGAAGGAAGTGGAATTGTCCTGGAGGCTTGGAGAGTAATTATTCGCGCGTAGAGAATAAGAACCCGTTAATCTTGAGTTGTTTTTATAATAAATATATATATATTTTTTTTTTTTTGTAATGATTACAGGTCAGATGGTAGCAGCAGCGAAACCCCAACTCTAGTGGAAGGGGGCGAGGCTGTTGGCCAACCACACAGTCCTCACAATAAAGTCCATACGAGTCACAATCACAACGCCCATGTCAATTCTCATGGGTCTCAAAGTCATCATCACGATAAGTCTAAGCAGGCGGTTAAATATGGCGAACTAGTCATCCTTGGGTGAGGAAAAACAAAAAAAAAATGAAATTGTTTTTCTTTTCTAGATTTGGAGAAAAAAAAAATTCTTTTCCTTCATAAAATTTTCAGCTTCCTATGAAAATATTTACCAAAAATTAACCCTTGGCTAGAAAATTTAGTTCTCTTTTCTAATCTCTTAATCTTCAAATAATGGGAATTTCTTAAAAATTTTTCCAATCTGAGACAATATCTATAATCTCTTGGGAAAATAATTTTAATATGCAGGCCTCAAACCAAGAAATTTAGAAAAATTACGTCATTGAAAAATTATTAATTATTAATATTAATAAAGCCTTAGGAAAGAGACAAATATTCATAGAACCATTAAATTAATATTTATATAATTTATAACAGTTTTAAAATTTTTTAAAGAAGTTTATATAAATTTTTTGTTATTTTGTTTTTAATATCAATTTTTTTTAAAATAATTAGTTATTTGTATTTAATTTCAATAAAATAAAAAAATTGTTTTGTTATCGAAACAGGAAGTTTTTGAAAACTGGTTAATTAGTGATGTTGAAATTCCAAAGTTTTAAATAATATGAAAAAAAATCGATTTAAATAAAATTTTGTCCTGGTAACATTAAATATAAGTAGAAAAAAATAAATTAATAACTAAATTTACGTTTAATCGTATTTTTATTTTTTCATTAAATCAAATTATTTATTTTAATAAAAAAAAAAATTAGAGATGAATTAGATTAATTTGTTAATTAATAAATTAATTAAACATATTAAGCATAAGTGAAAACTTTTTGAAAATTGAAAAAAAATTATTTTTTAATTTAATTGATGGTAGTTAATATTGAGAATCTTTTGAAAAGTTGATAATTTCAGTTAATTGCAGTTCAATCGGCAAATAGCTAAAAAGAATGGTATATTAATGATACTTTTACTCGTAGCGGTAATTGAAAATAAATTTTTTTTTCCCATACTTTCTGTAGATAAGACAAAAATTATAGTCCCAATGGATATGACAGTTTCACTCGTAATTTAAAATTATGTTTGTTACGATCAATGAAAATGCAAAAATTGATAAATAGTTTTAATGAAAAGTTGTTCAAGTTGATTATATTTCCAATAAAACGAAAGTATCAATTGTTCGTATTAATTATAAAGATAATAATTAAACTTTATATATTAATGATAAGTCTTAAATTATTCTCTTTTTGAAATAATTACTTTTAATTATAACCGATAATACAAATTAAAAAACAAGTTAATCTTTTGTTTATAAAAAAAAAAAAAAAAATTTTTAAATTTTATTCAACTTCAGGTTAATTATTATTTGTTTTGCCATTCATTAGAGAATATTTTTCAGTAAATGTAGAAAGATAATATATCCAATTTACAGTATGTGATACGTTAATCTAGAATATGGAGTAATTTAAGCTGCTTATATAGGAAGCCTGATATGAATTTTAAAACTGTTAAAGTAAAGGCTCCGGAGGCAATAAAAATTTAATATAAAGGTGTTAAATGATATATACCTGTCTAGTCGATTCTCGCATTAGTTTACAGGATTAAAATTGTTTCCCAACAAAAAGCTCAGAAAAAATGTCGAGGACGGATTGTTAAAAAAAATCTCAAATATAAAATAATATCAAAAAAAAAAATTTTTTTAATTTAATTGTAAAAATACGCAATTTATAGAGGAAACTTTAAAAGTAAAATCCGCAAATCCATTGTTTTGATGACAAAACTTGTAAACACTGGAGAATTGATATCGCGTTAAAAATACAATTTTTTTTTTCTTTTATCAGAAAGTATAATTTATAAACTGCAGTCCACTTGTGATTATCGTTAATCGCTATAAGAGATTAATAATTATTTTGAAATAGTCATTTCCTGAAAACTTTCATTTCAAAATTAAGAAAGTAGAGAAATTTTTTTTTTTTTTTGTTAATTTTCTGCTTTTTTTTGTATCTAATCTAATCTAAAGTATGATGACCTCGTTACAGTTACAACGGTTATCTTCCACCCGGTGATCGTGGCCGAAGAAGAAGTAAATTTGTTCTTTTGAAAAGAGCAACAGCCAATGGTGTCAAAAGAAGCAAACACTATATTGTTAAAACGCCACACAGCTCGCAAGCCATCCTAGACACGAAACAGCACTCGATCTCGTACACGCTTTCAAGGACGCAAGCTGTGATCGTAGAATATACCGAGGATGAAGACACTGACATGTTTCAGGCAAGCTGACAGTTCAATAAATTTACAAAACCCTATTTTTCATCCCAAGGACCCCGCTCTTCTCTATAAACAAATTAACTAACATTATTCTTTGTCAATGAAATTGATCCTCTTTGCTTGGAAATGCTAAATAAGGTCGCGCGTCTTGCTCGCCTGTTATTCAATTCATTCGAATAGAGAAATGAAAATAATCAAAATTTATTTCTCAGAAATAAAAACAAAACTCCGTTTTTTCTGAATTAATTTTCTAAATTTATTATCAAAATATAATTTGATTTTTACAAGTTTTTTTTATTTATTTTTATTTATTTGCAATTTACAGTTTTGTTCTATATTTTATAAAAAATGAGATTTCTTTGTTATTTATGTAAATAGTAAAAAATAGTAACATTTTGATAAGGACTTTTTAAAAACGTGATTTTATGTAATAATAATTATTTTCTAATTTTCTAAACTAATTGAACTTATTTTCTTCGCTATACAATTTCTTGATGCATCAATGCGTGATAAAGAGAGATCTTAATAAATAGAAATAGGTAAAGTAGAAAGAAATTAAATAGCCAAAAATTCGAATAAATAGCTAATTAAATAATTAATAAATAATTAATTAACTATTTAAATTAAATAATTAATTTCATATTTTCCCTCTAAAAAAAAGCCTCGATACCTTAGTTTTTTTTTACATTTTTTGTACTTTATTATTTGAAACCCAATCAATGATTAATCATTTTGTTGATATTTGCATTTTTCAGCACGCATCGACTTTGTTTGAAAAAAAATTATAAATTCATAAATGTTGAGCCAATTTTGATAAATATCTGAAAAAGATAAGAAATACGTCTACCGAGTTTAATAATTTCCATATTTATTAAAATTATATCCCTTATACTTAAAAAAAGAAAATAAATTTAATATAAATACTCGAGGAAAAAAAGTTTACAGTTTCGATTGTATTTTAATTTAAAAAAAAAATCAAGGTCTTACTGTAGCAAAAAACGTGATAATAATTTTACGGTATAGATTCTAAATTTATATATATATGGCACTCAAATCATACAAGTGTGATCTGAGTACAAAATTTTTATTGTTTGATTTACAATCAATTACGCAGTGATAATTGTTTTAGCAATACGCGTGTGTCTCGTGAAGGCCTCATTGCATAAGGAAGTCGCGAACATGAGGAAAGCTTGAGTTTTGCAAAAGCAATTCAATTCTCATGTTTCGTGAAGACTTAGTAAACTGTATTCGCATATATATATATAAATGACTTTTTTTGTATTTACATAAGTTACTTTATTAAATAAAAAAACCAAATTTTTCTTTCTTTTTTCAGTACAAAGGTTTCCTGAAAAAACATAGAGAAATTTTTATAATTTTAAATTTATTTAAAAATAATTTTTTTGAAAAAACAGTAATTTTTGTGGCATAAGAGAAATTATTTTTATTTTGAGACAATAAAATTATTATTATTTATTAATAAAAATAATTTTTTAATAATTTTTGTATTTTCAAGTACTTTGTACTTTATATTGGAATAAAAAAAAAGAGGAATTTAAAAAAAAAGATTATAATATGTATGACGTCACAAAGTTTTTGTTTTAAATTCCAATGAAAGTGTAACTGAAGATGAATGAGTAATGTTTGAATTAATATGTGCATTACAGATCGGTCGATCCTCGGAACCTCCTATTGACTTCGTGGTAATGGACACATCTGCAGGAGGTGCTGATGGCGCATCTGCAGTGAGTGAAGGTCGCGTTGCACAGAGTACTATCAGTAGGTTTGCCTGTCGAATTCTTGCAGATCGCGATGATCCTGGAATTGCAAGAATTTACGCAGCCGGTTTTGATAGTTCTAGAAATATTTTCCTAGGCGTAAGTAATTGATAAAATAAAATTTTTTATATTTATATTATCCAATTTTACACTTTACGAGTTATTATATACGTTCACCTTGACAAATCACTCTCAATCAATCAGGCATAAAAATAAAAAAATAATTATCCATTTTCTTCGATTACACAAAAGCTTTTTGTTATTCCTCTGATTCTTCGTGTGCACGTTACGTGTTATGAAGGTCATGGAATAATAATTTATCAATTTAAATGATAATTCTATCGTCCTAATGAAAGAAAAGGGTAGAATTTTTTTTTTTCATTACTGAAAATATATTATTTGTTTTCTGATAAATGAGAATAATTTGGATTTAATAAAACTATTGACCCAAATTTGTAATAAAGAAATATAATCGGAAATTGTTTTTTAATTAGGAAAAGGCGACAAAATGGCAAGAATATCGAGAGATTGATGGACTGACAACAAATGGTGTATTGATAATGCACCCTCGGGGACAATTTTATGGGGGAGAGGCACAATGTGGATGCTGGCGAGAAGTTAGCGTTGGCGGCGGAGTTTTCACTTTAAGAGAAAGTCGCAGCGCTCAACAAAAGGGCAATCTTGTCGAAGACGAGAATAATATTCTTAAAGATGGCACTTTAATTGATCTTTGTGGGGCTACATTGCTCTGGAGATCAGCGGAGGGACTCGCTAAATCTCCCGTAAGTCTTTCGAATTTATAGACCTTTCATTAAATCGTTTTTTTCCAAAATTACACTATTATTCTCTTTTCAATAATTTCAATTTGATAAAAAAATTTTTTAAAAATTCTCATTTTCATTTTTTTTTTTATTTTTTATTTTTAATATTTTATATATTTAATTTACTCTAGAAAATTGGTACTTATTACACGTAGTAATAAATAATTTTATCTGCGAAAAAATTGTAAATAATAATTTCCAATTGAAAAGAAGAAATTTTTAATTTGTTACCATAAATTATTTTAAATGCTTTCAACGTATATTTGAATTTGAAGAAAAAAAAAAAAGAACAAAACAAAACTTGTATTGAACGTCTTGAAAAAGACTGTCTTGTAGTAAACATTTTACTTGACGTTTACGACCTCTTTATGTCAATTTTACGAGAAAAGTCAAACACAGGATGTCTTAAAAGATGCAGTTAAGTCATCTTTTGAGATTATCATACGAACAATTTTACGATGAACAAAAGATTTAAGATTTGAAATCTGACACATTGTCTTTATCTATAAACAAAGAAAAAATTAATTTCTATTTTCCATGTTCTCACGTTTTGCTTTCAATTTCTTTTCAATTGCTTTGACTTGCTTCAAGGTGTCGTTTTCTATTCTTTGAATTTATTTTAATGTTTATCAACTTTATCAGTATTCAACTTTTTTAAATTAGATTTTTTTTATTTTTAGTTTCAATATTTATTAAAAAAAAGAAATAATTCACTAATCTTTTGAAAAATTTGACTTTAAAAAATCAGATTTTTATCGAAAAAAAAAATGAGTAATTTTTCATAATTTAAATTGTATACGCTAGAGAATAAAATTTTTTATTTCCAGACAAAACACGATTTGGAGGCGCTGGTAGACGCTATAAATGCGGGACGGCCGCAATGTCCAGTTGGCTTGAATACGCTGGTGATTCCTCGAAAATCTTCAGCTGAGCCTGTACCACAGCCTCACGCTGCTCAGCAGCCTTACGTTTATTTAAAATGCGGGCACGTGCAAGGTCATCACGACTGGGGTCAGGAGAAGGACAAGGCGACAAGGAGATGTCCTATGTGTTTGATTGCTGGTCCGATAGTAAAATTGTGCATGGGAATAGAACCAGCATTTTACGTTGATAGTGGCCCACCAACGTATGCATTTAGCCCCTGTGGGCACATGGCAACAGAAAAGACTGTAAAGTACGTATTTCCAATTCAATGAAATTTTTTTCTTTTTCGGAGGCGCGCATGAATATTTCATTTAAAAAAAAAAAACTCGATACATAATCAAAATTCAAATTTTTTATTTTAACTAACGCTTTCTAAATAAAAATTTTAATTATACAAATTATTTAACAGAATTTCTATTTAGTTTTATTTTTAAAAAATGTATCAATACAATATAAAAATAAAATTGTATTTTAAATTTAAAATTGAATTTTCTGTTTGTCTAACAGGTATTGGGAAAAGGTAGCTATCCCACATGGTACAAATGGATACATAGCTATTTGTCCTTTCTGCGCGGTTCCGCTGGAAGGAAGTCCAGGATACGTGAAGCTCATATTTCAAGATCATGTAGATTAGTGTTTATTTGCACGAGAGTTGATTGAAAATATGTAATATGTACAGAAGTCATTATTTTTTATTCCGGTTCGAACGATGAAATTCCGGATTTTAGAGCCTTATTGCTGTAAGTTATTGAAATATTGAATTTTAAAAGTTAAGCTGCGTGCATTGAACGAAGATTGCTTTTTTGGTTTTCTTTGATCGGCACGCGTAGGTAGACCCCATTGAAAAATGAAACAAAACAAACAAAATCTAGATCTATTTCATATTAAATCATATTGTACAAAAAAAAAAAGAAGCTTTCTCGCAATATCCTTTTTAGGGCTTCGAAAAATTCGTTTACCAAAGACACGACTTGCATATTCGCATACTTCCAGTATAAACTTTTATCAACCTGCATTCCACAGATATCGATTATTATATTCATTTTTTTTTTTAATTCATTACAAACATAAGATACATGTTAGAATGAGAAATAAAGTGTTTTTGATCTATGTAATTTTGTATAATTAATTTTTTTTTTTTTATTGATTTTTGCAAAAACTTTCTTTTAAATTAAATTACTTATCCTACGGTGATTGATTGGAAAAAAAAATTGTGTGAATTCGCGTTCGAAGAACTTGTGATGAGGGAAGATTGATATTTGATTTCTCTTAAAAAAAATAGTCTAAAATGAAATTTAGTTAATTACTATTAGTAGCATAATTCAAGAGTATCACATGGAATCCATTTTGAGCTTTCCAAGGCGTCCCATAAATTATAATCTTGCTCGATTACTTCTCGATTCATTTTGTCAATGTCGATTGGAGTCGAGTGCTCTGCAATAAATTCGGAAAAAAAAAATGTAAGAAACTTATAGTGAATTTTAACCCTTTGTATCACATTTTTTTTTTTTTTACTTAAAGATAAAGACTTCAAATTTTTTACTCAAATAGATTGTAATGTTCATTATACTATGTATGGTTAATACATTATTTATTACACGTCTTCCCTTCCTTCTTTATTCTCTTACCTTATCCGTCTATTTTTTAAAACCTTTTTTTATATTTAAAAAAACAATTAGTGATTCAAAATATAAAAATTGAAAAATATCCGGAAAAACGTTAATACGGAATGGAAAATTAGTTTGGTTTAATTGTGGACAAAGAACTGTAATATTGTGACAGAAAGGGTTAAAATCTGAATTTGAATAAAGAAAAAAAAACAAACCTATCAATTCCAGTTCGTCTTCCTCGGGTTTATGATCAGTCATGTAAGTGCCATAATTTTCCGATGTTGGCTCACTTTCATAACATCCTTGTTGCCAAGCACTGTAGCTGTTCCAATAAGAAGATGTATCATAATAATTATAAGATTCTAAGCCAAGACCCGAGGAATAATCACCAGATGAATGCGGAGGAGAAGATCTGTTGAATTCATAAATTAAAATTTTAATAATAAAATTTAATTAAAAGCAAGTGTTTAATTTTACAGAAATAAATAAACAAACCCTGATTTACTCCAAGGTCGTGGAACGGCATTGCAAATTTTTAATGATTTTGTCCCAAGTCCTCGATAGCCATTCATTATAACTAAACAATTTTTTTGCTCGTCTTCATTGGCAAAACGAACAAAACCATAACCCTTACTGAATCCATTATTATCTAAAATTACTTTTGCCGTACGAATTGAATTATATCTGGAGGCAAAAGTTCTGTAAAGAGAATAATCGTCGACATCAGTTGAAAGATCACCAACCCAAACGCTAAATTCTCTGTCAGTTGCCGGTTTTCCTGTGGTACTTGCGTGATTCAATCGAAACCGAACGGGCTGCAAGAAATTACAATTTTTTAACTTTTAGAGAATAGGATTTTTTTGAATTTTTAATAAGGTGAGAAAAAAAGGTCAGCTCAACGTGAAAAATAATAAAAATTCAAAAAAATACGAAAACAATAAAATTTAAACAAAAAATAAATAAAATACATACAGGATTTGAACCGGGAATAATTTTGCCATTCAATTTGTGCATTGCATCAAGTGCCATTTCATCTGTAGGAAAATGAACAAAACAATAACCAGCTGGTTCTCCAGTGTATCGATTTCTCATTACTTTTACAGTTTGAGGTTGTTCATTCATTTTATGAAAAGCATTTAAAATAAAACTTTCCGTCATATATGGCTCCAACTGTAAATTAAAAAGTATTTAATTATTTTGTAACAAAAAAGAAATAACATTAAACACGAATTTTGTGTAATATTTTACATTAATAATGTAATATAAAACAATAATTAAGGAATATTGAAAAAGAAAAAAAATCGGAGTAAATAGAAAAATAACAAAATAGAAAATAAGTTTTTTCTGAAATTAAAAAAAAATATATTTACAAGAAACTTATTTTTGAGATTCTTGATTTAGTTTAATTAGAGTAAAATACGTATTATTATTAAATATTTGTTTTTATTTACGATAAAATAAAAAAATAAATACTCACACCACCCATCCACAATTGACACAAAACCATGGGGCCCGACATTTTTTTTTATAGGTGAAAATCAATAGTAAATCTTTGGAAATTAATTTAAGATTTAAAAGTAATAAAAATTATTATTTTTATTTAGTTTTTTTTTAATTAAGAGTTTTGTTTCACAAAATACCGGTCACAACACAAATAAAAAAGTAGCAGACAGCTGTTTTGACATAAACAATAACAACTAGATAGGAAAATACTTTGATTTTTTTATATGAAACACTAGCGCACTCTAGTGTATAATTAAAACTAATATTTATTAACCATTTGTAAATTATTTCTGTATTAAAATTACAATTAAAAAATAAATTACATTTTTAAATTTAATTCTTCAATTTTATATTGATATTATATTTATTGTTGTTAATTTAAAAAACAATTTTAAAATATTATGATTTCCCTCCGAGTTAACCGGAAACTACTATACGTAAGACTGCTAAATTCAAAAATGTTTTTCCTGGAAATTTTTTTATTTTAAAGAATATTTTTTAAAAAGTAAATTGATGTGTAAATATTAAACTGATTTATTTGAAAAAAATATAAATTACGAAAAAAAATACAATTATGTGAATAGTGATGTATGAATAACAATTGCACGTGGTTTAGAGGTTAGGTTTTACAAACTGTCAACAAAAATTTTTATACAAAAAGCACTTTGAGATAAAACAATGAAATAAAACAATTTACATACCGTGCACATTATCTGATTAAGACTCTTGTGTTCCATTATATATTTATTCGTATAATTGTAATTATTTTTCCATCGCGGCATTTGTGACAAGGATGACAAAGTAACAAACAAAAATGTACCAGTATCTTTTCATAATATGTTGACATGCGTGTTGTGCAATGTTTTGCACTCAGCTGTTTGCAATTGTTGACTTATTTTTGTTTCCTCTAAAAACACAATAATTGCGACTAAATGGCAAAAAAGTGATTTTTATACATTATTAACATGGCAGACAATCTTGCTGCTCAATTATGTCTTCTTTTAGAACAAAGCAACATTTCAGGTAAGTTTTTTTTTTCTTTTTCAATTTACCCCTGTGGCTATATATTTTTTTTTTTTTCATTATTTGCAATTTATTTTTTAAAAAAATATTTGTTATAATACCGCAAAAAGAGTAACTTTGTAATAGTCGCAAAATAGATTTAAAATTTTAATTAATTTCAGCGATACAATGGAAATTGTTAGGTCAAGAGAAAGATGGTTCTATTCTTTTAGGATGGGTGGAAGAAATTCTGTCAAATAACGAACTCAAGTCTTATTCTGTGATAGGTCGATATGACCGATTAAACAATAAACTAGAGGTAAATTATGTTAATTAATTATATTACTCCAAATGTAAATTTTTAAAAACGAATTAATATTTTGTATATAGAGATAAATTATTTATTTAATCACAATAATAATAATTAAGATAATAATTTCAGATTTTACATAAATTTCCCGAGATAATAAATCTTATACAAGCGACAATTAATCAAAGCCATTCGATATTAGGATATATAACAAAAAAAAATTCTGAAAAAACTAAAGATTCTTCTCAAGAAACATTAAAAGTAATTGACAATGAAGTAAAAAAAATTGATGAAATAAGTGAAAAATGTTTACAAGAAACTGTAAAAGTTGATGATAAAGAAATAAAGGAAAATGAAGAAACTTTTAAACTTGATAATCAAGAAACAAAGGAAATTTTAGAAAAAATTTCCCAAACAACTTCTAATGTTGATTGTGATAATAAAGTAAAAAATAATGAAGAAACAATTTCCAATTCAGAAGTTTATCAAGCATTTCTTCTTGAATTCACAAGAGAGGAGAGAAAAATTCATTGTTTAGAAACGGAAAAATCAAAACAAATACGAATTCAATTTTTATATCGAGAAAAAGATCAACGAACGATGGAAAAATTTTTATTACTTGTTCATCAAGAATGTGAGTATAATTTTATTATTATATATAATTTAATAATTCAAATGGTTTAATAAACTAAAATTGCATTATTTACAGATATTCGTATGTACAATATTGCGATTGATGTATCGGAAAGTGAAGAACAATTAATAAAAGAATTAAAATCAGAAATATTAGTAAAAAATTTTCTATGGGCACAATGGGACTCAACTAATCAAGTTTTGTATCATATTCACGAGAGAAAGCCAGCTGTGAGTTTATTTACAGATATGAGCCCTGGAGTTCTTCCAAAACCTTCCAATTCTTCTCCAACACTCAGCGGATTTCAATTTCACGATGATCTTCCTCACGAGACGGTGGTAAGTTGTTTTTAATTTTCTTTTTTTTAAATTTTCATCGTTCGACAGAAAATGAGATTTTTTTAAATTAGAAAATTAATAAATTTCTTATTTCAGTTGAACATACCGTTGAATCTACCACAGCTTCCTGATGCGAATAACTGTGGTACATACGAAGACGACGTGATTCCATTGCGAATTCACGATTGTTCTCTCGATCTTATTGTAATATCAGATTCAAAGGGAATGGTTTGCGTTTGTCATCATTATCTTTATCGTCCAATAAAACCTCCGCAACATGTTCTCAATTCTGCTCTAAGCGATTCGAATACAGTACACTTTGCCTATTCAATAACACTTCTTCATCATAGTTGTGTAATTCATTGTGTAATTCCAGGAATTCCTTGGAGTCGAGCAAAACTCATGAGACCAACATTTGCCCTCTATGGAAATCATCATATGATTGTATTCGTTCAAAATTCTTTTACACATCTTCTTGAAATTGGTCTTCATCATCAACCATGTTGTCATATTTTGTGTGGTCCATTACCATCAGTACCCACAGAATCATCATATCTCGTTCCATTACTCAATATTCACGATGGAAACAAGGAAAATAATTCATTAACAAAATGTTCATCCAATATTCTCACAATTGATTTACCAACATTAAATCTCGTGACACTAACAATTCCAATAAAATTCTTAATTGAAACATATTCCAATGAAAAATCAATTGATGTACGTTTAGCAATTTTACATTATTTTTTTTGTCATCGAAATGATTTGGATATTGTTGGTGAATTAATTTCAATAGCGGCGGAAAAACCCAGATCACTTGATTTAGTAAAAATATTTCAAGAATTTTTAATAAGTGGATCAAATGCATTGGTGCAAAAAAATTTACTATTGGATACAATGCCATTATTGGCATTATTGCCAATTACAACATTAGATGAATGCTCGGAATTAGATGCAAAAATTAATGATCTCAATGTTAGTTTAACGCATGAAAAACTTTGGAATACTTCTGTAATGTTATTGTCACCTCAGCAAAGATTAGTGCCATATAGAAGTGATTTGTGGACAAAATTATGGGATCAATTGAGTAAACGAAATGGCGATTTACCACGATTTAAACCAAGTAAAGTTGCTGAAAAATTGCTCATGTCTTTGGCTTGTTATCAACCGGAAGCTTTATCCAGATCCAGTACGCCAATGTCGCCAAGTGGAGGGTAAGTTTTTTTTTTTTTTTATTTATAGCCCGTAAAATTGTATTGTTAATTTATTTAAATTGTTAACATTTTAATTAATCGTTTTAAATTAAAATTGGAACATTCAATTATATTTTAATTTACTTCAATTTATTTATCCTTTTTTTTCTAAATTCACTTGTTTGAAAAATTTAGGAATTAACTAATAAAATAATAAATTAATTTCAATTATTTTAAAAAATCAAATTTTAAAATTGAATTTGTTATTTATCTATTTTTTCAAGTAACTTATTTGTCAAAATTCGAGTATTTTAATCTCGTTTATTTACCTTACTTTTATCTAATATTCATAGTATGGTTTTCATGTCTATTATTTTTATTTGTAGTTACTAATCTTTTGAAAAAAAAAACATCCTGTTTTCTATTATTTTATCTTTCCATTTTTAGAATTTTGTTGGTCAAAAAAAAAAAAAAAAATCTGATAAAAATTTTACATTAAAATTTTTTTTAATAATAAAAATAATTTAATTAAGAAAACTTTGAAAATAGTTATTTTGTTATTCGATTACTTTACCAGTAATACACAATAAAAATATTTTTAACTATCGTAAACTAACACGATTTCTCATATTCATTCCTAGTTATTTTCTACCAATCTATATTTAAAGATTATGCGAATGAAGACACAGAAGCTATTTTATAGAATAGATTATTTTGAAAAAAAAAAAAAAAAATGACAAACATAATTCATTGGTACAATATTTATTTATTTATTTATTCAATATGATTTTTGTATTTACGGATTTAAAAGAATCAATTTTTTATTTATAAATATTTTTATTATCCAAAAATTATCTAACAATAATATTATTTTAAATAATTAAAAAATTTGCATTAGAAAAAAAATTTTAAACACTTTAATAATATTTTTAAAATACAATTTTAGTCTTCCAGTAACGTCAGCAACACTTGGAGAATTAATGGGTAGTCGTTCTCACAAATATTTTGAATCGAATTTGCCATTTATTGAAATGGAAAGTTGTACAGCATCAAAACAGGAGCATATTGTTGCTGTGAATTTACGTGAATTATCAATGTTTTTATTAAAACACGGTACACAATCGTCGACAAAAAATTTTCAAGGAAGTTGTACACCTTTACACGTTCATGCAATGTCATCAAAACATGTTAGCGCCCAATTGGAAACTTCACGACTTTTATGTCAAATGTTGTGCAAAACCGCAAATGTTGATTCAAGATTAGAACAAGAACGTGGCTTTTCTTTGGTGTAAGATTTCACTTATTTAATCAAAAAAAACAAATTCATAACTTAAATAATTTCTGAATGAATTTGAAATTTGAGAATATTAAATTTCAAAAAAATTAAATTAAATCAAAAATTGCAAAATTTTTGAATTGTTTGTGGTGATGACAATTTTAAAAATTAAGTCTTTACGTTTCATTAATTATTATTTGTCAAGGAAATTGTTTTTATTATTTTTTTCTTATGAAATTGGAGAATGATGAAAGTTTATTTTTATTACAGAGATAAATTAGATGAAGCACGACGCTGGTGGCTTTTTACGTTACTTGAACGTTATAAATATGCAACTGAAAGTATTGCGTTTCCTGTACCTCAGGGATTCACGTCATTTTTCACTTATCTAGGATATAGAACATTGAAATATTCAATGTTTCTGCAATACGTAAAACATTCCGCTTTTGAGTTACAAGTGGATGTTGCAAAAATAATTATGGCTGGTGAGATTTTTAGAAAATTTAAAAAATATTTCTTCCATTTTTTTTTTGTTTATAAAATTCTTATACAAAAAAAATTATTTTTTTATTATAAACGATTTTTATTTATTTTTTATATATATTTTTTTTTCAAGAACCGTTTTAGGACTTTTTATTTTAATTATAAATTTTAATTCATTAAAAATTTTATAACAATTATGATTTTTTGTTATTTAATTATATTAATTCAAATAAAATAGAAAATTTTTAGTTCAAGAAGAAGAAGAAGAAGAAAAAATTATTTTTTCAGATGTAAGTGACTCGAAGGAGAACATTCCACGAAAATTACAATTATTATCATTGCTACCAAGATCTCGAGCGAAACGTTTGTTAAATCAGTGGTTACATCCGATAAGTCTCATGTTAAGGGCAAGAGAACACGCGACAAACATTTTATCTGGAGAAATTTGTCCAAATCGAAGTAGACAACAACATCGTCATCCACACAGTGGTAATTGATTTAAATTATTCTTTTTTATTGAACAATTAAATAAATTAAGAACGAAAAAAATCTAAAATATTTTTTTTTTAGGAATTTCTGCTTTCCCTTCTGCTAATCGATTATCTCCTTTAGACACTTTTCTGGATTTACTTACTGCGAAAGGTACTTTTTTTCAAATAACTTTTTTAAAATTATTGATATTTAAATATTTAAATATTTTTTATTTTTTCAGCAAGTCTCACGGAATTAGATTTTGGTTTATTGAACGAAGCAACTGTGACTTCAATTGAAGATTTTATCTGATCTCGATGAGTTGGAATAATTTTTTTTTTTATTCAAAGTTACCAAAAAAAGAAAACAAAATTTCTTGATCTCAATATAAGAGAATATTTTTCACATTCCTTTGCCCAGCTGTGAATAGAAAGTAATTTTTCGTTTTTAAAGTAGCGTCTACAGTAGAAAAGAAAAATATCTACACCTCGAATTTATTGTAGACGCTGCTTGAAATGGATTTAGAAAAAAAAAGAATGAAAAAAACAATTTTTTATTTCTGCCACTTTTTTAAAATGAAGATTTCGGTGAGTTTTTATTTTTTTTATTTATATTTTCTTTCATAAAAAAATTTCTAAACCGTCAATTTTGGAGTTAAAAGACAATGCCAAAATGCCATCAAATATTTTCAGAAAAATCCTTTGAGAATAGTAGTATAAATTTTTTATTATTATTTATTTTATTAAATCATTTATTATTATTATTACTTTTTATTATTAATTCTCGAAATGTTTCAAATATTTAAACCGTTAACTTTGAAGTTTTAAATTCAAATTGTTATTAATTATTATTTAAAATTTTTATTAATAGTTTTTTTTATTACAAATTATCGAACTATATATTTTTTTTTTTTGTTTAAAAATATTAAATAAAAAAAATTATGTTAGAACATTTAAACAAAAAATAAACTATGTTAATAATAATAATTTCTGTCTATTGAATTCTATTTTCAGTCTTCATCTCCTCTGTTTCTTGAGACTCGCATCTCGATTATTTTATTTTACAATTCTTTCTCTCACGAAATTTATTCATTATCATCATTTTCATAAAAATTACCTTATCAAAAAAAATCTTTTTTTTTTTTTGTTTTAGTGAGTTCATTGTCTGGTTTTCCTTCCTTTTTCTGATACAATGGGATATTAGTTGTGTATGAAGAAGGGATGAACCGCAGCTGATATTGTGTGTGGGGATATTGACATTCCGCTTTTTCCCCTTCTCCAGATTCCAATAGAACTATACACACACCTCTCTCTCTCTTCGTTCGAAACGAGTTCTATATTCCTTTTCCCATGTTGTAACACTCATCATCATTTTATACTTCCGAGAGTTTTATTTGCGAGTATAAGCTTAATTATCACTTATACAATTATAAACAAAAATCTAGTCATCGAAAAAAGAAAACGATACCTAGAAAAAAAGTAGATACTTTTTATTCATTAAAGTTAATCAGCGCCGAGTCATTCAACAAGTTAAAAATTCAATTTACTGAATTCTTTTCTATTTTGATTGAAATTGGCCTTTTTTTTTTTTGGAGAAGAAATTAAAATAAAATGGAAACGGAACTCATAAGACCGGACAATCCGTCAAAATGCACGTGGAAGACAAATTCTACAGATAGCCCTCACACTAATCGGAGCAAGTTAGTAAAACAATATTGATACTTCTTTCTTTAATGTTATTTAGAATTTTTTTTTTCAATATTTGAAAAAATATTTAAATATTTAAAAATAACTTCATCATTCTTTTTTTTTCCTTAAGGAAATTAATTATTATTCAGTTTTTTTTTTAAATCTCAACCTGATTATTGCATCATTCGAAATTGTTACCACGTTTCGTATTGTTTACGTTTTTCATATGAATCGCTATTGCAATGTCTTTTATTCATAATTTATAAATATAATTATGTGATTATTTTTTTCACATATAAAAGAGTTGACTTTTTTTAAAATTATTTTGTTTTTCAATTTTTTAATTAAAAAAAATTCAAAATATAATTTTTAATAACAAAATTTGAATATATTTTTTTAATTTAATTAAATAAATTTCTTTTTATGAAATTCGCTAAATTATGTATTTTTTTTTTAAAGTAAAATAAAAAAAATAGAAATAATAATTAAAAGTAGAACATTTGAAGAATCTATAGATTGATTTAAATAATAATTATAAACTATAACCAATCCATTAGCTGAATGATAAAAGGATCGATTTTCTGTCTTCAACCAAGGTCAGTTTCTTGGCAATGTTGAAAAAAAGAAAAAGGTTTTAAAATAATAATTTTTTTCTATATTATACTTTGTAATATTTTTTTTTTTATAAAATATTCTATAAAATTTTTTATTATTGTAAATATAAAAATTTATTTTTCATTTTTTTTTTATCAATTTTAAGAATTCATAAAAATGAAGTTAATTTTTGTTTCATTTATTACTTTGTACATTAATTTTTAGTAGGAAAAAATAAGAAAAATAATATAGCAGTTTTAATTCCTAGAAAATTGTTTACTTTTAATTTTCTCTATAGTAAATAATTAATATCTAGATTTTTCAAATGAAAAACAGAGATATTAATTTTAGAATGTGAATTATTTAAAAAAAATATAATGTCAATACATTTGGTAATCTATTTGTAAAAACATGTTTTAGCAGGTGTTCCGAAAAGTCCAAATAAGTCATTTTTTTAAAAAAATTTCATTCAATCGAAGCTCTAAAATGTTAAGTCATGAAATATTATTAAAATTTGCATTTCTAAAATATTTTTCAAAAAAATAAATTCAATTAAAGTTTCCGAAAAAAATTGGAAGGAATTTAATAATAATAAAATAAAAATAATAATTTATTAATTAAAGATAAAAATTTTTTTTTAATTCAAATCCGATTATCTATAAAACAAAAGAAATAGACAATAAAAATATTGTTATTCTCCTTGATGATTGAGACAAATTGAAGGTAATGGAATTAAAAAGATTTTAAAGTTATTACAAGTTTATCTCCTTTAATAGTTTTTATGAGTCAAATGATTATTTTAAATTACATATACTGTGAGAACATATAAATTGTCCCTAATCTACAACTATAATCAAGTTTAGAAGCAATGAAAAAATAAATTTTTGAAACTATAGTATAAATTTTTATTGTAATGAAAAAATAATCATAATACTAATTTAAAAAATGTAAAAAAAATACAATAATTAAGAGCATATAATTATAAAAATTACCAAAATTATAATTAATCTTTTAAAAATTAAATTTTATATTTTTATCAAAAATTATACAATTGGAATTGTTCCAAAAAAAGAAAATTTTTGTTGCAGAACAATGGAAATTCTCTTTTACTATACAAAAGATTAAATATAGATAATCTATTTAAATTTAAATACAGTGAATCACATACTCATACCTATACGTGTATAATGAAGACAAGATTTTTATTATTCCATTAATTTTTCAAGGATAAATCATTCATCCATTTTTTTACAACTGAACATAAATTATACAAATAAAATTACAAAATGTAATTTTAAAAATTTTTTTTTTTTTTTCTTAAAAGAATTTTTTTAAAACTCGATTGCTGAATTCACAAAATATCCGGAAGTGAAATTTGCAAGTTTTTGTTTATTTTACTGTATCCTTGATTTTTTTTTAAACAACTCTGCCAAAAAAAAGTCCTTGATTTAAAAATATATTTTTTTTACAATATTTTCTTTTTTCAAAAATTGATTATAAAAATATAAATAGAAAAAATGAAACTAATTTGTTTATTCTAAAGTTAAATAAGTTATGTGTATATATTTACATTTAATTGTTCGTATGAATTAAAATTTCCATGTAAATCGTAAGCTTTGTATAAATTATTTGTGATTTATTTACATTTGATTGGTGATATAAATTAAAATTTACATGTAAATTATTAGTTTCTGATATAAATTGTAATTAATTTTTAATTACACTTTTGTTTTCAGAATGGCTGACAGGAAAACAATATTACCGAATATTTTAGATGCAATTGGTCAAACTCCAATGGTTCGATTAAACAAAATTCCCAAAATTCATGGAATTAAATGCGAATTGTGTAAATATTAATTTTAATTTATGCAAATTTTAATTACATTATGAAAAAAGAAAAATATTTTATTTTTCTTGCATAAAAGTTTCTTTCTTTCTTCTTAATTTTTTTTATTACTAGTATATTTTTTATTAAATAAAAAATTTTTAAATTAAATTTTTTTAAAAATTTCATTATTTATTTAATTTAAATTTATTGTATAAATGGAATGAAAATTTTTAGTGGTGAAATGCGAGTACATGAATCCAGGAGGTTCAGTGAAAGATAGAATAGCAGGGAGAATGATTAAAGATGCAGAAGAAAAAGGTTTATTGAAACCGGGTTGTACAATAATTGAGCCAACAAGTGGAAATACAGGAATCGGTCTAGCAATGGCAGCTGCTGCAAAAGGATATAAATGTATAATTGTCATGCCACAGAAGATGTCGAATGAAAAACTTTACACGCTTCAAGCACTTGGTGCTCAAGTTGTAAGAACTCCAACTGAAGCTGCTTGGAATAGTCCCGAGGGTCACATTGCAGTATCTCAAAAAATTCAAAGAGAAATTCCAGACAGCGTTATTCTCGATCAAGTCAGTTTTTTTTTCTTTTCTTTAAAATTTATAGTTTCAAAACTACAAAAAAAAAGAAGAAAAAAATGTTTCTGATAAATAATAATTTTAAATTAAAAATTACTTCTAATAAATTAATTTAATTTATTAGCTAATTTAATTTAAATTAAAGAATAATTCTATTCATTATTATTAATTTAAATAAATTAACGATATACAAATTTTAATTACGTAATTTAGACAAAATTTCAACAAATTTGAAATTCAAAATTCAATATAGATTTTAAATTCCATAAAATAATATCCTGTTGACAAAGAATTTAATTTCAGAAAATATAATCTTCTTCTTATTACATGCGGTTGAAAAATATTTGATTCCGGTTTTTTTTTTTACACTGCTTCATTATTGCATAATTAGCTTATCAAAATTGTGGCTTCAAATCTTTTTTTTTTTCTCAACATTCTATTTTTACTGCTTTTTATATTATAATTATAACTTCGTTTAAAATTTATCACTTTTTTCTGAAAATCAAGCAATTTAAAAAAAAATGGAATTTTTTTTTTCATGTAAATCTTAACAAAAGTGAGAATAAAACATTTATTCAGACTTTTTGAGGTCATTTTATCATCTATATTGTTGCGAAACGTGAGATTTATTTCTCTCTTATTATTGAAATAAGTTAGTCTTATTCTAAAAAAAAAGAATATTTAAAAAATATTTTTTCAATTAAATAAATCGAATAATATTAAATTGTTCCTTTAACAAATTTTAATAAAAAAAAAAACTATTTGATAATTTACAAAATAAAAGTGATAACAAATACGAATAATAATAAAAATAATGATAATGATAATAATTATAATCCTGAAATTAAATGTTTTATTTTCGCTTGAAAAAAAATTTACTTTAATTCAAATATAATTTATTTAATGGCAATATTTTAAATTAAAAATTAATTAGAGTTCAAAAATTAGTTTTTCAATTTTTTAATTTAAATATATATTTTTTTAGTATACAAATGCTGGTAATCCATTGGCGCATTATGATAATACAGCCATGGAAATTTTGGAGCAAGCTGGAGGAAAAATAGATTATTTAGTAGCTGGAGCAGGAACTGGAGGTACTATTAGCGGTATTGGTCGTAAGTTCCGCGAATTATCACCAAGTACAAAAATAGTTGCTGTTGACCCAGAAGGCAGTATTCTTGCTGATCCTCCAGAACTAAATAAAACTCCGACTACATTTTACGAAGTCGAAGGAATTGGGTAAATGAAATTTTTTTTTATTATTATTATTTAATTTTTAAGTATTTTTAATATTATTTTTAAACTATAAAATCAATTATTAATAAAAACATTTTTGTCAATTTATAAAAATTTGAATTTAATTAAATTTTTTACAGTTATGATTTTGTACCAACGGTTTTGGATAATAAAGTAATTGACATGTGGATAAAATCAAACGATTGTGAATCCTTTATCGCCGCACGTAGTTTAATAAAAGATGAAGGTCTTCTCGTTGGTGGTAGTAGTGGAGCAACTTTATCATCTGCTTTGAAATTGGCGAAAAATTTACCGGAGGACAAACGAGTTGTTATTTTATTGCCCGATGGAATTCGAAATTATATGACGAAATTCGTTTCCGATTATTGGATGGAGAGTCGAGGTTTTTTGGTGAGAATTCGACAAAACAAATTTTCTACAAAAATAATTGTCATTAGTTAAAATTTTTTATTGGAAATTTAAAAAATTAGTTTCAGAAAAAGAAATTTTTTTTTTTTTTTGCAGAATCCTCCAGAGCCAGTTGAGGGCAATAAATGGTGGTGGAATCTTCCTGTTTCCACTATTCATTTTAGTAAACCTGTAACTTTATCAAAAAGTTCAACTTGCGAGGACGCTATTAATATTCTTCAAGAGGGCAAATTTAATCAATTACCAGTTGTTGATCAAAAAAATGAAATTTTAGGTTTTGTCTCATTAAATGGAATTTTAAGTTCATTGATCTCGGGAAAAGTAACAAAAATTGATAAAGCTGAAAAAATAATGTCGAAAGAATATCGTAAAGTTGTTTTGGCAACTTCACTTGGACGTCTTTCGAGAATGCTTGAAAAAGAACATTTCGCAGTGGTTTTAGATGAACATAATGACGGAGCATTTGTTGGAATTGCAAGTCAAATAGATTTACTTGAATTTATAAACAAAGGTCAAACCAGTAATGGCAAGGTTCATACAAATGGCACAAATTGTGCTTAAATTTTGCAAATCTAGCGAAAATGATCATTAATTATCATTTAAAAATACCACGGTGTGAAATCTCGATGACAAAATCTATAATTTTTAACGTTGAAGAATTTTTATTTCATTATATTCATTTTTTTAAAAAAATATTTCTTCAGGTAGATATAAAATTTATAGGATCAATTTATGCACTTGTATTATTAAATTAATTATAGTTATTAGAAGCAAGTCCACAAAAAAGTGCATTGAAAATATAAAGAAAGAAATATTCAAACGAATTGAATACATATGAAAGTAAAACTAGAATAGAGAAATTGTTTAATATTAATTAATTTTCAAATTGGATTAACTATTTAATTAGTTTGATTAATTAATAAATATTTAATTTACTTTTTAATTCACAATTTGCTTTTTTAGAGAAAAGAGAAAAGAGAAAATTCATTTCTTGTCTTTTGGAAAAAAAATACTGTTTTTTTAATTTGATAATTTTATTTTAAAGAAAGAAAAAGAGATTTATTAAAATAGAAATATTTATCTAAACTGAAGACTGTGAATTTTCTGCTATAAAATCACATAATGTGTGAATCAATAGTTTTTTGTCAATTTTTGAACATTGTCGCACTCAGCGCACGACTGTTTATTCTTACAATCAATATTAATTGTTTAATATAATATTTAACATATCGTGAGATTATAAACTAATAATATCAACGAATTTCTCTAAGTTTGTCTCAACGTAAATTAAACAATTTTGGAAAAAAAATATTTGCAAATTCTCAACGGACCTACATTTATGATCTATAAGTAAGAGTTGAATAGAATGAAATTATATAGCTTTTAACTAAAATATAAAAATTATAAAATATATCAAATATATCTATAAATCTTCAAGATATCAATATTTTGTAACTTATATTTATGTTCCACTGGGAATTGGTACTTAGATATTTGTGATTCTTGTACAACAGAAAAAGAACTTTAATTTTTTAACTAAAGCGCAATATTTCTTGAATTTTAAGTTCTTTATTTCTGAAATTTGAAAAATTGTATTTTACAATAAAAAAAAATATACAAAAAAACAATCACTATCGCATATTTCTTTTAAAAAAAGATATTTTTTATTTTTAATAAATAATAATAATAAAATAATACTATATTATAAACAAATTAAATTGTTCAAAATAATAGGAAATTGATAAAGGAAATTGTAAAAAGAAGTGTGAAATTAAGAAGTAAAGTCTTATCTTATCTAGCTAATAGTAATAAACACCTTTTCTCTTAACGCAGGCGCGAATATAGTTTCATTCGCGAAATAAAATCTCAATGTAAAGTCTCAAAATTGGATTTTTAAATATATTTTCTGTTTAATTTGATAAAAACAATAAACATGGAATTTTTGGAGCCAAATAGAGCAATGAGATGCACCTGGACTCCGAATTCTTCTAATACACCTCATTCTACTTTTCGGAAGTAAGTTTTAAATTAATTATAATAAATCGAAACAAATAACCTAAAATATTTTAAGAATAATAATTTATATTTTTTTTTTCTCATATTTTTGCATTTTATATAGATTTTTTTTAAATATAATTAATTATATTTCAAATTTAATTTAATTTAATTAATTTACAATAATTAATTTATTATTAATTTTATAAGTACTTATTTATGAAAAGGGCATGTCCCGTGAGTTATAATAAATAAATAAATTTATTATATTATTTTTATTAATTATAAGATTTGAAATAAAATTAATTTGATTTTTATTTTCAGTCAAATGAATAGAAAGAAAATATTACCGAATGTTTTGGAAGCAATTGGAGAAACTCCAATGATTCGTTTGAATAAAATTCCAAAATTACATGGAATTAAATGCGAAATGTGTAAATAACTCTCTATCAATTAATAATAATTAGTAAATAATTAATTCATTATTAATGAATTAATAAATCATTTTGAAAAATTAATATAAATATTATACAATTAATTTTATCATTAATAATATTTATTTATAATAAAAAATTTTTTAGTGGCAAAATGTGAATTTTTGAATCCTGCTGGTTCAGTGAAAGACAGAATTGGTTATAGAATGGTGAAGGATGCTGAGGATCAAGGATTAATAAAACCGGGATATACATTAATTGAACCAACAAGTGGAAATACAGGAATTGCAGTAGCGTTGGCAGCTTCTGTAAAAGGCTACAAGTGCATTACGATATTTCCAAATTTTATATCAAACGAGAAACAAGCGACAATTGAAGCTCTTGGAGCTCAAGTTTTAAGAAGTCCTGTAGATGCTGTATGGGATGGTCCAGAGGGAATTTTTGCCATTGCTGAAAAGCTGAACAAGAATATTCCAAATAGTTTTATACTGAATCAGGTGAAAATATTGTTAAATTTTTTAAAAATTAATTAAAATTGTCAAATTTTTTTTAAAAAAATTGAAAAAACTAATTATAAAATTAATAAATTAGTGTTCGAACAGTGCAAATGCTTTGGCTCATTATGATACAACAGGAATGGAAATTTTTGAGCAAACTGAAGGAAAAATTGATTATTTTGTCGCTGGATCAGGAACTGGAGGAACTCTTACTGGTGTAGCACGAAAATTACGTGAATTATCACCGGAGACAAAAATTGTTGGCGTTGATCCAGAAGGAAGTGTTGTCGCAGAACCTCCCGAATTAAATGATCCAACTGTTACATGGGAAATGGAAGGAATTGGGTAAATGAATTTTCAAAAATTCATAAATATTGTTAATTAATTTTTAGATTGAATAAATAATTAGAATTTTCTTGAATAATAATTGATAAATTTTTTTCGATACAGCTATTATTTTGTCCCAACAAATTTGGACAGGAAAATAATAGATTTTTGGATAAAGTCAAACGATCGTGATTCATTTTTAACAGCACGAAGTCTTATTCGTGATGAGGGTTTACTTGTCGGTGGAAGTAGTGGAGCAATTATGTCAGCGGCTATAAAATTAGCGAAAAATTTGCCAGAAGATAAACGAATTGTCGTTTTATTACCAGATGGAATTCGAAATTACATGACAAAATTTGTTTCCGATTATTGGATGGAGTATCATGGATTTATGGTGATATTCTCAAATTTATTTTCTTATTAATATATGCAGAAAGTGAAAATATTTTTTGAATTTGTAAATAATTTTCAGAATCCCCCAGAACCATCTGAGAATAATCGTTGGTGGTGGAATCTTACAGTTTCGAATATTCAATTAACTAAATCAGTTGCACTTAAAAAAGATGCAACTTGCAAAGAGACTATGAATATTTTACAAGAATCAATGATTCATCAAATTCCAATTCTAATAGAAAACAATAAAGTCCAAGGTGTAGTTACACTCGATGAAATTCTGAACAATTTAATTCTAGGCAAAGTGAACGATGAAGATTCAGTGGAGAAAATTATGTCAATGAAATTTCCAAAAATCGAAAGTTCAATGACACTCGGAAAACTTTCAAGAATTCTCGAAAATCAAAAATTTGCTATTGTTCTAAATAATGACAAATTTATGGGAATCGTCAGACAAGTAGATTTATTGAATTTCATCAAAACTAATCGTGATCGTTAAAATTTTCAATTTTTTTTAAAAATAAAATTCTATTTTTGTTACTGCAAATCTATAAACTAGTAAGTAAAGTTATTATTATTAAATAATATAGTATAAAAAAAATATAAATAAATTTATTAGAAAGAAGTATGCTTTGCAAAAAAAGAGAAAAAAATATTTAAAATTTGTTAAAGAAACATTAATTAAAATTAATAGTATTTTTTGTATATTTTGTAATAAAAATAAACTAGAAATTCGAAAAATAAATGAACTTTTATATTTCATTCAATATTTATTAAAATAACAATTTTTTTTTTAATAACTGTTTTGTTTTTATGACAAAGCAAAAATTAAAGATTGTCAATTCAATCATTCGTTAATATCATGAACACCATTAATTATTCCAATTAGAGTTAATTAAGTTAAGAAAAATTAATTTGAATCTATGAAGATTAGGTGTTGAATGAGACTTTGTTCTTCAAAATTGAAGAAACAACTTGATAAAACCAGTAAATTATTGATAAAAAAAAAAAAAAAAAAAAATGAAACGTCACATATACTGGTCACAAAATAATATGCGAGCTAAATGCGAGCCTTTCTTTTTACTATAGTTTGTTGTGAGCTACAGACGTGATGATGCGAATAGTCGATTAGTCATATTAATTATATTAAAATAATCTGATTAAATGTCAATAGTCTCGAGAGCAAAAAAAGTAATTATTTCACAACAAGTTCTAAATATTTAACGAGAGTTAAAATTTTATGCTTTTATAATAAAAATATTTTATCAAAAAAAAAAAAAAGAAAATCTCAAAATGGATCAAGTAAGACCGGATAAACCAAAACAATGTACATGGCAACCAAATGCCAAAGATACGCCTCATACTAAACGTACCTTGTAAGTAAAAAATTGAAAATCGAAAAAGAATTTATTTTTTTCCCCTGTAAACTCGTTTATTTGTAAATAAATAAGTAGAATTTAATTTAATTTTTAAATTTTAATATTAAAAAAGATTTCAATTGAATTTTTATTTTATTATATTAATTTAATGGAATTGGATTGTAAAAATATTTTTTTTAAAAAAGTTTATATTGTTTCCGTTTTGATAAAATTGATAAGTTATCGCTGTGCTAATTTAATGCTAGAGGAAAAAATAAATTACAAATGTACTGGTCAAAATTATGATTATGATTTTTTAAACAAATAAAAAAAAAAAATTTTTTTTAAATTCAATTATTTATGTAATTTAATTATATTAAAATTTCAATAAAAATATTTTTCTTTTTTTTTAAAGGCATGTAGATCGAAACAAAATATTGCCAAACATTTTAGAAGCAATTGGCGAAACACCTATGGTGCGTCTCAATAAAATTCCTAAATTACATGGAATAAAGTGCGAAATAGGTGAATATTCCAATTTTTAAAATTAAGAATATAAAAATAGTTTAAGTAAATTTTTAATTTATGAAAAAAAAATTGCAATTTTTATAATTAATTAAAAATTTTAGTGGCAAAATGCGAATTCATGAATCCAGCGGGATCAATGAAGGATAGAGTCGCGTATCGAATGGTCCAGGATGCTGAGGAGAAAGGTTTATTGAAACCTGGTGACACGGTTATTGAGCCAACAAGTGGAAATACGGGAGTTGGTCTGGCAATGGTAACCGCTGTCAAAGGATATAATTGCGTTACAGTTATGCCTCAATGGATGTCAAATGAAAAGCAATACACGATGCAAGCTCTTGGGGCAAAAGTTGTAAGAACACCGGCCTCAGGAATGCCTGACAATCCCGAGGGACCATTCATGATTTCTGCAAAATTGCTTCAACAAACAAAAAACAGTGTCATTTTAAATCAGGTATTATATATTATTATATATTATATTTATAGAAAATATTTATCAAATCCAATTTTTTTTTAGTATTCAAATCCATCGAATTCACTTGCTCATTATGATACAACTGCTGAAGAAATTTGGCAACAAACAGGTGGGAAAATTGATTATTTTGTCGCTGGTTCCGGAACTGGAGGCACACTCACTGGTATTGCTCGTAAACTTCGAGAATTATCGCCACAAACAAAAATAATTGCCGTTGATCCTTTGGGAAGTCAAATGGCAAATCCTCCGGAATTAAATAAAACTTCAGTAAACTTTTGGGAAACCGAAGGAATTGGGTAAAAAAAAAAAAATAAATGTTTTCGAAATTCAAAAGAATATCCAAATTAAGTAAATTATATATTAATTATAATAATCTGAAATTAAAATGCCAACAAATCATAAATGTGATAAACTTTAACATTATCCATAAATAAATTTTTTTTTATTCTTTCGTTATTTCTTAATAATAAATTTGTTGTATTTTTAATCGTTAATTTTAAAAATTAGAAAAAAAGTAATTTATGAAAATAATTTTATTATTTGAATTTGTAATTAAAATTAATTTTTCAGCCACGCTTATATTCCATCGAATATGGATCGAGATGTCGTGGATCAATGGGTAAAATCAAATGATCGCGATTCTTTTCTCCTCGCGAGAAGTTTAATTCGAGACGAGGGTTTACTTGTTGGAGGTAGTTGCGGAGCAGTTTTGTACGCGGCTTTGCAAATAGCAAAAGACCTTCCGGAAGATAAACGTGTCGTTATTTTATTACACGACGGAATTCGAAATTACTTAACGAAATTTGTTTCCGATTATTGGATGGAGAGTCGTGGCTATTTGGTGAGTTGATCAAAAGAAGATTTTCCAAAGCAAAAAAAAGGAGTGACTTTTTTTGGAAACGTAATTTTTTTTTTCAGGATTCTCCTGAACCAATGGAAAATAATCTATGGTGGTGGAATCTTACGATTCGAAATCTTCATTCAAATAAAACACACATAATTACTGAAGAAACAACTTGCGAGGATGTAATAAAAATGTTTCAGGAACTCAAATTTCATCACATGACAATTATGAATGAAAATCAGGAGATTGTTGGTTTTGTAACGGAAAATTTATTATTCAGTAATTTTATTTTAGGAAAAGTGCAAAAAACCGAGAGAATTGATAAAATTATGATTAAAGAATTTCGTAAAGTTCATTTAAAAACAACACTCGGTAAACTTTCACGCTTTTTTGAACACGAAAATTATGTCGTTGTGGTAAACGAAAATAAAAATGATAAATTAGTTGGAGTTCTCACTCCAATTGATTTATTAAATTTTATCAATAACAGCAAAAATGGTGTAACTTCGTAAGTTGAATTTATCACAAATTCAATTTTTTTTTTAAAATTTTTAACGATTTATTAATTAATATTAATTTTTAAATTGATTATACTTCTTTCTATAATATATTAAAAAATGTCATCATAATTTCGACATAAATATTATTTTGTAATTCTTATATTTAAATAATAAAAATATGAAACAAATTTTTTTTTCCTAGTATTTTAAATATTAATTGCACAGAGACAATCGTTGGGAAAATATAAATAATTCTTACCTTAAAGAATATTTTTAAAAAATTTGAAAATCTTTACTATATTCGTTGAACGTAGACATTAAATTTACAACTAGGCAATGCGGCAACTTCTGCGTCAACTGTGCATGGAATTCCCAAATTTGCCAAACTTCCACGAAGAAGACCACATGTAAATGCTAATAAACGTGGACTTTCACGAAGATATTGTTTACTATTATTTCCACCAATATTTGATAATAAACGAAAAGAATTATCCTGTAGCATATAAGTGCCATGATGATTTGTTCGTAAATTGTCAATTTGTTTTTGATATAAACTTGTCCAAAAATCTGTGCATATAAATTTTATTGTATCCAATTCGTCTTTAAAACGTGGCCATTCTCTTGTCAATCGTTCAATTATTCGATAACCAACACTAAATCCCATTGATTCCAATCGTGATAAATCTTCTTCCTTTTCCTTCAAAAATATTTATTTGAAACGAAAACAAAAAATTTGTTTACTATTTTTTTAAACTTTAAATTATATTAAAAAACATTGCTTTCTGTATTTATAAATAAATTAATTATTACTAATTGTAATAATTATTATTTGCTACAAATGTAACAGCGAATTTTGACATTTGTCAAGTTAACATAACCTCAAAACAAAAATGTTATTTTCTATATATAGCAAAAAACAATTATTATTCTATATATTTTATATAATATTAAAAAATAATTACCCCAGTGTTGACAGATGTGCTTAATACATAATTAACTATTTCTGCGTGTAAATATTCAAATAAACATTCATCAGCTTCACCTTTGTTTGCTGAATTTGATTTTGGATCAACAAATTGATGCTTCATTTTAAACACTTTTTTCTTTCTTCTAAAATATCGATTAATTAATTGGTTATATATTAATTAGTGTACAAGTAATTTAAACGATATCAATTTCTTTCTAAACGCAGATAAATATGTTTTTTAACCTTATTTTTGGAATTTTGACAGATGGGTTGTTTAGATAATTCTCCACTAGAGGGATGTGAATTGTTATCTAATTGGTTCAAATGTGGCGCGCTTATTTAAAAATCTTTCAAAATTCAAATATTTGGACCAATGAAATGTTAGGTAATCAATGCCATCGAACGGTGAAAATAAAAACTACGTTAAGAATTCACTTCCACATGTCCGCTTGCATCACCCTAACCTATAATTTTTAAAAGAAAAAGCCGATTTTGTTTTAAACAATCTGGTTCATTTTTAAAAGAGAAAATTCTTTTTTGAAAAAATAAGAGGAAATAGTTTATAAAACATGTCTTTGAAACTTGTTGCGAAGTCCAGTGAACCACCTTTAGGTAATTATTAAAAATTTCTAATTTTCTATAATTTTTGTTTAAAAATATATTTTCCCTGAATTATTCTTTTAAATAATTTAATTTTTTGTCACAATTTTCTTGATTTGTCTCATTTTTTTTCAATTAGAAAAAAGATTAGAATTTAGATATGAAAAAAAAAACAAACAATTTTTCAGGTGCATTGATAGTTAGTGAGATTGTTTCTTTGGAAAAGAATATTAAAATTCCTGTAATTTGGACGGATGATTGGAAAGAATCTGGAAATGTACAATTATTTGATAAGGAAGGACGTTTAGTTGGCGAAACTGATAATGATGTGGCTCGTTTTTTAGCGAGGACCGTAGATTTTAATTTATATGGTAAGAAATTTATAAATAGATCTTTATTTTTAGATATGTAGATTTACTTTTGCTTTGAAAGATATTTATGGTTTGTAATTTTCGAAATAATTTATATTTACTGTTTAAATTGGAATAATAATAATCAATAGAATTCGTTAGTAGATTTTTCCGTTTGTCAAATTTATTTGTATTTGTTTACGTTTGGAAAATTCTAATTTTTGTCTGTTATCAAACGTCACGATTATATTAAACTCATATAAAAATTAGTCTTTCTTGTTTTTGTTTACTTTTTTTTGTTGTTGAAATTTTCAAGATTTATAATTTTTTTCTTTTAAATTAACGGAGAAAATAATTCAATTCAATAAATAAATTATATATAAATTCAATAATTATATTTAAAATATTATATTCAATTGATATAATTAATAATGATATGATGATGATGATAATAATTTTTAAAAAAATGAAATCAATTTTAGGAAATGATGATCCCTTGGATAGAACAGAAGTAGATCATTGGCTTTCATTTGCAATTGGACCACTTCGTGGGGCTCAATCATTAACCGAGTCTCTCGATTATTTGGATCGTATATTAATGCCCAGAACATGGTTGGCTGCAAAACGATTGACAATTGCTGATATTTGTGTTTTCTCTGCACTCTCAACTGAAGGGGAATTAGTTTCTGATGGAAAATATCCAAATATCACAAGATGGTATAAACAAATTAATTCTCTTTCTGCAACTAAATCAGCAATGGAGATGGTTTTGAAAAATAGAAAAACTATCGACAAAAAAGTCAATAAACCGCGGGGAAAACAAGTTGATAAGGAAAATAAAGGACAACAAAATTCTAACGCAAGAAAACAGGAAGGCAAATTTATTGAACTTCCTGGCGCTGAAATGGGAAAAGTAATTGCTTTTTTTTCCTCTTAAAATTTTACTAAAATAATTTTTTCGTTTATTAAATTAAATTAAATAAAAATAATTTTTTTCAGGTTGTAGTTCGATTTCCACCTGAAGCTAGTGGATATTTACATATTGGACACGCAAAAGCAGCACTTTTAAATCAATATTACGCTGATGCATTTAAGGGACAATTAATAATGAGATTTGACGATACAAATCCAGCAAAAGAAAATGTTGAATTTGAAAAAGCAATACTTGAAGATTTAAAAATGCTTCAAATAAAACCAGATCGTTTTACACATTCATCGGATTATTTTGATCTTATGTTGAAATATTGTGATCAATTGTTGAAAGAAAATAAGGCATTCGTTGATGATACTCCAGCTCAAGAAATGAAGGATCAACGAGAACAAAAATTACCATCGGTTAATAGAGATAATTGTAAGTGTTTTTTTTTTGAATTAAAAATTACAAATTCGTTTGTTTAATTTTATTTTTCTTTTAGCGGTTGAGAAGAATTTGAAATTGTGGGAAGAAATGAAAAAAGGTACAACTAGAGGATTTGAATGTTGTGTAAGAGCAAAAATTGATTATCAATCTCCAAATGGTTGTCTAAGGGATCCAACAATCTACAGATGTAAATTGGAATCACATCCACGTACCGGCACTAAATACAAGTAATTTTTAATTATTTAATTTTCAATTTAATTAGTTAATAGTTAATTAGTAATAAATGTGTATTATTTTACTAGGGTTTATCCAACTTATGATTTTGCTTGTCCAATTGTTGATGCTGTTGAAAATGTCACACATACATTACGCACAACTGAATATCACGATCGTGATGATCAATTTTATTGGTTTATCGAGGCTTTGGGTTTAAATCGTCCTCATATTTGGTCATACTCACGGCTAAATATGACAAATACAGTTCTTTCAAAAAGAAAATTAACTTGGTTTGTCGCTGAGGGTTTAGTGGATGGCTGGGACGATCCACGATTTCCAACAGTTCGTGGCGTTCTTCGACGTGGAATGACAGTCGATGGATTGAAACAATTTATCATTGCACAAGGAAGTTCGAAATCAGTTGTATTTATGGAGTGGGACAAAATATGGTCCTTCAATAAAAAAGTTCTCGATCCTTTAGTAGTGAGGTAATAAAAACCTTTTTTTTTATCAATTATCAAAATTCTCCTTCAATTTTTGTATTTTCGAATTTATTTACGAATTAATTTACGATTTTTATAGATACACTGCTTTGAATGCTAATGAACTTGTTAAAGTGACGGTGAATGATGCTAAAAATGATTGGATAACTGTTCAAAATCATCCAAAGGATCCGTCAATTGGTACTAAACAAGTTCGTGTCAGTCCAAATGTTCTTATTGAAAAAATTGACGCCGAAACATTGGTGGAAGGACAAAATGCGACATTTATCAATTGGGGTAATTTATTAATAAAAAAAGTGAAAAAAGAAAATGGAACCATTGTGAGCGTTGAAGCAGCACTCAATTTGGATAATAAAGATTTTAAAAATACAGTGAAACTCACTTGGATTGCGGAAGATTCTATTAAAAATAGAGATCAATCCGATTCAAGTTTGGTGCCATGTTACGCTGTTTATTTCGATCATATCATCAGTAAACCAGTTCTAGGAAAAGATGAAGATTTTAAAAATTATATTGCCAAGGATACCAGGGTAAAAAGAACAAAAAAAAAAAATTATAATTTTAAATAATATAAATTTATTATATATTTGTTATTTTATTAAATAAAATTTGTAAATTTTAGAAAGAAGTTGAGATGATGGGAGAAACGGAAATGAAGAGGATAAAGAAAGGGGAGATTATTCAAATTCAAAGAAAAGGATTTTTCCGCTGTGATGTTCCATATTCGCCAATTAATGCTCATTCATCTCGAGAGCAACCTTTAATTTTATTCCACGTTCCCGATGGACATTCGTCATCTCCGATTAATCAAGCTCCAAGTAATTCAACTGCAAAAAATACTCAACCTGCCAAGCCAAAGGTAAATTTTTCATAAATATTTAGTAAACTTTTATTAGTATTTTATTTATTTATAAAATTTTCTACAAATTCAAAATTATTATAATTAAATTAAAGAGTATTTTCTCTAAATTTTAGTAAACTAAATAGTAAAATTAATTTACGGGTAATGCTCTTTAATAATTTTTTAATAATTACTGTATGTAATTTTTAAAAAAATCTTTAATTTAATTTTGCATAAAAAATGGTTTTTAAATTATTTCTTAAACTCACAAAAAACTAGAGAAGTTATAAATTTGGAGAAAGTTTTATTGACAATTAACTAATTCGTTATTAAAAAATCAATGACGGAAAAAATTTTTAGCTTAATATAATTTAAAGAATTTAATAATGTCCAATACAAATGTGCTGACTACATCTATATTCAGTTATGTTCTATATTTTCTCCAAGTAGTTTATCCCCACTATTTTTCCAAAGAGAAGGGATCTTAAGCCGTTGCCGTATAACAATATGTGTATATAATCGTCGATTTCAGTTACCAGCACAAGTATTATTATTATAGCTCACTTGAATTTAGAAAACGTGTTCCCTCACGTCAGTCAAATTCGATTTTCTTTCCATATGTTAATAAAAGTTTAAATTAAAAAATGTTCTAATAATTAAAAATAGTTGAGTATTATTAGAAGCAGATTTACAATTTAAAAAAAAATAGTTTTCATAAAATATAGTTCTTTTATAATAGTTTTATTTTGTGAGGTTAAAAAACGTGAATTTCAAGTGATTATAATTAATTTATTTTTCAATTTTTGGAATTTGTTACCTAATTTTGGAAATTTATCAATTATTTCTCTATTTTTTTCAGTTATTAATTGTGAAGTTTTTTCTCATAAAAGTGAATTTTGTATTTTATTTTGAAATTGAATATTTTTTTTCAGAATGACGATCTGGTTGCCAAGCAAAATGAAAAGATCGTCAATCAAGGAAATAAAGTACGCGATTTGAAATTGGCGAAAGCCGATAAGACGACAATTGACGCCGAAGTAAAAATACTTTTGAGCTTAAAAGAAGAATATAAAACACTCACGGGAATTGTTTGGAAACCTGGTGCGCCCGTTAAAGCACAAGAATCTTCAGTATTAAAAATGCCGAGTTCAAATATCAATGATTTATTCGCTCAAATACAGCAACAAGAGAATAAAATCGACGAGGAAGCAAAGAGACTCTCATTATTGAAAGAACAATATAAAAAAGCAACCGGACAAGATTGGAAATCAGGAGCAATTAAAAACGAAACCAATTCCGCGCAATCAATTTCCAATGAAATAGCAAAACAAGGAGACAAAGTGAGAGAATTAAAAATCCAAAAGGCGGATAAGGGAAAAATTGATCAAGAAGTGAAAGAGCTTTTGAGACTGAAAACTGAGTACGAAACAGTGACGGGAGAAAAATGGAAACCAACTGCGATTCCTGCGGTGAAAATAGTTGAGAAAAATTCCTCTGATTCTATTTCCAATGAAATAGCAAAGCAGGGAGATAAAGTGCGAGAATTAAAATCCCAAAAGGCGGATAAGGGAAAAATTGATCAAGAAGTGAAAGAGCTTTTGAGACTGAAAACTGAATACGAAACGGTAACGGGAGAAAAATGGAAACCACCAACAGACACAAATTCAAAGGTGAAAATAGTTGAGAAAAAATCCCCTGATTCTATTTCCAATGAAATAGCAAAGCAGGGAGATAAAGTGCGAGAATTAAAATCCCAAAAGGCAGACAAGGGAAAAATTGATCAAGAAGTAAAAGAGCTTTTGAGACTAAAAACTGAGTACGAAACGGTAACGGGAGAAAAATGGAAACCGGGTGCGATTCCTGCTGTGAAAATAGTTGAGAAAAATTCCGCCGATTCTATTTCTAATGAAATAGCAAATCAGGGAGATAAAGTGCGAGAATTAAAAACCCAAAAAGCAGACAAGGGGAAAATTGATCAAGAAGTGAAAGAACTTTTGAGACTAAAAGCTGAGTATGAAACGGTAACGGGAGAAAAATGGAAACCACCAACAGACACAAATTCAAAGGTGAATGAAATTTCCAATAAAATCACACAACAAGGCGACAATGTAAGACAATTGAAAGCAAATAAAGCAGAAAAGAATCAAATTGATCAGGAAGTGAAGATTCTTATTGAATTGAAAAACGAATACAAAGCCGTGGCTGGTCACGAATGGAAACCATTGTCCGCTTCAATTGAGAAAAAAGATAAAAAGCAAGAGAATCCACAAAAATCAAAAGCCATGAAATCGAATGAAAAGCAACAAAAGAAATTGGAAAAAGATGATAAGGCAAAGGAGGATATAACAAAAACGGGAACACGATTGGGACTTGAGGCAAAGAAAAATGAAAATCTTCCCGATTGGTATTCACAGGTAATTACAAAAAGTGAAATGATTGAATATTACAATGTTTCTGGTTGTTATGTTCTTCGTCCATGGAGTTTTTCAATTTGGGAGGTAATTAAAAATTATATTGATGGTGAAATTAAAAAATTGGGCGTTGAAAATTGTTATTTTCCAATATTTGTAAGTCAAGCGGCATTAGAGAGAGAAAAAACGCATATCGCTGATTTTGCACCGGAAGTTGCTTGGGTGACAAAAAGTGGAAATTCAGAACTTGCTGAGCCAATTGCAATTCGTCCAACATCAGAAACTGTTATGTATCCTGCTTATGCAAAATGGCTCGCATCTCACAGGGATTTACCACTTAAACTTAATCAATGGAATAATGTTGTGGTTCGTATTTTATTTATTCATTTCAATATTAATTTAAATATTTTAATTATTTATTAGATGATTAATTATTTAATAATGTAATTTTTTTTTAGAGATGGGAATTTAAACATCCTCAACCATTTTTGCGTACAAGAGAATTCCTTTGGCAAGAGGGACACACTGCCTTTGCAACAAAAGCTGAAGCTGATGAGGAAGTAATGCAAATTTTGAATATTTACGCAAGTGTCTATGAGGATTTATTGGCAATTCCAGTAGTGAGAGGTCGTAAAACTGAAAAGGAAAAATTCGCTGGCGGTGATTATACAACGACAGTTGAGGCTTTTATTTCCGCTAGCGGAAGGGCTATTCAAGGTGCAACAAGTCATCATCTTGGACAAAACTTTTCTAAAATGTTTGATATTCAAGTCGAGGGTGCTGAGGAAGGTGGGGAAAAAACTTTTGTATACCAAAACTCATGGGGCTTAACTACTCGTACAATTGGAGTCATGGTTATGGTACGTAGAATTTAAAAAAAAAAAAATTAATTTTCGAGTTATTTACATTTTTTTTTAATTATTAAATTATCATTTGAAAGAATATAATTTTCGAATAATTTCAAACAATTAGTATTCTTTATAATAATTTATAAATTTATTTATTTTACTTTTTTAAACAATTAAAATTTAAAAAATATATTTTTGATTTGTTTTTATTTAAATAATTTAATTATCTATAAATTAATGTTGATTTAATTACACACTTTGAATAATATCTCAGGTTCACGCTGATGACAAGGGACTCGTTTTACCTCCACGTGTTGCTTGTATTCAAGCCGTTATTGTACCATGTGGAATAACAGCATCGACCTCGCAAGAACAACGAAAGAATCTTCTTGCTGAATGTGAAAAATTGGAGCAGGAATTAAAAAAGACTGGCAACTTGAGAATAAAAGGCGACTACAAAGACAATGTCAGTCCAGGATGGAAATTTAATCATTGGGAATTGAAAGGTGTTCCATTAAGAATTGAATTGGGTCCCAAGGATTTAGAAAAGAAACAAGTTACTCTTGTTAGAAGGGACACTGCCGAAAGATTTACTAAATCCAGAACTGATATTTCATTGGCTGTTAGTAATTTACTTGAGGAAATACATGTTGGTCTCTTTAACAAGTAAGCAGCATTTTTTAAATTTCAATTTCAATTTTTTTTTTAATTTTAATTTAATTTAAATCTTTTCTTTTTTCAAAAAAAAGTGTGTCCTTGATACAAAAATAACTTAATACTTTAATTGATTAGTCGAATTAAACAATAAATTGTTTATTTTTTTTTATTAGAGCAAAGGAAGAATTGACGACTCATGTAAAGCAGTCGCATGAATGGACCGATTTTTGCACTAATCTTGATAAGAAGAATTTAATTCTTGCACCTTTCTGTGGAGATATTTCCTGTGAAGATAATATAAAAACAGACAGTGTCAGGTAATGTTTTCAATTTTATTGACATTTTTTTTCATCATTTAGTACTTATTCAAAATAATTTAATAATAATAATAAAAATAGTTAATTTAGTTTAATTAATAATTAATTTATTTTACAATAAAAATCATATGAAATAATAAATAAGATTTAAAAATTTATAATTAATATTTGTTTATAGAGAGGACACAAGTGATGAACCTGGTGCACCTTCCATGGGAGCAAAGAGTCTTTGTATTCCCTTCGATCAACCTAAAAATGACATAAACAAAATGAAATGCATTCACAAAAGTTGTCAAAACAAACCTAAATATTATACTCTCTTTGGACGCAGTTATTAATGAAATTTTTATTTATATATAAATTTTTAAATTATTATTTTGTGCGATAGTAGAAGTTCGTTTGACACCTACTTTAATATTTTATTTGTAAAAAAAAAGTCAAATTAAAGACTTAATAATATTTAATATTGTCCCGTCATTTTATTACCAATTAAATCCATTAGTAGTTAATTATATTTTTGATTTATTATTTTATTATATTTATTTGATAAATAAAGTCTTTAAATGTGAAAATCCGTACAAAAATTCTTAATTTTAATTATTATTATTTTATTATTAATTCATAGCTAATAATAATAGTAGTAGTTAATTAATTTAATAATTAATTTTTTAAAATAAAATTTTCAATATTCGCGCGTTTTACGTCGACCAATCAGATAACGGGACTATTTTCCTGCTTGAAAATTACTGCGCCTGCGCGAAGTAAGCAACAGGGCCTCCATGTGTAGTTGCATGGAATAGTGTAAATAAGTGCAAATCTTTTAATTTCAAGTGTATTATTTCCAGTATTTAAGAAGAATTTCAACAAAGGTATAAAATATTTCTATTTTTAATCAATTAGTACTTAATAATTGACATTAATAATTGTAAAATGTTTTGAACTAAGTTTCTTAAGTTGAACCCGGCGATTATAAGGTTATTCGTCACATTGCATTGTTTTGCTATTTTTGTTCTTTTGTTTTATGCAAATATTTTGTTACTTTCCTCGTAATTGTTGATAAAAAATAGTAAGAAACAATAAAATACTGTTTCTTATGTTACAAAGCTTTGTTATAGTTTGGAAATATTATTTTTACAATTATTTTATTTTCGACTTATTATTTTATATTTATTTGATAAATAAGGCCTTTAAATACAAAAATCCGTAAATTATTAAAAATTCTCAATTTTTATTATTAATAATTTGATAATTAATTTTTTTTTATTAATATTATCTTAAATTCTAGAAGAAAAAATAAATACCCATTTTCAATATTCGCGCGTTTTACATCAACCAATCAGATAACGTGGCTGTTTTCTTGTCCGAAAGTTACTGCGCCTGCGCGAATTGGCAACAGGGCCTCCATGTGTAGTTGCATGGAATTGTGTAGTTTAACGTAAATGAGTGCAAATTTCTTAATTTCAAGTGTATTATTTCCAGTAATTAAGCAGAATTTCAACAAAGGTATAAAATATTTCCATTCTTAATCTATTGGTACTTAATAATTGACATGAATAATTGTAAAATACTTTGAATTAAGTTTCTAAAGTTCGACCCGGCGAATGTAGGGTTATTCGTCACATTGCATTGTTTTGCTATTTTTGTTTTATGAAAATATTTTGTTTCTTTCCTCGTAATTGTTGATAAAAAATAGTAAGAAACAATAAAATACTGTTTCTTATGTTACAAAGCATTGTTATAGTTTGGAAATATTATTTTTTGGTTTGATAAAAATAATTTTATTTATTGCATTTTTTCTAATGGAAAGTTTCACTGGAAATTTATCATTTTTAAAGATGGCGGCAGTTATAAATTGCAATTTGCAAATAATAATATTTTGATTTTAGAAAATTATTATTAGAGGTTATTATCAGTCACGTTATAGTATAGTAATTTAACAAACTTGAATATTTTATACTTTTATTTTTTTTAATCGAATTAATTTTTAATTACGTAATAAAAGAGTATAAAAAATTAAAATATAAAGTGTGTATTTTTTTATAAAATTTTTTTTGTTTAGTTTTTACACGGAAGATAAGATTTATTTCAACGATGTCTGAAATTCTTGATCAAATTCCGGATGTTGACATTGATGCCAATGGAGTTTTTAAATACATCTTAATAAATGTGACAGATAAAAAAAGCAAGTCTACAAAGCCAATTGTTCGAGGTTACGCTAGAGCTCCTTATCACGGTGAGTTTTTACCTTTTTCTATATATAATTATTTTATTATTTTATTTTTCTATATTTAAAAAAAACTTTAAGAAATTTGAAATTTATATCCTAAATCCGTGAATCAATGAGAAATTTCAAATTTTTTCCAATTTGAATTTAATAAAAATTTACCCCCATAATCTGTGAATCAATGAGGAATTTCAAATTTTTTCCAATTTGAATTTAATAAAAATTTACCCCCATTATAATTTTATTTAATATGCAATGAAAGTACAGTGAAAAATTTTTTTGGAAATTTTTTCCGAAAAATGAATAGCACGTAACCCCATTGACTGGAATTTTTCCAAAGAAATAATTGAATTTTTCTCCGACCTATTTGGGAAATTTTCCCTAATAATCAATCGTATTTTTTTCCATATATATTTTCCCTCATAATAATTCGGAATTTTTTCCGAATCAATAGGCAATTATTTTCTAATAATAAATTAAATATTTTATTTTTGAGTAAAATTGAAAGGAATATAAAATACATTTAAATTGATCTTTATTTATATTATAATTACATCGCTTATGTATCGTAGGCATTAACAAAAATTAATTGGTAATTACAATTGCTTAATATTTATATCATTCTTCCGCATTGAAACCACAAATTGAACATTCTTTCAGTTTTGAATGAAGTGTGATATTTTTCTTTTAATTGATCGCAAAGAAAAAAAAAATTACAAAACATTTTGTAAAAAAAAAAAGTAAAAGTTTACAAAAAACATGTTTTAAATTAATTGAACTTTATCTCGAAAATGATTAGAAATTCTTTTTTTACTTGTCAATTGTAAAATATTTTTTTTCCATTTAATTCTGTTTATCTTACACTATCTTCATTAACCAGTAAACTGACATTGATTTCCTTGAGAGCGTATTAATATTATATTCAAAATGTTACTTTTTTTTTTTATTAAATTAATAAACAAAATTAGTTTAAATTTTATTTTATTTATTAAATTCAAAATAAAATTATAATTTACGTAAAATGAAAATTATGAAAAATTTTTTAAAATTTGCAAAAAATTAAAAATAATTAGAAAAAAATGAAATCTTAAGAATAATGAAAAGAAAATTATTAATAATTGTTTATTATAACGAATAATTAAAATTAAATTAATACTAAGAAATAGAAATAAAATTTAAAAAAAAATATATTTTCAACAAATAAAATAAGAGAAATAAAATTGGATTAAAATAAAGAATTAATAAAAATTCAAAAGGCTAACGAAATTTCAAATTTTTAATTAATCTAATTGTAAAAATAATTAAAAAGCAACAAAAACTAGAATCTATTTATTGTTAATTTTTTAAATAATTGAACAGACGATTATAAAAGTTAGATTTATAATTTTATTTTTTAACTTTTTAAAAATTTAAAAATTTTTTAAATTATTATTTTAATTATTAATTTTCCGTTCGAAATCAGGTAATCTATTCAATTTATGGTAGTAAAATTTGAGTATATAAATTATACGCTCCAATTTCGTGGCTCAAAAGAAAGTTTTGGCCTTTTTTTTTTTTGTATATTTTTTTTTAATTTGACTATTTACAAAGTGCACGCTATAAACGGCGAGTTATGAGACAGGAAGTACACACATGGGTACATAAGTTGCAAACTACTTTTTTTTTTTTTTTCATCGTTCATCAAGGAAAAATATAATTCTGATTTCACAAACTTTGAGAATGGCAGTCCGATTCATATACATTTTAGTTTGAAAAAGTTTAGTTTTGCAAACCTCATTTTGATATTACTATTTACAAGTTTAGTTACTGTTTTCGAAAAAGTATATATTCAGACTATTTTCAATTTCGAGAAACTGTCACTGTTTTTTTTTTTTTTTTTTTTTTTTTTCTTCTTTCAAATATAATTTAGAAATTTCGCAAAAACTCATTTAAAAGCTCTTCAATATTATATTTGAAGTCATAGTTTTCAATATTAAAAAAAAAAGATTTTTGAATGAAATTTATTTTACTGAGAGTTTTTAAAAGCTAAAAAAAGTTTCGAAAATTTAAATATTATTTTGACAATTGAACAAAATAAAAAAATTTTGTTTGAATAATTTTTTATTAATTTTTTTTTTTAATTTTTATAGCCAAGAGTATTTAAGTATTAATTGACAATTCTCTAAAATGTTGTTGTAAATACCTTCGATATTTACAAAATTTATCTTATTAATAAGTAAAAATGATTGAATTTAAAAAAAAGACGACAAAAATTGTAAATATTTTTCGTCTCATTAGAGTTAGATTTTAGAAAAATAATTCCCTTTAAACATTGTAGATTTTTTTTTTCTCTTTGATATTCCTTAAAAAAGGTATTTTTATGTGTTAGACGGAAAAAAAAATGTTTTTGGTTGAGATAATCCGATTACTTGACTTGAATTAAATATATATTTATTTGAATCAAATAAATTTTTATTTAAATCAAATAAACTGTATTCGAATTTAAATTTTTCTGTATTGAATGAAATTATACTATTTAATTGACACAAATAATAATTAATTGTTAAAAATAAATATTTAATAAAATTAAGCCAAGTAATCGATTATTTGAATCAAATAAAATTTTTTTTTCATTATTGTTTTTCGATTTGAATGAGTTGATGTTTCACTTTCTTTAATTCTTTCTCAATATCTCCACCATTCTGTTTTGATAGAATATTGTAGAAGTCGAATTCAAATAGAGTCACTTTTATTCCAGTCGAGAGATTGACGTTATTGGATTACAGATGGCATATTAGCTCAAGATTTACTCAATTTTCAGAAATTTCCTGTCTCCTCTCAAAGTTTTTTTCGAAATAATTATTTCACTTTTGGTTGTAAAATGTTCATCCGGGATTTTTGGAAATTTTTTTTTTTTCAACCAGGGCTGTCGTGAATTATTAAAATAATTAAATTATTTTATTTACTAAAGGTATAAAATTTTTTTGCATTTAAAATTAAATAGATTTTTTTAAAAAACAAGTATAAAATTTTTTTTTTGATATGATTTTAAAAAATTTTTTAAATTTATTAAATAAAATCTATTTATTGATATGTAATTTTTTTATGCCAAATATTATTTTTTTGTGCCTTTATTTTCTCTAAGATGCGAATAACTAATTTTATTATTTTTAAGCTAAAAAGTAAATATACTTTTTTTTAAAACAATTTAAATAAAAAATTTTATCTACAAAAAGCTTTGATTATTTTTATTTTTTATCGTGATTTTGCAGCCCTGGTATAAAAACTACGACATTCACTCAATTTTGATAAGAAATAAGAATTTTAATACAGGCGGAGGGGATCTATGTTCTTGTCTATCAATCACTTTCTTAAAAAATCACAGAATCAGCAGTCATCAATTCGATGTGAAAGCGGTCGCGAAAAAACCTTCGATGCTCTCCTCGATTCAATTTAAAAACACAATTTTTTTTTCGTTTTTCGTCTCTTTGTTTTATTTCTGTATTAACATTTTTTTTTATTATTTATTTTATTGAAAAAAACTATGCATTCTTCTCAAAAATTTATTCTACATGGTGGCCACTTTTTAGGAAAAAAAAAACAGAAGAAAGCAGGTTTTTTTTTGGAATTTTAACCCCACTTTTCTCAAAATCCTGACGTGCTAGGCAATTTTGGAACACGGGATCGTGTTCAGCGGACAAAAGTTCATTGGAAACGACTGCGATATCGAAAATAACAAAAAAAAATTTTTTGGGTTTTTTTTTTTTTGAAAAAAGTGGGGGTAAAGACTTCAAAAAAACGTGTTTTTTAAGATTTTTTATTATTTGAAATTGAAAATAAAAATATTTTATTATTTTTCTCTCTTTAACCTGTTAGAGAGTTCTATGAGGTCTTCTATTAAAGCTTGAATCGTACAGTTTGAGATCCACAAGCGCAAGACCAAAAAAATTTTGAAAAAAGTGGGGATAGAGACTCAAAAAATTTTTTTTGTTTATTTTCGACATCGGATTCGTTTTCAAAGTACTTTTTTCCGCTGAACACGATTACGGGTCCCAAATTTGCTTACCACGTAAGTATTTTGAGTACAGTGGGGGGTAAGGACCCCCAAAAACGTGTTTTTCGGAGTTCAGCCCCCTTTTCTCAAAATTCTTACACCTTAGGCAATTTTGAAAACTGATTTAGTGTGCAGCGGACAAAAATACATTAAAAAAGCACTGCGTTATCAAAAATAAAAAAAATTGTGAGTAATGGTTACCAAGTTAAAGATACTTTGATTATTTTGACAAACAAAAATGAGGGAATTTTTTAAAACTGTTTTTAGTGGCCATTCTGTTCAATTTTGCACTTACTATATCCTTTTGATTCTTTCACATTGTTTGAACTCGATTTCTTTTTGTCTATTTACAAAATGAATATTGACATTTCTCAATATTATTCTTCAAGAGTAATTTAAGCGTGATGATTTTGTTGTGTTTTTGTGTTAGTGGATTTCCTTTTACAAAATGGAAAATTCATCGTGTCACTACGAGGCTCTCCTGAAACAGCACCAGGCTCTTTGTATGTTGAATCCTTCTTTACAGTTTTTGTTGTTGGAGTTCTTTAAGTTCTTGGTGTTTTCCTCGCTATTATCCTTGATCGCAATGCGGGTCTCGTCTGTGAGGACCCCTTCCTCTTCTCAGGTACTTTTTGACTCGTCGTAGTGCTTTATCAAATCCATTTCAGCCATTCTCTCTTCTTTCGTTTTTGCTATGGTTGCTGCCTCTTTTTTTTCACAAGAGAACAATTCTTTATTGTGACAAATTGGCTCCTCATCACTTGGCTTTGAATGCTCTTCAATTTTTCCTAAAGTTCTTGAGGTATCGCGTATTGGCGATGGACTATTCATTGTCTCTAAATTTGGTTCACTGTGTATAAGTGTGAATGGAACTTTAACTGATATTCCACCACCGATTAATTCGTCGATCGGTGATATCATCAGTTTTACCTATAATTGAAAAAAAGCTAATTAACTCAAATGCCGACTTGATAATTACCAAGAAATAATTGGTATTGAGTTATTTTATAGCAAAATGGATATGAATTATTTATAATTAAAATACTGTTTGCTCGTTGATTTTATTGAAAATATAGGTCGGTGAAGTTCACAACGATTACGATCATAGAAAATTTAAAACCAAAATACTGCATAAATACAACAAAAAATTACAAAAACTTCAAAACAACATTAAACTTAAAAAAAAAATTAAATTCAACACCAAATTCATTAGAAAAACAACCCTATAACCAGTATAATCCCCAATACTGACATTTTTCAAAAAAAAAAGAAAGTTCATCACACACAATTTTATTGCAAAAACTCGCACAAAATACAACTAAAAGTACAGAAGACAATTGACACACCGCTACAAGTAGAGAAAAACCCCTATTAACACCCATAAGCCAACCATAACCATAAAAATTTTCTACAAAATTCAATTTTTCATAGGCAGACTATTTTATTGCAATTTCTTGAACAAAATACACCTAAAAGTGTAGAAACAAATTGACGGCCCGATCCGAGTAGAGGAACACCAATTTTATGACCATTAAAGCGATTTTCGTCAAAAAAAAATTTTCAAAAAAATTCAATTTTTCTTAGGCACATTATTTTATCGCAATTTCTTGCACAAAATACACCTAAAAGTGTAGAAAAAAATTGACAGTTCGATCCGAGTAGAGGAACACCAATTTTATGACCATTAAAGCGATTTTCGTCAAAAAAAAATTTTCAAAAAAATTCAATTTTTCTTAGGCAGACTATTTTATTGCAATTTCTTGCACAAAATACACCTAAAAGTGTAGAAAAAAATTGACGGCCCGATCCGAGTAGAGGAACACCAATTTTATGACCATTAAAGCGATTTTCGTCAAAAAAAAATTTTCAAAAAAATTCAATTTTTCTGAGGCAGACTATTTTATTGCAATTTCTTGCACAAAATACACCTAAAAGTGTAGAAAAAAATTGACGGCCCGATCCGAGTAGAGGAACACCAATTTTATGACCATTAAAGCGATTTTCGTCAAAAAAAAATTTTCAAAAAAATTCAATTTTTCTTAGGCAGACTATTTTATTGCAATTTCTTGCACAAAATACACCTAAAAGTGTAGAAAAAAATTGACAGTTCGATCCGAGTAGAGGAACACCAATTTTATGACCATTAAAGCGATTTTCGTCAAAAAAAAATTTTCAAAAAAATTCAATTTTTCTTAGGCACATTATTTTATTGCAATTTCTTGCACAAAATACACCTAAAAGTGTAGAAAAAAATTGACGGCCCGATCCGAGTAGAGGAACACCAATTTTATGACCATTAAAGCGATTTTCGTCAAAAAAAAATTTTCAAAAAAATTCAATTTTTCTTAGGCACACTATTTTATTGCAATTTCTTGCACAAAATACACCTAAAAGTGTAGAAAAAAATTGACAGTTCGATCCGAGTAGAGGAACACCAATTTTATGACCATTAAAGCGATTTTCGTCAAAAAAAAATTTTCAAAAAAATTCAATTTTTCTTAGGCACATTATTTTATTGCAATTTCTTGCACAAAATACATCTAAAAGTGTAGAAAAAAATTGACAGACCGATCCGAGTAGAGGAACACCAATTTTATGACCATTAATGCGATTTTCGTCAAAAAAAAAATTTCAAAAAAATTCAATTTTTCTTAGGCACACTATTTTATTGCAATTTCTTGCACAAAATACACCTAAAAGTGTAGAAAAAAATTGACAGCCCGATCCGAGTAGAGGAACACCAATTTTATGACCATTAAATCGATTTTCGTCAAAAAAAAATTTTCAAAAAAATTCAATTATTCTTAGGCACATTATTTTATTGCAATTTCTTGCACAAAATACACCTAAAAGTGTAGAAAAAAATTGGCAGCCCGATCCGAGTAGAGGAACACCAATTTTATGACCATTAAAGCGATTTTCGTCAAAAAAAAATTTTCAAAAAAATTCAATTTTTCTTAGGCACATTATTTTATTGCAATTTCTTGCACAAAATACACCTAAAAGTGTAGAAAAAAATTGACAGTTCGATCCGAGTAGAGGAACACCAATTTTATGACCATTAAAGCGATTTTCGTCAAAAAAAAATTTTCAAAAAAATTCAATTTTTCTTAGGCAGACTATTTTATTGCAATTTCTTGCACAAAATACACCTAAAAGTGTAGAAAAAAATTGACGGCCCGATCCGAGTAGAGGAACACCAATTTTATGACCATTAAAGCGATTTTCGTCAAAAAAAAATTTTCAAAAAAATTCAATTTTTCTTAGGCAGACTATTTTATTGCAATTTCTTGCACAAAATACACCTAAAAGTGTAGAAAAAAATTGACGGCCCGATCCGAGTAGAGGAACACCAATTTTATGACCATTAAAGCGATTTTCGTCAAAAAAAAATTTTCAAAAAAATTCAATTATTCTTAGGCACATTATTTTATTGCAATTTCTTGCACAAAATACACCTAAAAGTGTAGAAAAAAATTGGCAGCCCGATCCGAGTAGAGGAACACCAATTTTATGACCATTAAAGCGATTTTCGTCAAAAAAAAATTTTCAAAAAAATTCAATTTTTCTTAGGCACATTATTTTATTGCAATTTCTTGCACAAAATACACCTAAAAGTGTAGAAAAAAATTGACAGTTCGATCCGAGTAGAGGAACACCAATTTTATGACCATTAAAGCGATTTTCGTCAAAAAAAAATTTTCAAAAAAATTCAATTTTTCTTAGGCAGACTATTTTATTGCAATTTCTTGCACAAAATACACCTAAAAGTGTAGAAAAAAATTGACGGCCCGATCCGAGTAGAGGAACACCAATTTTATGACCATTAAAGCGATTTTCGTCAAAAAAAAATTTTCAAAAAAATTCAATTTTTCTTAGGCAGACTATTTTATTGCAATTTCTTGCACAAAATACACCTAAAAGTGTAGAAAAAAATTGACGGCCCGATCCGAGTAGAGGAACACCAATTTTATGACCATTAAAGCGATTTTCGTCAAAAAAAAATTTTCAAAAAAATTCAATTTTTCTTAGGCACACTATTTTATTGCAATTTCTTGCACAAAATACACCTAAAAGTGTAGAGAAAAATTGACAGTTCGATCCGAGTAGAGGAACACCAATTTTATGACCATTAATGCGATTTTCGTCAAAAAAAAAATTTCAAAAAAATTCAATTTTTCTTAGGCACACTATTTTATTGCAATTTCTTGCACAAAATACACCTAAAAGTGTAGAAAAAAATTGACAGCCCGATCCGAGTAGAGGAACACAAATTTTATGACCATTAAAGCGATTTTCGTCAAAAAAAAATTTTCAAAAAAATTCAATTATTCTTAGGCACATTATTTTATTGCAATTTCTTGCACAAAATACACCTAAAAGTGTAGAAACAAATTGGCAGCCCGATCCGAGTAGAGGAACATCAATTTTATGACCATTAAAACGATTTTCGTCAAAAAAAAATTTTCAAAAAAATTCAATTTTTCTTAGGCACATTATTTTATTGCAATTTCTTGCACAAAATACACCTAAAAGTGTAGAAAAAAATTGACAGTTCGATCCGAGTAGAGGAACACCAATTTTATGACCATTAAAGCGATTTTCGTCAAAAAAAAATTTTCAAAAAAATTCAATTTTTCTTAGGCACATTATTTTATTGCAATTTCTTGCACAAAATACACCTAAAAGTGTAGAAAAAAATTGACGGCCCGATCCGAGTAGAGGAACACCAATTTTATGACCATTAATGCGATTTTCGTCAAAAAAAAAATTTCAAAAAAATTCAATTTTTCTTAGGCACACTATTTTATTGCAATTTCTTGCACAAAATACACCTAAAAGTGTAGAAAAAAATTGACAGCCCGATCCGAGTAGAGGAACACCAATTTTATGACCATTAAAGCGATTTTCGTCAAAAAAAAATTTTCAAAAAAATTCAATTATTCTTAGGCACATTATTTTATTGCAATTTCTTGCACAAAATACACCTAAAAGTGTAGAAAAAAATTGGCAGCCCGATCCGAGTAGAGGAACACCAATTTTATGACCATTAAAGCGATTTTCGTCAAAAAAAAATTTTCAAAAAAATTCAATTTTTCTTAGGCACATTATTTTATTGCAATTTCTTGCACAAAATACACCTAAAAGTGTAGAAAAAAATTGACAGTTCGATCCGAGTAGAGGAACACCAATTTTATGACCATTAAAGCGATTTTCGTCAAAAAAAAATTTTCAAAAAAATTCAATTTTTCTTAGGCAGACTATTTTATTGCAATTTCTTGCACAAAATACACCTAAAAGTGTAGAAAAAAATTGACGGCCCGATCCGAGTAGAGGAACACCAATTTTATGACCATTAAAGCGATTTTCGTCAAAAAAAAATTTTCAAAAAAATTCAATTATTCTTAGGGACATTATTTTATTGCAATTTCTTGCACAAAATACACCTAAAAGTGTAGAAAAAAATTGGCAGCCCGATCCGAGTAGAGGAACACCAATTTTATGACCATTAAAGCGATTTTCGTCAAAAAAAAATTTTCAAAAAAATTCAATTTTTCTTAGGCACATTATTTTATTGCAATTTCTTGCACAAAATACACCTAAAAGTGTAGAAAAAAATTGACAGTTCGATCCGAGTAGAGGAACACCAATTTTATGACCATTAAAGCGATTTTCGTCAAAAAAAAATTTTCAAAAAAATTCAATTTTTCTTAGGCAGACTATTTTATTGCAATTTCTTGCACAAAATACACCTAAAAGTGTAGAAAAAAATTGACGGCCCGATCCGAGTAGAGGAACACCAATTTTATGACCATTAAAGCGATTTTCGTCAAAAAAAAATTTTCAAAAAAATTCAATTTTTCTTAGGCACACTATTTTATTGCAATTTCTTGCACAAAATACACCTAAAAGTGTAGAGAAAAATTGACAGTTCGATCCGAGTAGAGGAACACCAATTTTATGACCATTAATGCGATTTTCGTCAAAAAAAAAATTTCAAAAAAATTCAATTTTTCTTAGGCACACTATTTTATTGCAATTTCTTGCACAAAATACACCTAAAAGTGTAGAAAAAAATTGACAGCCCGATCCGAGTAGAGGAACACAAATTTTATGACCATTAAAGCGATTTTCGTCAAAAAAAAATTTTCAAAAAAATTCAATTATTCTTAGGCACATTATTTTATTGCAATTTCTTGCACAAAATACACCTAAAAGTGTAGAAACAAATTGGCAGCCCGATCCGAGTAGAGGAACATCAATTTTATGACCATTAAAACGATTTTCGTCAAAAAAAAATTTTCAAAAAAATTCAATTTTTCTTAGGCACATTATTTTATTGCAATTTCTTGCACAAAATACACCTAAAAGTGTAGAAAAAAATTGACAGTTCGATCCGAGTAGAGGAACACCAATTTTATGACCATTAAAGCGATTTTCGTCAAAAAAAAATTTTCAAAAAAATTCAATTTTTCTTAGGCACATTATTTTATTGCAATTTCTTGCACAAAATACACCTAAAAGTGTAGAAAAAAATTGACGGCCCGATCCGAGTAGAGGAACACCAATTTTATGACCATTAATGCGATTTTCGTCAAAAAAAAAATTTCAAAAAAATTCAATTTTTCTTAGGCACACTATTTTATTGCAATTTCTTGCACAAAATACACCTAAAAGTGTAGAAAAAAATTGACAGCCCGATCCGAGTAGAGGAACACCAATTTTATGACCATTAAAGCGATTTTCGTCAAAAAAAAATTTTCAAAAAAATTCAATTATTCTTAGGCACATTATTTTATTGCAATTTCTTGCACAAAATACACCTAAAAGTGTAGAAAAAAATTGGCAGCCCGATCCGAGTAGAGGAACACCAATTTTATGACCATTAAAGCGATTTTCGTCAAAAAAAAATTTTCAAAAAAATTCAATTTTTCTTAGGCACATTATTTTATTGCAATTTCTTGCACAAAATACACCTAAAAGTGTAGAAAAAAATTGACAGTTCGATCCGAGTAGAGGAACACCAATTTTATGACCATTAAAGCGATTTTCGTCAAAAAAAAATTTTCAAAAAAATTCAATTTTTCTTAGGCAGACTATTTTATTGCAATTTCTTGCACAAAATACACCTAAAAGTGTAGAAAAAAATTGACGGCCCGATCCGAGTAGAGGAACACCAATTTTATGACCATTAAAGCGATTTTCGTCAAAAAAAAATTTTCAAAAAAATTCAATTATTCTTAGGGACATTATTTTATTGCAATTTCTTGCACAAAATACACCTAAAAGTGTAGAAAAAAATTGGCAGCCCGATCCGAGTAGAGGAACACCAATTTTATGACCATTAAAGCGATTTTCGTCAAAAAAAAATTTTCAAAAAAATTCAATTTTTCTTAGGCACATTATTTTATTGCAATTTCTTGCACAAAATACACCTAAAAGTGTAGAAAAAAATTGACAGTTCGATCCGAGTAGAGGAACACCAATTTTATGACCATTAAAGCGATTTTCGTCAAAAAAAAATTTTCAAAAAAATTCAATTTTTCTTAGGCAGACTATTTTATTGCAATTTCTTGCACAAAATACACCTAAAAGTGTAGAAAAAAATTGACGGCCCGATCCGAGTAGAGGAACACCAATTTTATGACCATTAAAGCGATTTTCGTCAAAAAAAAATTTTCAAAAAAATTCAATTTTTCTTAGGCACACTATTTTATTGCAATTTCTTGCACAAAATACACCTAAAAGTGTAGAGAAAAATTGACAGTTCGATCCGAGTAGAGGAACACCAATTTTATGACCATTAATGCGATTTTCGTCAAAAAAAAAATTTCAAAAAAATTCAATTTTTCTTAGGCACACTATTTTATTGCAATTTCTTGCACAAAATACACCTAAAAGTGTAGAAAAAAATTGACAGCCCGATCCGAGTAGAGGAACACAAATTTTATGACCATTAAAGCGATTTTCGTCAAAAAAAAATTTTCAAAAAAATTCAATTATTCTTAGGCACATTATTTTATTGCAATTTCTTGCACAAAATACACCTAAAAGTGTAGAAACAAATTGGCAGCCCGATCCGAGTAGAGGAACATCAATTTTATGACCATTAAAGCGATTTTCGTCAAAAAAAAATTTTCAAAAAAATTCAATTTTTCTTAGGCACATTATTTTATTGCAATTTCTTGCACAAAATACACCTAAAAGTGTAGAAAAAAATTGACAGTTCGATCCGAGTAGAGGAACACCAATTTTATGACCATTAAAGCGATTTTCGTCAAAAAAAAATTTTCAAAAAAATTCAATTTTTCTTAGGCAGACTATTTTATTGCAATTTCTTGCACAAAATACACCTAAAAGTGTAGAAAAAAATTGACGGCCCGATCCGAGTAGAGGAACACCAATTTTATGACCATTAAAGCGATTTTCGTCAAAAAAAAATGTTCAAAAAAATTCAATTTTTCTTAGGCAGACTATTTTATTGCAATTTCTTGCACAAAATACACTTAAAAGTGTAGAAAAAAATTGACACGCTGATACGAGTAGAGGAAGACCCCCATTACCATCCATAAGTCAATCATAACCATAAAAATGTTCCCAAAAAAATTTAATTTTTCTTATACAAACGAGTTTATTGCAAATTTTTGCAAAAAAGACACCTAAAAGTGTAGAAAAAAATTGACACCCTGATACGAGTAGAAGAATCGCTTTATTACCACTCTTAAGTCAACCTCTAAATTCCAAATTAATAGAAGATTTAAGGATGATTAGAAGAAAAGAATGTAGATGTTTAATGCGTTGATATGGGATGGAGAAATAACATTTGGCAGGGTCGGAATTGGAACATAAGGATATAGTGGAGGTGAGTAGGAAGATGGGTAAAGATAGAGTTGAGGTATAATAAATTGATAAAGGTACTGTGGAGGGATGGCGTACCGAAGTATACGGATGAGGAAATTTGTTAGGTGAAGTTGAAACTTTAGAATCAGCAAAGGAATAAATGAATTGAAATATTGGATGAATGAGCAGTGAAGGAATTGAAGGGTATGTTTGTGTGTGTGTGCTTGAGATAAAGGATTAGGTGCATTTGTTACAAAGATTATTGGAGGGAAAGGATGAGGAAAAAAGTACGGATGAAAGAGTGAAGTAGATAATGAATGAAACTCTGCAGGGTGAAAAATGGGTGAATGATTTGGCAAGAATGAGAAAGGAAAAGAATAAAGGGTTGTAGTAAAAAAAATGTCAAGCTGCTTTCGACAAAAAAGGACAAAACGGAAGTTCCTGCTGAGATATGCAAGAAAATGTTGTGAAATTAAATTCTGAATATCTGAAGTGTAATATTTTCATTAATTAAATTAATTACCTTGACGTAGTAGGAAACATAAATAGCAAAAACGTTTCTGTCGTCGGGTCCTTTTCCAGAGCAAACAATCGTCGCTGCTAAATTTCCACTGGCTTTGTTTGTGTAACTGTCTTTGCTGGTGTAACTGTCTTCTAATGCAATCCAATTTTTTGTGTTGCTTCTCTCTGGGTTTAAAGTATAACTTCTCGTGAGCGTAAATCCTGGATCCACCGGGCAACCATCTCGAGAGGATACTAAAGCCACTTTATTCTTGAATTTCCCATTACTAAACATGCATACGTCCACGTGTTGAACTACAAATGCCTGTAAAAAATTTCTTCTATTATCAGTTGGAAAATATTTTTCTTTTTTAAATTTTTTAAATGAATATTTGTTTCAATGATTTTAAAATTTCTTTTAGGGTAAAAAAGAAAGTATGTAGTCTTGACACTTAATGTTACGATCTTATATAATATTTTCTCCCTTGAAATAACACGTACGAACTATAAATTTTTAAAGCACATCCATTAAAGGATTACTCAGAATTAAAAATCTATATAATTTTTCTAAAAATACTTAAATATTTAATAAAATAATTTTAAAGTTTCTAATGAAATTTGTGTTATTTTAGAAAAACGAGAAAATAAAATGTAAATAGTGTAGTGTAAATATGTCTGTATCTGGACAAGAAACAAATATTTTGTATTGTCAAAGAAATAAAAATTCGGTCAAACAAAAATTTGGACACTTGAGAGTTCGATCAAAACAGAAAAGGGATTTTATCTTAATATGAGACTACTTTTTTCTTGTTGAATTTTTTTTATATTACCGAGGGATTCCTTTCCTTATACAGAAAGTTTTACGAAGTTTTTGATAGATCTCTATTTATTGAAATTGCTTATTTCCTCAGAAAAAAATTTTTATTGGAAAAAAGAAAAAAAAAATGCTCTGAGACACGAATATTTACACTTGATTCCCAAGGAAACGTGTTTGCTCCAATATTCTTGTCTGAATGCAATTTCAAGTTTTCTTTAATCCTTGAATAATATTTAGACTTTTAAAATAACTTTAATAATTTTTTTTTCATTTCAACGATTCTTTTTTCTACCGAAAGAATAGATAGTAATATTAAATTGATTTTGTCAAAATTTTGACTTTTTGTCAAAAATATTTATGACACAAAATTTATTTCAATTTAAATAACGTGAGTTTCAAAATATATTTTCTATTCAAAATTGAAAGGTCAATTTCGAGTTTGCTTTTTAAAAAATGTAAATCTGAATAGCACAAACAAAATTGAAAATATTTTCTGCTTTTCTGCATGTATATGTCTATTTAGTTTTCTTTCTCTTTTGGGGGGTGACATTTCTGTTTGAACTTTTCCTCAATATTGTCGTGTGACATGTTGCGTTGCCTACGCGCTCTGCCTCTTTTTTTTCCGACTGTATATTATTGATCCATCGTCAAATGAATATTTGACGAAACCGATCAGAAATTATTTCTTGTTCTCTTTTGTTTTTAACTTCTAGAAATTTATACATTTATAAACCGTTAAATTTAGAAACCGATAAAGCCTTTTTAAAAGCAGTGAGCGGAATATATTTTCGATTCAGAGAATTTCTTTTTAAACATTCGGATGTACGATAAAGAACAAAATATAAAGCGAAATGTATTTGAAAGGAAATATACGTTTCAGTAATTAATAATTGAAGTAAAAATGTTTTTTCTAATATGGAGATATTTGGTGTAATTAGTACAGGGATCTTTATTAAGAAATTAATGATAGTAAAGTTTTCTATTTGACGAGAATTAATTAAACAAACAAAAAAAATATATAAAAGAGTGCTAATATGATTGAAAAGTATAAAAGGGAATTGATTTGCAGGTTTATATATTTGTTTTGTGAATAACAATCCGATTTCGGCTAGAAAAGTTTTATGTCATGAAATAGTCTTCGTAAAATTGAGATGAATTTTACGATTTTCTACTGTATCTCGTGGGTCAAAGTCGTATTTTAGAAATAAGGAAATTACCAAGATAACAAAACGATGAATTTTGTAAGAACGAATTTCTAAGACAGAAGGAAAATTGTTGTTCAGAGTGATCTTTAAATTTTTTAGCAAATCCACTCTTTACAAACTCGTCACAATATCTACTATTTTTATACGTTCAACTACTTTATTTCTTTTTATATTTAATGATTACCAGTTTTTATATTTTTCTGTTATTCATAATATATTTAGCTAATTTTTCTCTCTTCCACTTTTTAGTCTGGAAATTATTCAACTGTTTTCACTTTTTTTTTTTGCTTTCATTTTCTCACTCTTCCATGCCTCCTTATTTTTTTAAAACAAAATTAATTTTGATTTTAAAAATTTTATTTGGGTAAAAAAGTGAAATATTTAAATAGTAGAATCGATATTTATTTACATCAAACAAATCGAAACAGGTGACATTTAATATTCAGAAAATGTATTAAGAAATGTAGTATTAAAGGGAATGTCGAATAGATGATTGAAATTACCTCGATCCTTTTGACGGTTTTTTTACTATTGTTGGTAATGTTGACACGAACTGTGATTGGATCTCCACGACTGTAAATTGCACGATCCAAACTTGCTTCTAAACGTAGGGGGCCGTCGCTCATGAGAAATTGCTTTTCCATGACTGCATGTGGTATTTTCGGTTCTGAAAATTAAATTTTAAAAATTGAAATATTTTTTTTAAAAGAATAAAGAGATAAAGTTATTAGAAACAATTCTTTGAATCAAGAACAAATTTTTTTTTTCTGGATGTTCGTAAAATCTTGAACTACAGTCAAATAAAATAGCTAAAACTCATTGCAAGGTTACACTCAAAAAAGTGGACTATAAACTTTCAGCAAACTTTATATTTTTGGAGCCTCGAAGATTCATAAACTTTCAAGATTTCTCCAAGAGAGTTTAACTTATTTGAAATTCAGGGACTCCCAGAGAGAATATTAAGCGTTAAATCTTGTCACCAGTATTAACTGCGAACTTGAAGAATTTTATATGTATACGTATATATATAAAACAGTATTTTACAAAATCTTCAATAAATAATTGCCAAATAGTCTCTTAGTGAATTATAGTTAGTATAAAATTATTTGGTAACACAATGTATTTTAATCCTCTTTATATTAATTACATTTGACTAATTTGGGAACCGAATATATTGCATTCGTTAAATGATTTATTACTTGTTTCCGCTAAATTTGATAATGGATAATTATTAATTTATCTCGAGGGAGAAATGATTAATAATTGAGAACTAATTATGCCGAAAAAATTTATTTTTTAACAAATTTTTACGAAAAATTTTTAGGTGACGAATTTTTTATTTTAAATAATTGGTTTACGCTTTTCTATGTCTATTTATAAATTGTTACAATATGGTTGTTCTTTTTTGCTTCGGTAACGCTTTTTCTTCTCGTTCTCTTTATAGACAAGCAGATAAGATTTTTCTTTTCCCATTTCATTTGCATATCTACTATTTTCATAAGAAGGATTACTCTATTAATATTTATGTACTTCTAGAATTGTTATTTGGTCATAAAAATGTATATCGGTACTGTTGTGTGTACAGGTGAAGATTTAGAGGATTAAAAAAAATTTTAATGGGGTTTAGAGAAAGACACATCATTAGAGAAAATTTAAATTACAGTGCCGCTCAGCAGATTTTGCCTAACCCTACAGAATTTTAGGCGTTGTAAAAAGTTTTATATTTTTGTTTCTAATACTCATAAAACAATAAACACTTTTTTAAATATCTTTGTATCACAATTTTTATAAGCTTTAAAAAAGGTCTTTGTTTATTGTTTTATCTATACAAAAATATAAAAATTTTTACAACGCCTAAAATTTTGCAGGGTGGGCAAAATCTGCTGAGCAGCACTTTATGATTTCCTTTTTGGTTTATCTTCAAATTTACTTCTGAAATCTAAATTATTATTTCAAATTAATCAATTACACACGGAGTTATGACACCGTGCAAAAGGTATAAATTATTTTTTTTTGTTATTAAGCTTTTCTGATTTTTCTTTTAAATATCAGTGATTTTTTTTTTACCTTCTGCCTCTTCGATATCAGAATTCGTGTTGTCGTTGTAAGAGACTTTTATCTTTTGAGGATCGCATTCTTCAATTCTGTTAAGCAGTGACTCTCCTGTCGTTGAAGGCACTCTATAAAGGGGATTTCTTGATTGTGAATTCGGTCCCTGTATCACTCTGATTCCCATTTGAACCATTGTCGTATTTTTTGCTAGCAATTTATCGTCAGGTGTCTCGGCTGAAAATAAAAATAACGTTTTTTTTTCTTTTATTATTAAAAAAAATACATATATAAATTTGATTTGAAAGTATGGATTAAATTTTTCTCTAATTGGACGAAATATTAAAATGTTTTTTTTTTAACAAAGTCAATTACCCTTCAAATGAAATTATTTTATATGAAAATTGTTATTCCAAAAGCAAAATGACCCTTTGTTATACGTTAACATTTATGTATTTAAAGGTTACGTTTATAAAATTTAGTTTTGTATTTTATTTATATATTATATTATGGTCACTGTTTTATTACCTTTCTTTCATTTTTTTTTTTATAAATAACGAAATATGAGTTGAATCCAATATTTTTTTGTTCAGTTAGTAACAAAAGTAACAAATAAATATTAATTAATATTTTCAATTGAAAGTTTTGAAGCATGCTTGGAAAATTTAATTAATGTCTGGTTCACTGAAATTTTCAAAGCTAAATTTATTTGTTTAACAATAACATATGGAAAAATGAATAAAACTTTTTTTTCCAAAAATTTTCATGGGCTTAATAAATTTTTCATATGTTGTCGTAGATTCTTAGGCAATGATCCATAAATTTTAAAAAGAAAAAAAAAATGTTACATATGTGACATGTGAGTGTGATAAATTGAAAAATGATTTTTTGCTGAGTTTTCTAAAACGAAGGAGACTATACCTATAAATAAAGGGTTTTTTTTTCATTCTCTCGAGACAGAATGTTCAATAACATGTTCTGTATTTATGGATTTTTATTTTATTTAGTTTTTACCATTTTTTTTTAAATTTGAATAATATTTGTCGTAAAAAATTTGATTCATAAAGAAGATTTAATTTATTGTTCTTATAAATAGTATTTAAAATATTGAATTATTATTTTTTGACGAATGTCAATTTGAAAGCAGCGGAAAGTTGACGAAGCAGTTGAATGCAATGTATTCAATATATCTCTCGGTCCTTTGAGTTCCTTTGGAACTTATATTGAATGCTTTTCAATTTTCCAAAGCTTCTGTACTCTTGAATATAAATATATATATATATATATAAAATGTAGATTTTTCTAAGTCGGTTTATTGAATCTTGGATGATACTACAAAACGTAATACTCCAGCTTTCATTTTTATTTTGCCCCCTTTAGACGAAGGTCACTCTAAATGTATTACATAAAACAATTTCAGGGTTAAAATTTATATAACAAAATGCTCATGAAAAAAGATAAAAATTTAATTTTAAACAATAATTAATAAAATAAATTATAAATTGAAATATTTATATTATATTATCTTAGTTTAATGAAAATTCTTAATTAAAATTTTTTTCCAATTAAAATTTTTTAACTATTTTTTTTTAGTTTTTAATTAAAAATTTTTATTCCATAATATTAAATTCATTAAAAAGATTTGTAAATTGGATGAAAATTTGTTTGAAACGTTAATTTGTTCAATAAATACTGTTTTCCTCTCATGATTTTCCTTTACTTTGAGTCGATGGTAAAAACTTTATTAAATTATTTACTTTTCTATCTAAAAATTGAAAAAAATTTTGAATTTTATTTTAATTATGAAAATATTGAAAAAAAAATTACATAGTGTATGAATCTTTTAAATATCTGGATGTGAAAAAATGTGTTTTTAAAATTTAGTTTTCTCAGTTTTGAAGGTAACTTATTAATGAGCTCTGTTTCTGGTTCGTTACGTTTTAGATAATAATTATTTCTCTCTGCTGTTAGATTCGAGATATCTAGTTTCAGCCTTTAGAATTCTGTATATATTCTACGTTCAAAGCGATTCTAAAGCAGATTTGTGCATTACGAGTAATAAAGGCTATTAGACCAAATAGAGTTTCAAGTACTTTACTGTTTACGTTTAGAAGCTTATGGCTTGAATTAAGCTTAGGTAATAAATTGATAAATTACGAAGGATTTATTACAGTTTATTTGGACCGCTTTCAAAATTATTAAAATTTAAATATAAAGCTCCAAAATGTTCAGATTTAACAGATTCTAAATTTTGATGGTTTGTTTGAAACTATTTTTTAAATATTTTTAATAGAAAAAAAGTTACCGAAAGGTTTAATTAGTATAATATTTGCATTATTCCTGAAGAAAAATACGCAGTTGAATAACATTTCTATCAAAAGCATACGAATATTATTGATTCAAAATCATACTATAGAGAATTTGAGAGACTTGATTTAAATTCTATATATACTTTGAAATAAAAATATTATCATGCTTTTGGCAAAATGTTGTTGATTCTAAAGTTTATTTTTCTGTGTAAATATCGATTCTAACTTTCTCTAAAAATTTAAAAATTAAAGTAAAAAAAAAAATATTCTTTCTTTAGATAGAATGCTTTTATTATACTAAAAAGTGGAAAAGAGAAAAATTTTTAAAACTGTTTCCAAGTTTAAGGAAAGAGGTTTTAAAAGCAAAGTTGATTTTTTCTTTTCTTAAATTTTGTAAAACGTTTTAAATTTTTTCTTTTTTTTACCCCTTTTTAGAACGCGATAATTAAATTAAAAGATTTTTTGTACTTTAATTAAGTTTAAAAAAAGCAGGACAAAATTAATTATAAAATTTAGTTAAAAAGGAAAATATCGTACGACAGTTGAAATAAGTTACAGTAGAAATAAATAGGTAGGATATAAAAGAATACCACTTTTGTGGTTCATTTTTTTCTTTTAATTAATATGAACGTGTTTTCCCTTTAACGTCACTCTTAGTTTATTCCAACAATGAAGAAGTGATGATAAATTGAACTCATTTTCTTTTGTTTTTTAAAAAAAATTTTTTTTATATATTTGATATTTCATAATTTTTTTATTTAAATATATTTTCTTAAATTTATATTAAATTATGGATAATCTATACAGAATAAAACTAAAGTTATTTTAGATAAGAACCACTGCACCTTTTTATGTCGAATCATCTATAATATTGATTTTATGTCGTGTCCAAAACTTGAGAAATTTTCTCTAAATTTGATTCACTAGGTTATTTTGGCTCTTTTTTTTATTTTTCTTCCTTAAAACATCCACTCTAATTTTCTAGCTCTCTTTTTCCACCACTTAAAAATTTTGTTTTACCCAAAATTTAGAGATTTTAAAAAATTTCAATGGGAAAGTAAAAACACAATCCTAAAAGAAAAATTCAATCTTTTCGATGTAAAATTGTGGTTCGATTTCTATTTGTAAATAGATTTTTTAGCACAATTTTTGTATTTATTTAACTCACCGACAAACACTCGAAAATTGTAGCTAGTACCGATTGGTGCTCCATTGTATTCTTTCGCAGGAACTAGTTGAACTGATGGAGGCGATAATGGCATCAACGTCATTGTAAATGGATGTGCATTTCCTCCATATTTATCTATTAAGTGACTCTGAAAAAACAACAAAAATTTTTTTATGTAAATATTTGAATTTTTTTCAATGGGTTTTTAGAGTCGCTAATAACGAAACTGAAGTTAAAATCTGAACTTAAAAATCTATTAATTTTGTTAAAATTTGTTTCCTATAATTTTTTTTCATTTTCAACTTCTCGAACTGGGTCAAAGTCTTTATTTCAATGTGACATTATAGCTCTCCCAGGTATTTTGCTCTTTGCTTTTGGGAACGGATAATAAATAAGGATTTACGCACGATATCTGATACACGTGAACAGAATAATAAATTTATTTCACCCATATGTTATGATTACCAGTCCGAATCTTCCAATTTGTACTTGTGCGCGAGCTTTTACACTATTTTCATCTTCCTCAAATATTCTCAACTCGACCATTTATTAAGGTATTTTTGACATTTTCCTTCCAGAGAGTAAAAAATTTTCAAATAATGGAATGCCAATATTTTGTCCAAAGCTAATAGACATTGCTGAAAATATATATTTGTTTTTTTTTTAAAGTCATCTCCATTTATAATAAATATTTTTTTTACTTCCCCCCGCCTTTTTCAATATTAATAATATTTCTCCACCGAAAGATCGATAGGTATGTACATTATTATAATGTGATATAGGGAAATGGATGAGGGAAGCTTTCAGTTAGAATTCTTGTCAATAATGTCGCTTCCAAGGAGTTTCAATCAGTCTTTTACCTTCTGGCATCTTGTTTCTTTCGATCAAACTTTCTTGAAAACCAGTACTTCCGTGGGCAATCAATTTTATCGGTATGAGATAGAGAGAAAAAAAAACCTATGAAAATTGATGATATGAAACGTTTAAGAAAAATATAAAAAAAAGTAAATAGATATTTCGAGAAACAATTCTCCATTAATGTTTAGGAAATTTTACAAATTTTTATTTTTTATATTTAAATTATTTTTTACGTAGACAAAATATGATTGAAAAGTTTAAATAAATTGATTATTTTTTATGTTAATGTTTATAATAATATAAATTTATGTTTATGTTAATTTAATAATTTGTTTTTTGTTTAAATTAAAAAAAATTAAGTTTCTTTTACATATTTAATTTTAGCGATAAATAGAAAACTCTTAATTTTATTTGGCGTAAAGTTATTTTTATATTATTTTTTTTTATTTCTAGCGGAAAATTTGAATTATTTTCGCGCCGTGTCGCACCAATCGACGTTAGCTGGCGCGCATGTCACGGGTTAGGTTAGAGCGCTATTCCGGCGACCGGCATCCGGAGATAAATATGAATTACTGGTGAGTCAATAATATATTTATTTTCATTGTATCGATTAAAAATCTCTATTTTTTTGTTTTTATTTATTTGATGCTTAAATTGTTCTCATATACATTAAGAATGATTGACTATAATCCAGCTCACGAGTGCGACGAAGACGCACTCTTATGCGCAGTTCCATTAGCAATTCTCTCGCACTCACGCTTACCTATGATCAGTATGAAATCATTCTTACAATATAATTGGGAATTTCATTCAGTCTATAGATACAAACATTGTGTCAAATGTTTCTTTTCTGAAAAAGTTTATAAAATTTATTCATTTAAAATGAATCCTGTTGCATTTACGTCATGTAAGCCAAAACGAAAAAAAAAACGTTCTCACATTTAAGAAAAAAATTAGAGATCATTGAAGAACTTCAAAAAAGAAGCACCTGCCGTTTCTTTGAGTAAAATTCACAATGACAGATTTTTTGTTACATACATAATTGTTAATATATTCTTGATGACCTTGTGGTTTATTGGTTTAAATTTTGACACTTTTTGTTGTTGTTGCTGACATAACTCATCGGTGAGTTTGGCGCCCAACAAATAATTTTTTTTTGCGGTTTTTATAATTTTGCGTAATGTTTCCGAATCATTTCCCTTTTAATAAATAATTTATTTTTTTTTCAAATCATTACAGAAGGTGACTGTAATTATTCCCTCAATGCCAGGGGGCAACTAGACATTAGAAAACTCAATCGTAATATGCAAAATAAATACAGTTTCCAAATGAAACAAATTTTGTCAAAAAACATTTAATTCTTATAAAAAAAAATTTAGTTTGAAGATCATAATTATGATCATCTAAGAACGAGAGTAAAAATTCTAAAACTTACATTTAAAAAAAAATAATGTTATATGAATAAATAAAACAAATGAAATACATAAAGTAATAAAAAGTTGTATATATTTAAAATTTGCATTGCTTTGAGGAAAAAGTAATTCTTTTTTTCCGAGAAAAAATTGTTGGTTTCATTTGCTTTGAAAAAAAATTTTTTATTACTTTTTCCATCTACTACTGTACTCTTGTGAATCAAGGGTCTAGACATCGCGATGTGAGTTCGTTGTCCTTTAAATCATTGAGATTGAGGGAGAAAGCTATTGCGTTTCAATTTGACATATTTATTCTGAAAATATTTTGATAACTTTGAAAATAATTATATAAAAAAAAGTACTTGAAATTTTTCTACTAGTAGGTCTGAAGCATAGGATATAACAAATAAAATTTATAATTAATTTAAAGAATATAAATATAAATAAACATAAATAAACCTAAGAGTAAAAATAAACATAAATAAAAATAAATAAATATAAATAAAATAAACAAAATATAACATTTAAACAATTGAAGTATTTTTTCTGTTCTGGTGTAAATTAAATCTCATTTTTTTTTTTATTTTTCAATACATCATAGTGATATAGTTGCCGGTATTTTTCTAAAGACGAGAATTATTTAGCTGCCTCTAAGGGAAGTAGACCATAAAAGTAAAATACTCTAACTTAAGAATCACATTTAATCTAAAATGCAGTGCTGAGGAAGATTAATTTTTCAAAGTAAAACCGTAATAATTCATTCAGAAAATTAAAATACTTATAAAATATTATTTTCTATTATTTATTTATGTTATTATTGTTATTATTATTATTCTTATTATTATTATTATTATTACTAGTATTATTGTTATTATTACTAGTATTATTATTATTATTATTATTACTAGTATTATTATTTTAATTTTTTATGCAACTCTTCACAAAATTTATAAATTCATCAAGAATTGTAATTTATATATTAAATAAAGAAAATTTTTTTCATAGTCACAAAAAAATACAAAATGATAAAAAATATAAGATAAATTATTTGAAAAAAAAGTGTAACGGAGGTTGAAGTTGATTAATGATCAAAAAGTCTTGATGAGATTTTTAGCGATTTTTCATATTTATAACTAATGAAGCTGCATTCCAACATCTTTTAGAATGTAATTATTTGTCTTCATATATATGTATATATACTTTCTCACATGAAAACTAAATTTTAATTTAGACTTAGATTAACAAGATTTTTTTTAAACCACTAACAAAAACATGAGAGGAAAGTAATTTTTCATTAATTTTACGCGTTGGTTATGTAATTTTTATAATTTTTTTTCTTGTTTCCGTATAATTATTATATTTTAATTAACTTTTATGTAAATTTACAATGAATTAAAATAATAATTTTGTCTATTTTTAAATTTATTTTTTATTAAATTAATATATTTAATTAACTTTATAAATTTTAGTTTATTTTTTCTGACTTTCATTTTGTTTGTAAATAGAATTTTCTCATGTTTTTGCGTGTGATGTTTGAATTTAGTTTGTTCATTGATAGCTAAAGAAAAATAGAGAAAAATTTTGATTAAAAATACATAAAGTTATTAAAGAAGTTAATTAAGAAAGATAATTTATATTACAGCTTCTATTTTATATGAGAAAGAAAAATGAAAAATGACAATTTCTTTTGTAAATAAATAATATTACAAAGTAAATAATAATATTAATAATAATAATACATGGTAATTAAATAAATAAATAAATAAATAATAAATTTTGTTTATTTTTTTTGTCTTTTTACAATTTTATATATATTTTTTGTAATTAATTTGTTGTTTTTTTAGAGTTTTATTTATATTTTCTAGTCACATTTTGTCCATTTATCTTTTTACAATTTTATTTTTTGACATTATTTATTTTATATTTTGTTTTTTATTTATTGACATTTTTAAATCATTTTTTCTGGTGTGCTGTTAATTCCGCTTTAACTTTGAAAATAGTTTTTATTGATTTAAAAATTGATAACGCAGGATGTCTGCAGGAATGGACAAAGTTGCATTTGTAACAGAGTTAGGGCACCACCCTCGAAAGCAAAAGTCTTCCGATAGTTCCGAGGGTGGGTAAAGGGCTCCACAAGAAGGGTTACGGATTTTAGTGGGTCGGGGCTAGTAGTAGTTCGCCAACTTATTTTGTTATTCTTTTTTTTTTTTACCAACCCCACATAACCTTGGCATGCAGAAGCCAAGGTATCTATACAGATTTCCCACAAGTCCCTAAGCAAAAAAAATAATAATAAATAGTAATAAAAAAATATTAAATTAATAATTATAATTATAACGAACTTAAATCTAAACTATAAAAAAATAAACTCACAAATATGATAATGATAACTTTGAATTATTCAATAATTTCTCGTTTCAATGAATGAAAGAAATAATAAAAGGTGATGTTAATTTTAAATTAAGTAATATTAAAGAATAATGGAATGAATGAATAAAAATAATTGAGAGAAATTTAAACGAGTATTGTAGTAACTTAGAAAGAGAATAAAAGAATTAAATCAGTATTTAATTAAAAAATAATGAATCCGATATAATTAAAATTTGTATTAAAAGTGGTCGTGTATATTTTATATATGTGTAATTAAATTTTTTTTACTATTGGCTCAATTTTCCAGACAGAAATTATTTCATTGTCAGTGAAAATAATATATTTTTACAAAAAAAAAAAAATAAAGTAATTAAAGATATTGGTGCGAGAAATACTTTTTATAAATTCTGAAATTCTTATAAGTCACAATAAACTTTAGTTATACTCAAGTTTTCTTCAATCAACTTTTACTTTAGTTTCCCGTAAAGCTTTGGTGCAGTGAAGGGAT